CATGCCTATTCAGATGTTTTAAATGAGTTTCGGAATTTTTGGAACTGTTTTTGAAAAGATAACAAAAGCTAAAAATGTATCGCCTTTCTACTCTATTCAAAATGCTCTCAATGACACATAATGTCTCTTCAAAAAGTAGAATGGAAAAGAAGATCGTTTCAAAATATATAAATATTAACTTTTAAAAATGAAAAAACTCTCGGACTTTTTCATGCATATTTGCTGGTCTATTTAAATCTTCTATTTACGTGTATGTCAAACTTGAACATCGTATGAAACTTTCAAGTTTAGTACTTGATTTATACATATGAAATGATAAAAATTAGTAGTAACCAACTTGATAAACATTGGGTTTTTATTAAAAATTCAATGTTTGTGAAATGTTCATCTACAGAAATACAAAATACTTAAAAACAATCAAACAACTGAATAAAGTTTACTCTGACTACGCAATTGAACGACTTGTTTTTTGAATACAAAGTTTAATAGTAAATCGTATACCGGGTATTTTCTTATTAAAATGATAAGATCTTTACAAAGAAATTATTTTATTTTTCGAAAAACAAAATAAATCCAGAATAATTATTTAAATATCACTGAAGATAGCGCAGAATCAAAATATTGATTGTGTTTATATTGAAATATGAACATTGTCTTTTTTTCGATATTCGAATTTGTTTGGCATTCTTCTCTTTAAATTCTTTGAAATTTAAGAAAATTTAAGCGAGAGATTGAATATCTTAATAACTAAGATCAAATCTTATTTGATAAGTGCAGATATTATAAAGTTTCCGATCTTATAAAATTTACATAAATATAATATCTTCTTCTGTGAAAAAACACATATTGGTAAAATAAAGATAATATTAACTGACAAGAATCGATTAAGAATTTGCACTAAAAGATGTTCTAACAGAGTTTCACGAACGAAATATGACTAAATGACGAGTTAAGATTAAAATTTATTTATTTGCATTGGACCAAAAAATAATCTGGTTATATGTCGTTCAGTATATTTTTTCGAAAGAACAATATATTATTTTCTTAACTATACAAAAATATATTTCATATAATTTTCATCGACGTCATCGTATAGTCTCTGTCTTCATGTCATATCATGCTTTGAAACTATCCATAGACAAATTTGTTCTATGATAAGATGGCACGAATAAGTAATACCTATTTCTTTTAAGTAAATCTTGATTTTTCAGTCATCAATATGAATAAAATCAGATAATGAGCATTTCTCTAGTCAAGAAAAAAATTACAACCACACCCACACCCTCAAGTTTTGGCATTAAATTAAAATTCAAAGATTAAAGGTGAGATACGCTACTTTAAATTGAAAAATTTCATCATAGTAGTTTCAAAATATAATATCATCAGTAGTATCGTTCCAAAAATTCTTGGACCCGACGGGCTCTACGAAACACTAACTCCACGGTTTATTATAGACCATTCGGTAAAGGTGGGTCTTCGTTTCCAGTTAGAAATATTGGATCAGCTTTTTAAACTATGGCTCAGTTAGAACATATTCAATTCTGTTCTAAATCCTCTCTTAAGAGTAAAGTGACTAGCTGCACGAAATTGGAACTACCATTGTCGGTGAAGATGCTACTTCTCTTACCTTTATTTAACGATCCATTTGTTTCCTTTAATAACACATCCCAACGTGGTTCTTCATAAAAAGCCAGGTGAGATAAACTTCCATTATCATGAAATGATTGTAATTTTGCTTTATCATCGTATTCCACTTGGCAATTATAAAACTCCAAATAAGTTAATGGACTCTGCTCTTTTGAAGCATAAAGAAGTGCTTTTGTGAATTCACGTGAGATAAGTGATGACGATATACAGAGACGTGAAATAAATACATGTTTTTGTAATGATTTTATTAAAGAGGTTTCTTTTTGATCAGTTGGTCGAATATTTCGAATGTGCAAACTAAGATGCTTGATTGATTTGTGATCTTTCAAAGTGTCCAGAAGAAGATTGATGCAGGCTTCGTCACCCAAACCACTCGGATCCATCAGGTCTATTTCAAGGAGTTTTTTATTCTTCTTCAACATTTCGCAGAAATGTGAGAAAGCTGGGGAAGCACACAATGAGTGAGTGAGTTTTAAATGCTGTAGTGCATTTATTTTCAAACTTAATATACTGTTGAGGATATCGATGTTGTTGGAATACTCCACAGCTAGATCTGTTAGAATTGCATTTGTTTCAAGACTACGTTGAACATCAGATTCATAGCCGAGAAAATCACTCGCAGAAAAGTCTAAGTTTCCACATATCTTGTTTTGAAGCAAAAGCCGAGCGAGCATCATCGTATTTCCACTTCGATTAGCTTCGGAGAAACGAACTTTCATTGTTTGATTATTGAACTCTGCGGCCATTTCTTGACAAGTATACTTTGTGATTCCAAAAACGTTTCGTACACGAACCGAACCCATATTTAGACAACGAATTGAAGAGCGATTAATGATGATGTCAAGCAGTTTTTTGAGATCATCTTCGCCGATTGAACATTCTCGACATATTAGCTTCTCAATATTAAAACCCTTCTCAAGAGCCGTGCACATCATTTCAACATTTTCTTTAGTAATATTCACTTGATTTATAAGTGCTTCGTTAGTCGTCTCATCGAATTTACCTCCCATGGCTTTAAATTCCTTGATGTATTTGCTCATTTCATTATTGTAACTAATCGCATTATAGTGTTTGTGACAGACCCAACGAACATGACCGTCAGCAGTGACTATTCGGTATAAATTTCCCAAGCTACGCTTATCATCAACACGTTCAAGATACGTTTGAATTTCTCGTAGTTCGGCACCTTGCAATGCTGTTCCTCTTGACTGGTGTCTGTCAACTACTGAAGCACCTGCACGATATTGCTGGTTGTCGACTTTATTGAGTAAATCATCAACCATTTGCAATTTTTGTTCCGCGTCTGTGTAGAACTGAGAATTATTAAGTTGTGGCGGTAATACATCATTGATAGCTTTTGATACATTTCCTAGTTGTGGAATAGCAAAACCTCCAATTGAAAGCAGGGCTTGAGCAATTGCTAAAGTTGTTTTTAAATACGGTCCGTATCGCAGAATGAAATCTCTCGGTCTTTTAATTGAATAACCTTCATGTGGAGCGACATGCATTTCTTTTGGATCTTGTGAACATTCACATAGAAAATAGAGTTTATAATGAATGTGTAACCAATTTTGTACGGTGTCGATCGCTTTGATGTTGCTATGCTCCGCAGGTAAGATGAAAAAATAGCGAGGTGTAGTAAACTCATGTAATTCATACATTTGGGTCATGACATGATCAATCTGGCGTAATATCTCTTGCGTATTGGCGTCAATACGATCGAGTTTACCATCCATTAGAAGCAGTTGATCATGAATGTCATTACTGGAATGTTTCATAGATCCCACTACTTCCACAGTTTTGTCAAGATGCGCAACAATACGCAGCGGCTCTGAGTTTTTTCCAGTCTCGTCGTGGATAAATGCCTTCTGTACATTGTCAATAAGAAAGGCCTTCACTATCACTGTGTGAAAGTGTCGTTGAACGTCTTCGAGACGCAGGCACTCGACGCCATTACTATTAACTGTTTCTATTTGAGCAGTGCTATCACCCCACTTTACTTTTTGAAATCTTGTAGTATGAATATTTTGGGCCATGAAACTTATGATCACAGACAAGATTATTTGTGCAACTTTTCCCAGTTAGAATCTAAAATACAGAAATGCAGCAGCGGCGTCATATTAATATAGACTTAACCGTGTAGGACGTAATGTCTCCGAAAAGTCTTTCATTCGCTTGCCTATTTATATTTTGCGCGAATATGAATATTTTGAACTGACGTTTTGAGGATGTGGGTGTGGCAAGTAGAAGAATGAAATAAACACACCCACACCCACACCCTCAGGTGATTAGGATGAGAATGTAGTTCTTCTCTTCACTAAAAATCACACCCATATACCTTTCCGGTTTCTGATGGTGCTTTTATCTTGAACGAAACAGATGAATCAGATGGATGAGTATTTTACTAATCATTCCGCACGAACTGGTGTGAGGCTCTTCTACTAAGCTCACTCAACGCCTATCAAATGCCGATACACTACACTCGCCTCCTGAAACTCGAAAGCTTTCATTTCATAAGTGTCGCCTACATCAAATTATGTTGCTTACTACACCGAAGTTACAGTAACACTGAAGTATACTTGGAAGTTTCAATGTGTTATTGTTGATAAGAATTTTCGTTCCCTATATCATTTGCTTGTTTTTATCAAATGACTCGCTTCTTACATTTCGCAAGATGATAACATTTTCTGCTCTGCTTCTGCTTATTTCGTCGCCTTTTAAAATTAAAAAAAATCTCCCTAGGAAGTAAAGCAACTCACGTGAGAATAGACAAAACATGATGGCAAAGACTGAAAAAGTCTCGACGAATAGCACAGGCTTGAAAAAATGATTTCTTACGTAAGTTACTTTATCTTTTGTTTAAAAAACAGTAGAAAAATATCTGTTCTCGGCCGTAAATGATTTTCATTCATCTTGAGGTGTGTGGTTGCCAGTGTCAGTATAGAAATGACATCACACTCATCCAGCATTCCAATAAATTATATCAGTGAACAGTATGAATTGAATCTCTTTTGTCCTATCCCCTATGCATTTTGTCTTTTTTTTATTTACTTTTCATTTCTATACCATAGAATGAGATCACACAAACAAATTGACACAAAAACAATTTTTTTTTCAACTGGAAGTGATAACATAAAAAGAAAACAATAAGAGTAATGATGAAAAGAAGAAGAAGAAGAAGAAGAAGAAGGACAGTAAGAAAGACAATATAAGGAATATTTTTTTTTGTATTTGATGGAAACTTTTTTCTAAGTTTTTTTTCTTCTTGAATTTAGTTGCTTTTTTTATTACTATGAACATTGGCAGCTACAATAGGATGTTCATCTGCATCATCATTTTCTGATTTACCATTCGATGAATCTTGTTGTTTTTGTTTCGGTTTATTTGAGGCCTTTGGTGAAGTTATTGCTGTTGAACGTACAATGCGTTGTTCACGTCGACGTCTCATATGAAACTAAAATTAGAATAATTCTTAGTGAAGTTAAAGATCTAATCTATTTGATACAAAAAGATTTATTTCAGTATGTTGACATTGTATTTACCTGTATAAAATTCCAAACTAACCAAAATTGTAAAGCACCAATCGCCACCAATGTAAATAAACGTACAGTTGGTGTATTAAAATTAGCAATAAGAATCGGTTCATTTGAATCTGTCAAAGATGTTGATGTAAATGTTATTTTATCAATCGATGAACTTTTTAAACCAAACCAAAATGTTAACCATGCTAAAACTATCGATGCTAAACGAGCAAATATAAAAACATAATTCCATAGTTTAAATAAATATGTTGAAGTTGATTTTGCTGTTTTTGAATTGATTTTTGTTATAGAATAAAAATGAGCTAAACGCGATGAATGATAAAATATTTCAATTAAATAATGGACCGTCAATAAAACTATTGATATACACCAGAAACGTGTTACATAGGCATAGACAATTGCTATTAAATATAAACTTGTATATATAATACGAGTTGGTATATCTTCTTTTCGAACTTTTTGTAAATATAATTCCGGATAGTTATGTAACCAATAGGAAATTTGAATGATAAAAAAAAGTTTTGTCCATGATGTCATACCCGTATATGGATAATCACGCCAAAGATATTCTAAACCCGATTGAAAATAATTCTCATCAATAAATAACTTAAACGCCCATACAACACTAAGAACATAGAAAAAAATAAGTTGACCAGATTCGAACAATTTGGCATTCTTAGATTTTGATAAATGTAATTTTTTATGTAATTTATCTAATGCATATTCTTGCCAAATAGCATGACCTATTATACAGATAAGAGTGTAAGAGAAAATCATTGCTAAATCTTTCAAGCCATAATTAAATAGTTGAGGTGATGATGTATTGTGTGGATCAAAGTTTGTTACATTATGACGAGGGCCAAAAAATGCTCCACAATAAGATGATGTTGAATTAAAAATTGTACCAGCCGTTAGAATCATAACCATAATACACGCAATATCACCTAAATTATTTTTCTTAAAATTTAATGATTCGTTTTTTTATTTGGGTTTATGATAACTTACCATGATTTTGGATAAAATATTCCTGGCTGAAAATAGGTGGATTTTTTGATGCCGCCTTTTTCTTAAGTGCTGCTGGTGGTGGTGGCATTATAGGGTTATCAAGAATTCAAAGAAGTAAACACTCGGAAAGGAAAAAGTTAACGACTCACAAATAATCTAAAATTAAAGAAATGCAAGTATAATATCATATTGTATATTTTTATTGAGCTATATAACATATTTAGGGACTATGTCCTTTCCACCATTAACGTAAAGAAGTATTGAATTAATAAATATACTATAGCAAAAGAATTTGTTTTTCGCAAGAAACTATGAATGAAAATTTACCCGAAAAAGCCATGTCAGAATCGAATACATTAAAAAAACGTTTACCGCAATAATTGTGAGATTATTTTCAATCATGGCGAACAGCTGGCTGACGCCTTTTTTGTGTTTGCACATTAATCTTGGCCAGTCTTTTTTTCTCTCTTTCATTCTTTCCTATATACCATATAGATCAGTTTTCTTCGTCTTCGTTTTTATTTTCATCCTGTGCAAACATTTGTACTCCAGTCTCATAGCATACGTTTATCATTGTTGTGTTATAAAATAGAGAAATAACGAATTGCATATTATCTACATAGACAGCTTCAATGTGCGTCTGTTCTTTAATGAAGTCTTATGAAAAGGACGTACATAGCAGATATTTTCTCTAGTTTGAATTGTAATGAACTGAATAGAACATTATCTAAAAATGATGACTATCTAAAATATACACCAAAACTATATATTGACATTTAATATTAAAATAAGGTAAAACATAAAAATTATTAAATATTTATATAGGAAACAAAAAGTGTTTACTCAATGAGAATCTTATTGGCTACGAATGGTTCGAGAATGTCGACTAAATCTTGTTCATTGTAATAAGCAATAAAAGGTTTACATGCATAATCTTGTGGTTGAAATTTATCTGATTTTATATTATTATAGATAATTTTGAATTGAGAAAAATCTAGATTCTGTTTTGTTTTATTTTCATTGTAATAATCTATTACGTGACTTAAATCAAGTATTTGACCATTTGCTGATTGAATTATTGCATGTGCGGCACATAGATCCCAATTGAAAGCAGCAGATTTTGTTGCTAAATAAATATTTGCTTGTTTTAATCCAATCGATAGTAATTTATTACCTAAAAAGAACTTATTTGATGATAATAGAATTCATCGGAAGCTAATAATTGAAAGATAGGTCGAAAAGCTCGTCATTTTCTTGACTAGATCTATTGAATCATATCTATTTAGAGTAATCGTTTGATGAAGAACGGTGTGTCTAAGAATTTTGATAGGAAGAAAATGTATGATTTTGTAGCCTTTCACATGTGTTTGAAAACATTCTTACCACATGCTGCTACTTCAATTTTTCTCCAATCATCAAGAATGTTTGTAAATGTATTTAAATCAATACTTCCATGTAATAACACTCGTTGACTATTGTTCTCATTTCGTTTATAAACATTGTCGAGATTATTATATTTTGCATTCAATAATGCCGTACCCCAATAAACCAAGCCTTTCCATCTGAATAAATAGGAAAAAGAAAATATACAGTTATAATTTTTATGAATTCACTTGCCTATAATTATCAATTTTTTCACGAAATGCTCGATTAATCACACCGACGATCGCATGACCATCCGTACGATCAAAACATCCAATGAGTACCAAGGCTGTTGGAAGACCATCTTGCATAATTCCAGTTCTTGAATCAATTATTCCATCAGTACCATTTATATACTGTTGTGTACCATCAACGGGATCAATCCATATGCCAATAGTTGATAAATCAATAGAAATATCATGTGGAATTTGTTCGAATGATTGTTTACATTGTTCGGTTAGTACTAGATCTGTAGACGATGATACTATTTCAGCTAATTTTTCGATTGATTCAGTAGATTTATTATCAAATAATTTTTCTATTGAAAAAGAAAAGACGAATCATTAAAATTATAAAAAAACAAAAAACAGAATTATTTCTTACTGAGGAGATTCAGAATATCTTCTTGGCTACCGCTGACATCAATTACAATTTTTTCATCAGTAGAATTTAACTTCAACGAACCGTCTTCTTCGCCATGTATATGATGAGTTAGTACGGGATACTAAATAAATTTTAATGCAAAATAAAATACATTTTTGTTCAATATTAATAACTTACAATCCTTTTTAAATCTCGCTTAATGACTTCTTGAATAATAACATCTCTAAAGAGAAGAAAAAATAAATTGATGAAAATCAAATTTCAAAAAGATTTTTATTTACGCTAAAGTTTTATAATCAGCAGTAAGATGTTGATGATTTTCATCCACTAAATATAAACACTTTCAGATACAAAATGAAAAATTTTCATAAACATTACATTTTTTTTCCTGAATCATGCTATTGAAATCACTGTGCATAAAACGAATATGACGTGCAATGCATGCTGCCTTTTCCGAACTAACACATAATTCATATAAAAAATCCCGCAATAATACTGATGACATTATCTGAAATTATTTTCAAGTTACAATAATATTTATGAGAATAAATGAAGCTAAAAGCAGTGTTATATGCTCTCTTTAAGTACAAATCAATCAGAAGAATCGATAAGTTATGCTAATAAAAAGCCTGTTCCGTCTACATTAACGGATCTGCGTGTACAATTAACACGCGTGCTACATCAACTAGTCGAATCGCAAAATTTTCTTTTCTTAATCTATATTAATACTATCAAGCGATCGGAAATATCGGCAAACGTAGCTGTTACATATGATGAAAAAAAAATTTAATCTTGCTATGCCCGAGGACAGAATTGAACTGTCGACCCCTGGTTTACTAGACCAGTGCTCTAGCCACTGAGCCACACGGGCGTGCCATTTGCTAATCGAATTTATAGATTGTTTTTGGTTACGTTTAATTGTACGTTAAAATTCCGATCAATCCATACTTTATTATACATAACCAATAGTCGTTTAGCCAACGCGAAATTATTTTACTACTCCGACCAATGGCCGTCGACAATTTTCTTTTTCAGCACACCTCTCTCTCAAGCGAATAGGAAATATAACGATTTCCTCTCATTACGACTGCAAACCATTAATTTCAAAGCAAAACTCAGTCAATCTTTTTATTTAAAAATACTCAAACGAATATTATTAAATAAAATTTTGTTAAAAAGATTTGTTTGTCGGTGAATGAAAAAAAACACGCACAAAGAAAAAAAATAAATTAAATCAAAACAATTTTGTTATTCATATAAAGAAAAATAGATGTACATAAATAAGAAACTCTAAAGATCAGCACGTGATGTAAGGGATATATTTTGAAGTTCATATTTTTTCGAAAAACGTTCAGAAAGTATCGTCATTATAACAATTGATAGAAATTGTACAACATACCATGAAAAAATATTCGGATACTGATAATTATAAATGCAACAAGCAATAAAATGATAAAAATGTATTGTTATAGAAAAGTCTAAACATTGCTTATACCTGCCAACTAAATAGAAAATAGCTAAAGCCCTAAAAATAGAACACAGATAACAATCATTATAATATTCTAGACTTTGTTTACCCTGTGAATGTATTGAGTAAAAATACAGTAGAGAAAAATCGTCCATTCCAACTAGACAATTGTAGTGTCTAAATGAACGAAACTGAAGATTGGCAAATTTCTACATTTATTTCTTTTTATGTCTATCTCACATCGTAGGAGAAAAAGTAATCAAGGGATGGTACTCGATTGAAAGTAATTGTGATAAGAAGTATCCACAATCCAAAGCCAAAATAATATATTGCTTGAACAGCAATTATCTGACTAATGATCAACCATGGATCCCATTTTTGGTTACGAAATCCAGTCATTTTATCCAGATCAATGAAACAAGATCATATCTAAAAAAACAGTGCAGTCGTTTTTTCTTTATTCTTCTTTTTTTCTTTATTCAAGATGTTCTTTTATTTATTTTATCGGAATATGAACTGTTTTTTTTTCTTTTAAATCGATAAACAATAAGTTAAAAAATAACAGTTTTGTTTATTTCTTCTTGCCACGTTTGTGATGAGCACCACCACCTGATTTCTTGGTTTTACCGCCTAAATTAAATAAGATTAGAATAAATAGAGAAAACAAAAAGTAACATTTTCATCTTCATACCAGGCATGATAACACCATCGTACGTTTGTTGAAACCATTTGATAGCTTCATCTTTGGTTATTCTATGTGAAGCACCAATACGGGATTTTTTATGTTTTCGTTTACCAATATCATAACCAGCTCGACCAAGTACAACGTAAAAATCCATACCATAGATACCAATGGATGGATCGTATTTAATACCTAGAATGTAAGTGAAAATGTGAGAAGTGAAGTCCTCTCTCGGTATATATATATATAGTACTCACCTAAATCAATGTGTTCTTGAATACCGAAACCAAAGTTGCCCATTTCACTGAAATTGCATTTGTGTAATTCGTATTCTTTAACTTTAAGACCTTTTTCTAAGATTTCTTTAGCTTTTTCACCGCGTACAGTACAGAAAACACCGATTTTTTCATTACGACGAATACCGAATGATCGTACAGTATAACGGGCTTTTGAAAAAACGGGTGTTTGACCGGTCAATTGTTCAAGCACTTTTGATGCACGGGTCAAACGATCGCCAGATTCACCGACGCAAATATTCAAACATAATTTACGGATACGTAAATCACGCATAACATTTTTGATTTTTTCTTTTTTTATAACTCGGCCAGTAGTTGTGCCGGTTTTTGTTGGACTTGTCGTGGCTGCTGGTGCTTTATTCTCTTTGCGTCCAGTCATGATTATTGAAAATCAATCAAAAACAAGATGTTTATTATCTAAAAACAAGAAAAATAATTTCAAGTAACTATTGCTAAAATTTTCCTTGAACAATGCATAGAACTGAGAAGGACTACCACAAATTCTCCAGTATGATTTCATTGATTGTTTACAAATGTTTTCCTATGAAATAATAAATCATAATTAAAACATTACCATACAGATTAACTATAGGGCCTCAACAAAACTCATTTCTACGATAGGATTATTTTTTTTCAAAGAATAAATGATAGTGAAAAGAAAAAAAACAAATAAATAATATGAATGCTGTTCGACAAGTTGAATAAAATGAAATTCATTCATTGGTGACTAGTTTTGCCTTATTTCAAATGTTCGGATTGTTGGACATCGATATGAAAAATAAAATTCGAAAATTATTTATTTACTTTAATTACTACTATTTAAATGATTTTATTTATTATTGCAATGAGTTTTATATGATATCATACACATAGATGACGCTAGATTGCAGGGTTCAGCTTGAGTTCGAAATTTCATATGTTCTGTTTATCGTTTTTCTGTCATCAGCAGTGTTTCTAACAGCAAGAGTCCGCCTTTGTTACAAAGTGTCAAAGAACCTTGCAATATTGATTTGGCACTTTGTTTTACACTTTGCTCAAGAAAAAAAAGTGTCAAGTTGACACTTGCGGAAAATTTTTTACACTTTCCTTTTTATTATATGTAACTTTAGAACTCCCTAATTATTTTTAGTCAAAATATTCTTCGTATACTGGTATCTTCAAATTAATTGGTTCATTCGTTAAAGCATTTCTTAATTCATCACAATTGTAGCTATTGTTACTGTTATTTGAATTTATTTATTGTTGTTATTATCATTTGAATTCATCTATTGCTNTTTCTTTTGAGAGCAGATGAACAAAAAACAAATAGAATTAATTGAACTTTGGAGTAGAAGTTCAAAGCCACCAACGAACGTTTTATCACCACCTGAAAATCAACAACAAATTCGTCCTTCATCTAGAGCCCGTCGGGTCCAATAATTTTTCAATTCGGACCCGACGGGCTCTACCTTCATCATCATATACTCCCGACTCTATTCCTTCATGTATATTTGGCGAACCAGAAAATGAAATTGAAATTATTGCAAGTGAGCCTCCATGTTCATCATCAAACGTTGCTGATATTCAACACGTGTCTCCTTCCATTGAATACGAAACTCCTAACAAGTCAAATTTGAACAAAAAATCAAGTACTAAAATTCGTCGTAATTACCTTCCCAATTGAGAAAAGCAACCAGATGATATGCACAAAACTTATTCATATGATTCTCTCTTTTCATGTAATTTTAATCGTTTACATCTTGGAAACTTTGTGACACTTTGTTTAAAAAAACAAAATGTCACTTTACACTGTAATGGCAAAAGTAAAATGTCATTTGACTTTTTGTTTTAGATTCCTATTAGAAACGCTGGTCATCAGAAGTCTAAAATGAAATTCTATAGCAATCAATAAAGAAAGCAGTAACAACATATTATTTAAAGAGATGAAATCTTTTTTCTTCCATTATTTCATACACAATGAACAACCAAAACTTATCCACATCGACTGTTAATGATCCTGCAGCTACCATCACTACATTGACTTCGTCAGTGATATCCAAAATGAAAAAGGGTGAAGTATTAAAAGTCGATCTTGTAGATTGTAATTGCTCTCTGATGCCAATCAGTTATAATGGAATTGATCCCCTATTTATGTACACTCAACTATTTAAAGAAGCACTTTTAAAAATCGAAGACGATGATACACAATCTATTAAAGAATTCGCAGATTTCTGTCGTCTTCAGAAATGATATTCTGGTGGGTCACATCAATAAATTTGAACCATGAATATATTAGATAGTTTCGAAAAAATGAAACACACCGAAGGTAAACGTATATCATTCAACAAGTAGCGATCGTCTGGTATCGTTTATGTATGCACAATTTGCTGCTACGAACAACGATCTAAATACAGTGAGTATATTATTTGTTATGACAACTGATCCCCATTCCATTTGTCGATGTGAAAAACTTCAGTTATTACAAAGGTGGCTAGCGAGAAATTCTATTCTCTACACATACCATATTCCGGATAGACCATATTCAGCAACTTCACAATGATCAGATTGATCAACTACGGGAAGTACGTCTCACCATCGTGGGCAATGATAACCATGATATAAGCAAACTAATATCCTATTTACGTGAGCAAGTCGACTTCACAAATGGACGGTCTCAACTTGGTCAAACGCTGATTAGCGTCTTCGAATCCTCACAAGAACAACATCTTTATCACATTCTATTGGGCAAGGCATCTTTGTATTGTAGCAGGATATATCTGTCGTAGGGATGTTCTCTCTTCTGCTCTTTCGGCTTCATTCTATCACGTTTACAATTATTCCATTTTTCTTCTCGAATCTGTTGTATTTAAGTAAGTGTTAATGTTTGAAGAAGGAGATTATTATTTCTTGTGAGAATGTAATAAGAGCAAGGAGACGAAAATAAAGAAGAAGATTGTCACAAAAGGGATCATGATTTTAGATACTGACATCGGACCCGATATTAGGTTATTGGATCTTATATGTATCATCACGCTTCTTTCTGTCCTGAAGTCATGTAATTATTTTATTACTTACGCACCAACAATTGACACAATGCATACCGTATAATCGAAATAAAAGTCGTATAGTACATAGCAACAGGCCTAGGCATAAACTAGGAAGTTAAAAAGTATTTTAGTCCTGGTTAAGTCTCTCCTCCTTGCAAGAATGAATGGAAGAGACGTCAAGCTCACGATAGTTTAATTGAAGTCAGCAATAGTACCGAACAGAGGTGTTGACAGGGCAATGCAATACCTTCCTGCTCTACAACTTTCGCATTCATACTTCAGTTTGAAAATAGCAGCGTTTTCAGTTTTTGGAAAACGTGAAGCAACCTCTGAGAAATTCAGATAGAATTATTTAATTTATATAGGATATTTTCTCTTATGATACTGAATTGGTTCAATCCCGATAGCAAAAAAGAAAAGAGCATTACTTTGTTAGCCCTATTTGAAATAATGCTACTGCTTTACCATCACTTTCAACTGACTCACACGATAATATTCATCATATAACTATCGCTACTAGTTTAAAAAAAGAAAAAAAACAACTTTTATATTGTAAAGATTGAACCAACATAAACTTATTCATGGTAAAAAAACGACCATTTGGTTACCCAACTCTTCTAAATATAAAACAAACAGTATTTTGAACAAATTCGATATCGTATCAGCTGTTGTCGACATAGATGATACTCGGTTGAGTCAAATAAAGCGTTTAAAACTAGTAAGTAGTGAAAACTAATTAAAAGAAAAGATTTAACACCTCTTTTTTCATGCTTCTGCCATATTGTTGTTTTTAAATCTATTTTGTGAGTTACTTTACAAATAAAATTTAGTAATACAAGTTCTTCTTTTCTGAATATAATGTATCAAATGATACAATAATGTCAAATGCTATATTTTCGATAGAAAAAAATGAATTAGAAATTTGATATTTAAAATTTTGCGAAAAAAAAGAAAACATGTTTTAGTTTTTTGTAGCATGCCTATATCTTCAACCTGAAATATAATCGATTTAATTTTAAAAAGCTTAAATCTAAATTGTTTTGCCTTTTTCTTTTCGGCGACTAATTTTATTGGAAGATATCAAGGATAACAAGGCCGTATATAAAGTATTTCTATTATATCTAAGTGCACATTCTCTAAAACAGCATAAATATGTTGATCTTCCCTACAACGATCGTATTCGTTACTTTTGCCGTCATTGTTAGTGGACAAAAGTTAGAACACATTGAGAACGGTAAAATATGTACAGGCTGGCAAGCGGTTACGGGAACATCAGTTTCTGTTGATTCGTCCGTATGTTCCGGTGCTATCAACTATGAACTCACTAAACCTGCTGGTACATATGCAGTTCGTTTTTGTTGCCCATATGGAGCTACGACTCTAAGACCTATTGGACCAGCCCAAGCTGGATGCGGTCGTGCAGCGGTTGCTCCTTTACGTACACGAATTGTCGGTGGTCAAGAAGCAACACCACACTCTTGGCCTTGGCTTGTTTCTATTCAATATTATGGAAGCCATTTCTGTGGTGGTACTTTAATTGTAAATAATAGATAATTATGAAAAGTCAAACGTATAATATACGTAAATATTTTAGGATTCACAACATGTTTTAACTGCTGCTCATTGTCTTCAAGATAAAACAATGTTCAATGCCGGTTTAACTGTTGTAGCTGGTCTTCATGCACGAAGCAAAGCAAATCTACCTGAAGTTCAACGTAAATCTGTTGCGACCGTATTGAATCATGCTGCCTATAATGACGATACAAATGAAAACGATGTTGCTATTATCCGTTTAGCTTCGCCTGTTAAAATCGATAGTTACGTCAATGTAGTTTGCCTTCCAGAAAGAGATCCTGTTGTAAACGACAATGTCATGGTTGGTATGTAATGTTACAGAAAAAAGAAAAGAACAGAGATTCACATATTTTATGATTTAGTCGGCTGGGGTACAACATCATTTGGAGGTAGTTCACCAGATTCACTTCATCAAGCTGGTGTTGTAATTATGGATTTATGTGAACAGGTCTACTTTTATGATGATAACAAACAATTATGTGCCGGTAACCATCAATATACAAAAGACTCTTGTCAAGGGGATTCAGGTGGTCCACTTATGTATGAAGTCGATGGTAAATGGATACTCAGCGGTGTTGTTAGCTTCGGTGATGAATGTGCTAAACTCGATCGTCCAGGCGTTTATGCTCGTGTTAGCCACTATTTGCCATGGATTCAAAATGCAATTTCTAGTTTATCGGGAAAATAAATACTTGATAATATTAAATAGAAGGCGTCTCTTGCTAAAATGAACTCTTAATTGATTACGTGCATGAATAATGACTCATAATAATGCGAGAAGATTAAAAATCAATGAATGAAAAAAAATATTTAATCGAATAAGGCACAAAATTCATCAAACGAAATTTTCCCATCTTTATTTAAATCTAACGATGAAATAGTTGCTTGAAGTTCCTTTTGACTCAAATGTTTTCCCATACGTGACATGATATTCTCGAGTTCTTTACTTGATATAAAACCATTTCCATCAACATCGAATTTTTTAAATGCATCCATAGCTTCCGTTCGAGAATATTTTTTAAAAAATGGCCTAGCCATTGCGTTTTTAAATTCATTGAAATCGATGTCTCCACTATTATCAGTATCCATTCGATGTAATAATCTTTGTACTTCACTATCCGTTGCTTTTACATTTAATGCACGTAAGAGTTTTCGCAATTCTGATTTCGTAATTTTTCCAGAATGATCTAAAAATGTAACTTTCAATGTTTCATATTCATCATTATTCTACCTACCTCTATCGAAAAGATTGAATGCATCGCGTAATTCCTGTTCTTGGCTAGGCGTAAGTTTAGCCATAATTGAAGTTATAAAAAGTGCTGTTTTTTGTATTCAAATGAATTCAACATCGTTTTTTCTTTCTATTATTGTCGTATTCGCCCACAGAGAAGAAACACGAATGCAACTAATGTTATCGTCGTTTCTTTACCTTTGCTTTGTTTTCAAACTTGCCAAAAGCTGCTATTACATTTTATTTATGACGATTCTTCAAAAAGTCAAATTCAACTATCGATAATTAACTGTGGTTAAAATTACAAAACTCAGATATTTCAATGCTAACCATGATGCGCTAACCGAAAGTTTTCATCGCCTCCAGAAAAAATATTAATCATTAGTTTTAAGATAATGAATAGGAACAAGTTATTCATACGAAATAAAACATGCTTTATGAAAAAATCATATAATTGATGATTAACTTGAAGGAATAGCTATCAAACATCAAAGAGTTTTATTGCTTTTCTTTTTTTCATAATAACACGCATACCATCTCTGATAAGTACGACGAATCTTCTATAGTAACATGTCTCGTGTATAACTACTTCTTAATGATCAATAAATGAAAATAAATTGATCAACCAAGCATATTCAATTGTGATGTAAGATAGACATAAATTATCAATATTGGACATTTTATATGATGACATGCATATACAAGTCTAGCTGTTGTCTTTCTTATATCTTCTTTTAATATGATATTAGTATCTACTTAACAATGTTTATTAGATTTAAAGTTTACAAATTTGTTTTCATTGTTGTTCACCTTGAGAGATTGTATTTTAATAATAAAAACAAAATAAGTCATTCTATTTCCTAGAGCAAAACAGTCTAACTACTGTGTTTTCACACTCTCTCGTGCTTTGGCAATATTTCGTTGTAATTCTAAATGTTCAAGTCGTTTTTTTGCATTACGTTCTCGAAATAACTCTGTCACGGTAACTGGTTGAATACCTAAAAACACAAAATTACGAATCAATTTTATTAACAAAATACAAAATCAACCTTCTTCAGTTTTTTTTCTTTCATATAATGTATTATAGGTAATAATAATCGACAGAAGTAGAACTGATGCCATGACAATGGCACACCGTTGTGGCATTTTATCTGGTTCAGCTAGAAATGCTCGTCGTACTTTTCGCTGTAGATTTTCATTGAACTGTTTAAAAATTCTGAACACCATATCTAAAATAATTATTCAACGGATGAATCGAAATTTCTAATTGTATCGTTTTTTTTGTTTATTCAACGAAATGAATCATTGTTATTGTTCATATGCAAATTAAATCAACTAGATCATTTTTAAAGAAAGCTTATTCTTATAATTCTGAATTATTTTCTTTTTTTGTTTCACACACGCATGATGGATTTTCATGTTTTTGTTTTTAACAGAAAAATGCCTTAGCTAGCGCGCAAAAGAAAAAAAATCGAATATGAAGAAGAAAAACGACTATAAACAAACAAACACACAGAACCAGTCCTAGAAAGAGAGAGAGAGAGAGAGAGCACGAAAGAATTTCAATAATAACGAAGAAAAAACAGAAAAACCAAAATAGGACGCTTTTCATTATTATCATCATCATCATTATTTGTTTTCATATATTTACACATCGTATTGTGAGTAAAGAATAAATGTTATGTCGACGGAGCATAATGGATTGTTTTCTTTTAAGAGCACAAACAAGAGAGAGAGAAAAAAAAATAAAAAAAAACAGAAAAAAATGAACTCCGTGAACGATTGTTCCATATAGACAAATATAAATAAATAGAATTAGAAGCGAAAAAGAAAAAGAAAAACAACAACACATAAACAGAAATAAAGATATTTAATTCGTACAAGCTCGGAATTAAGAATTTATTGAATCGTAAGAAAATGCTAGCGATTTTTGTTTTCTGTAGAATTGATATTTACGAAAGACATGACGATCAAGTCATGGGTGAACGTTCTAATGAGCCCTCACGACTATTATTGTCTTTTTGTCGACTGTTTAAATTATCTACTTTGTAACGACGGCGCCTAAAATAAACAAAAAAGAAATTATTCTTATCTTTCGACATATCTAATCATACATCATGTCTACAAAGAAAACCTGATGAAAGATATCATTGAAAAAGCTTCTTTTATATATCATCATCTCAGATGGAAGTAAACACAGATAGCTACGATTCTATCATGATTTCAATAGAATATGTCATTCAATATAATCTACAAGCATTCCAAGAACTAATCGAAAATTCTTCTTGCATTAAGAAGTTTCATATAATTGAATCTGACAAGAATTCTATTGTCAATAGAAATAAAACAAATGAAAATACCTCGCATTCTGACTGGGTATGCCAGGCGGTGGCTTTGGTAAATGACTAACAGTTGATGAACTAGATACATCATCAAGCAGATTATTACTCGACGATGAATGTTGTAAAGGTTGTTGACGACGTTGAAATTCTGTAAGCCCAGTTAAATGATTATGTTGTTCAATACTTGGATGACTCGATGAACTACTAAGCATACTGCCGACAATTGAAGTTGGACTATTCGGATTATTATTTTGATAGTAAAATGATGATGAATAATAAGGATAAATATTATTATTATTATTATTGCTGTTGTTGTTGTTGTTCGTATTTGGTGATATTATTAAGGACGGATTTGTATTTTGACTTGAACGATTCGTCGATGATTGTTGATAATATAAATGATTGTTATTAGTTGTTGAAGCTGATGGTGGATCAAGTAAATCTTTATAAGATTTACTACGTTGCATACGATCAGCTAGATTAGTTGTCGTTGCTGATTGTTTGTTAAGTGTTGTCGTTGAGGCAATATTTGGTCTTGATGCTATTTGTTGGGTTTGTCGATTCATAAGATTACTTAATGTTTTATTTGTGCTGGACGGAATCGCTGATGATGATGATGATGCTGGTTGCTGTTGAAACGATGAACGACGCGGAGAATTAGTTGTTTGATAATAACCATTATTATTATTTGACGAAGAATTTTTTTCGTAAAACATTAATTTTCTATAGAAATCATCACCACGATGATTTTCGAATGCCGACGATGATATACGACTACCGTTGGAATAGCGTTGTTGATCATTTTTCAATTCATCATTATTTTCAATAGGCATCGATTCTTCTTCATTGCGAACTAATGGGAAAAAAAATGATATTTAGTATTTTTTTTTTGATTAGATTGAATGTTTTTTTTTTCTAATGCAAAAATTATTGATGATGATGGAATGGAAATAGATATTTAGGGATGTGCAGTATTAGTGGAAGTATTAAGGAATCACGTGCAAACCATAAATCATAATAAACATGCTTGAATAATTAATATGCTTTTTTTTCTCTGTTGATTCTTACTTGAACTTTGTATCGACGGTGGTTGAATATATTTTTGAAGATAGTTCTTTTTTAGAATTGATGCTGGAGCATCATTTTGTATGGGTGTTTGCAATAGAGATGTATTTGAAGTTGTCGATGGTGTACAATACTTAACAAGACTATCATTAGCAAATGAACGATTTAATTGTTCAGTTGATTTAGCTATTAAACGTGTTCCATTAAACGGTGCTGGAACAAAATTATATCCACGAGGTTTTATATGTTGTTGCTGTTGTTGTTGTTGCTGCTGCTGCTGTTGTTGTTGTTCATCAACGGGTAACGAAGATGAAGAACTAGATGAACTCGATGATGTAGGTCGAACAGATGAAGATCCAATCGTTGTACGGTGTTCATATGGCGATTGGCCATTTCTTGATGGTTGATATTGACTTCCTCCTATATTTCCTCCTGTCCCTGAATTTCCATTTCCTTTCATCATCATCAATATTGTTGAAGCATTCGGGCTCGATCGCACCGAAGTATCAATAAATGTCGATGAAGGAATATTTCTAGAAAAATTATCACCCATCATAGTCGATTGCATACTTGGTTGAGAATGTATTTGTCCATTATCTTTTCGTTTTAATTGTTGTCGTCGTTCATCATCTTCGGGCTCATGATTTTCATCTTCACGATCATCTTGTTCTTCGTGTTCATATTCATCATCTGACAAGCGATTAGCACCGGCATAATTATTATTATTTCGATTAGATATTCTATTATGTTGTCGACGAAAAAAGAAACTTTTTGTATCATCATTTAGTGTTGTTGTAGTTGTTGTTGGACGAGACAAGGGTGTTATATTAGTTGTAGTCCGATAGTTTTCAAAAGGCAGAGTTTCTGATAATGGTTGTTCATTGGAACGGATAATAACTTCTTTCTCTATAAAATAAATACCAATAATGAAGCAAAGCTCCTCTTCAGTTTCCGGATAGGATATATTTTAGAATCTTTTATCAATTAACCTGAATCTTTTATTTTCTAAGTGTCTATAGGGTTTCCGGTATTTTGTGGTTTTTCTAAGCGACGGAAGCAATATGGTTTTTTCTAAGATAAATATAGATACTTACAATGAAATCCTTGATGTTACACAAAAAAGAAAGCTGTTTGCCTAGTCGGAAAATTCTCAGTTCTACTAGTCAAGATCAATTTTTTTAGTAATAATTAATCTTGGAACATACGCTTATTTTCTTTTCCATCATAACTGTTCATTGCGCCAACGTTTGAAGTTTCATCAGCACCTCTTAGCAATGGTCGATGATACTGTTGTTGACGACCACCATTTATAATGTTTGTTGTTAGCACATTATTATTCGCTGACGTTCCCAAACCTAAACTATTACTGTTCAAAATAGTAGTATAGGCTGTAGGATTGTTTAATGATGATGATAATGATGTCTGTTGAATATGATTATTGGCACCTATTATTGGCATTTGTTGACTGTTCATTGCGGACGGAGAAAGAGGATTATTCACAGGAGGTGATGATGATGATGATGATGGAAGTGGTGGTGGTGATGACGGTGAAGATACAATATTATTTGCAGGTAATAATGATGGTGCTGGTGGAGGAGCTTGTGCTGGATGATATTGAGATGTTTCATGCGTTGTACTAAAGTAACAAGGGAATAGTTTAGTGTTGGTTTTAATTTCGAGGAAAATTTAAAGTTTGTTTGTCAGTTACAAGGCTTATATCAAGCAAGTTTTAGTGAATACTCAATTTTCTCAGTAGAAGATGAAAGATCATGTTTTTTTTTGTAAATTATTTCTTTTAAAATATACAACTATCTTTTCTCGATATTACTCGAGATCCAATGATTAGCTGTTTATAAACATATCTTAATATAAAAATAAAATAATATTCTTGTCTTTTTTACATTAAAACAAAACAAAAAAGTCAAAGTCTTTCAACCAACCTTTGAAGCTTTTCTTGTGCATCTTCCCACTTAGCACTATGTTGGTTATCACTACCTTCATCGTCGAGATTATCATCTAATGATATCATCCATTGTGACATAACTGTTTGAGGCCCAGCTTTTATTGCATAAGTAGCAGCTGGTATTGATATAGCTTCACTATCACCTGTACGTGATATCATTTGTCTTGCTGCTACTATAGCATCACTACGACTATTAGCTGTTCGAGTTGAACGTGGTGTTTTTGGTGGTTTACCATGTTCAGTACCACCGGTAGATGTATGCATAGGATTAGGCACAGAGTTCACTCCTGGTGAAGATGTTTCATCAGCATTGGGTAATAGTGATGAACCATTGGTTTGGATCTGTTGATGATCCGTAAGGCGTTCAGAACTTTTCAACTGATGTGATCGATTTAATGTTGATAGAGCGGTACCAGTTCTTGGTTTACCAGAATCTGAATAAGATACACTTGCTGGGGAATCTTCTTTACCTACAGGTTTTCCATTTGATATTTTATTCGACGGTGTTATAGGTTCAGCAGCTGCTGATTTCGAGCCTGTCGTGGTACGTCGTAGGCGTTGTGAAGAATCGGATACAGGTGCTGTTGAACCGACAACTGTTTTCCATGTTTCTTTATTATTATTATTATTATTATTATTATCAATCGGCGTAGCTGTAAGAGGCGTACGTTGCTGTGATATAGATTGTTTTTTCGACAATGAAATATCTTTATCAGTTGCATTGGCTGCTTGTTGTGTATTAGGAGTTGCAGGTGTAACAGGCGACGATGCATAGGCTCGTCGGGCATTTCTATCGAGACTTTTTGGAATGTTACGACGTGGTGAAAATGGTGAGTGGTCAGATGTAACACCGCTTTGTCTTCCGCCTCCATTTGAAAGTTTCCAACGTTCATCAAATGTATCTGCTTCGGTTGCTTGTTGACGAAGATTCATTGTTGAACTAGCACCACCTGGTTGAGCAGTTAGAATAGCTTTCGTCATGTCCCTAGAAGAAAAAAATGGTATCGAAATGAAAATAATTTCGAAGGCTCTTTTTTTTATATTGACATACATTGAAACTTTATTGTTAATATTCGATAAGACAGCTTGTTGTTGTTGTTGTTGAGTCTGTTGTGCTTGCTGTTGTAAAGCAGAATTTTGTGTTAAAACTTCGTCTTCAATACCATTCGATTCTTTTTCCCAATCGTATAAATCTGATTCTTTATATGCACGGCGAGCTATTGATGTACGAAATAAAGTTTGTAAAAATTCATAATCTGGTTTATCTTCATAATGTAACGATTGTATATGTTCAAGAAATTGCTAAATAAACAAAAACAAAATAGAGTTAGATTTTACAATCATTATCTTTTACTTTGAATTCCGATGGAAGACTTTTCAAGAAAATTGCATGATCATATTTTTCTTTCATTTGTCCGACTTGTTCTTTATCTTTAATTCTTCTCCATGGCAATTGTCCAGTGACAAATTCAATAAGCATATAGAATAAACTCCATAAATCATCATGTCGACCCATTTCCTAATGAACAAAAAAGAAACAATTGAAAAAGTATCGCTTCTTTTTTGAAAGCAAACCTTATTTTTATGTGCATTTACTGAAGCATATCGTACAGTTCCACGAAAGCCTGCTTGTGGTCGAGCTGCTCGAACACCACCTTCAGCATTCGTATATTTTCTTGCAAGACCAAAATCTAACATGAAAACTTTTCGACATGTCGTCGGTAATCGTCCCATAGAAAAATTCGATGGTTTAATATCTCGATGTAGAAAACCAATTGAATGAATCGATTCAATAGCTTGAAGAATTTGTAAACTAATACGTAATGATGTTGATAAACTAAAACATTGTCGGGTTTGACTACGACGTAATTCAGCTAAATTTTTTCCTTGTAAAGTCATCACAACATAATTATATAGCTCATTGGTTCCACCACCCAAAAATTTGCATACATGATCTTTGCCTTGCAATCGACGTAAAACTGTTACTTCCATTTTGAGTACTTGTTTAGCCTGTTTAGCTGATTCAAGTTTAAGTGCAACATTCTCTTTGGTAACAAGATCATAGGCTTCATAGATCTGACCAAAGCCACCACCCCCGATTTTAGTGGTCTAAATTCACGAGACGAAAAAAAACCCTGGTCAAATCACTATAGAAATTATCACAGAACGAAAAAAAAACATCTTTTTTTTTCCAGGGTTAAAACAGTTTCTTTTTCCTTCTTCTTCTTTTTCTTCGTTTCTCAAGAGTCATAATGCAAAAGTTCAATATGAAAAAGTGTATTTTATTTTAAACCATTTATGAAACTATGATATACTTACAACTTTCCATCGATCTCGAACTATATTTCCTGGTTGAAGAAGATCTGCTTCGGACATGTTCAATGTTACCGTGCATACTGAGTATAATAATTATTCTTTATCGACGACACCATATATACAGAAAGATCTGCAAAGGCAAAACAAAAAAAAAACTAATAATAACAAAAATAAATAACGAAGAAAATAAAGAAATTCTTGTTAGGACGGACACACGACAGAGAAAAAAAGTAAAAAAGAGAAAAGGTCGTCGTCACTCCCGATCAATCTTGCCCCATCCATACACAGCGAACGTTCTTTTTCGAGCGTCAATACTGTTTACGTAATCGAGCTCTGGCGGTGTGTGTGTATTGGATAGAGAACATAGAGTAGTAGTTCTATCATGCCTACGACGATTGTCATCAATCAATTTTGATGAACCTCGTCCTGCAAGGTTCATTATTAAATAGATGTATAAACGTTCTTCTCTTAACACATAAGCAGCTGATTCGTATCACAGCTAAGACTGTCTATTTACGAAACACAAATTAAATCTATCGAGTAGCATGTTCGTTAAACACACATATATACACGTTCGACCGGATTCATTGACATAGTTTCTTTTGGGCGGAAGAAAGCAAGGAGATATGCGTATAAGAAAATATAAGCGCATACAAGTCTTGATGTTGTTAGTAACAACAAAAAAAAGAAGAGAAGATTAATAACAACTCTAGATAGAAAAAAACACGAGTTGTTTTCAGCGTCTTCTTTAGAGTATAGTAGCAATGATACAATTCAAGAAACATATGCCATTAGCTGTCACCATCAAGACAGGCTAACAAGGACAGCATATAAATAAATTAAAAAGAAAAAAGACCGAAGACAACGAACGAAAAAATACGAATACTCTGTCCGATTAAGTTGGTGTACGCAGTAGTAGTAATACTAATGGTCAGACGAAAGTAAACGATGAACCTCGAAGTACATGAGTCGTGTTCTTTTTTTTCTTCTCCACCCCAACCAATTCTCTTCATATATACGTGTATATATATATATATATATATTGTTCATCGTTTTCGCGTTCTGTCTGTCTGAGTACAGGCGGATAGAGCCGAAATTTGAAACGCTCGATATGTGTTTCGTTTTTCGAGACTGAAAAATGAATGGGCAAAAGAACAGAGAAAGATAGACTACCTAACGGTCAATAATAATAATAAAAAATAAATAATATGTAAAAATTTCACCATTGTACATCAGATACAAAAAAAGAGGTTCAATTTTGCTTGTTTTTTTCCTTCTATTCTTTGATGATGACCTCGGTGTTTATTTATTTTTCAAATAGTATCTCACCTTACTCACTCTATTAACACCAAGAAAAAAAAAGAGTACATTCTTTATTAAAAGAAGAAAAAAAGAACTGGTACAGTGTTCTTTTTTTTTCATTCAAGGAGAACAAAAAAAAATAATCTATCATGACTATTGCAAACATTCTTTCCATAATCAACTTCTCGAAATGTCAAATCTGATACGTGCAACTCTATAGCAAATCAATCAATAGACATTAGCGATCACTCGTTTTCCGATTGGTTCAATATTTCAATCAATAGGAATTTTCGATCAGCTGTTTCTTTATTATTCTATTTACTTTTGCCGACAAAAGTCAATGGAGAAAACAATGCCAGAAAATAGTGAGAAAAGTAATAAAAAAAATTTGCTCTACACTTTATTCAATGGACAATTTTTTTAGCTGTTTTATCGTTGGAACAATTGAAAAATTTCCAAGATGAATATAAAAGTGATTTGAAAAACCTCGTCGCTCAATCGGCTTGTTCTCAACATACACTTTCGGATGTTATTGTCAACCGACAAAAACGTTTCTCAACTGTACACGTGTTTAATACAAAGGTATACAGAAAAGACATAATGACCCTGAAAGGTTATTTAAAAAATGTTTTAGTATTCACCTTCGAAGAAGAAAATTTTGCATTATACAAATTTCTACTAAATATTGCATTTAGAAATAGTATAGTTCATAAAATCTACCAGTAAAATGACATTGAATTATATAAAGTTCAATTAAGAAGGCGCTTTGAGGATTTAACGATTTAATACACCTAATCAGATTTGATTAAATCTGATATTTAAATACCATGAATTGTGTAAATTCAACATTTCTAAAGCATAACATCTAAAAATATTCAGATTCTAAAATTTAATAAAATATTCGATATTCTTTTCATCGATTGATTAGTGCGCTCAAATTTTTATGTAACAAGTGACTTGACATTTAAGTACAATCGATCAGGTGTTGCTGATCACCGGATATAGAAAATCGGAAAAAAGTATTCCGTATCCTCTGGGCAACACAATCCGATTCCGGTTAGAAAATTACTTTGAGAATATCAAATCTATGGTTCGGGTCCGGAAATTTCCGGTCCAACGGGTTGGACGCTATAGCTATTCAATGTACATACTTTAGTATGCCAAGGATGTGCAAACACTTTGAGAAAGCAATTGATATACTTCGTAATCGTTCTGCATCGCTCATGTGCATTATAATTTAATTGCTAATCATACGAGTCTAGCTCTAACGATTGTATAATATAAATGAAATTATGTTTTCTTCTTTCAGCTTGCCGTCGAAGGCCGCCCAGTAACAAACCAAAAAGCTTCAGGCCGTTGTTGGATATTTGCTTGTTTGAATGTCATTCGAATTCAAGTGATGAAAACACTTAAAATTCAAGAACTAGAATTAAGTCAAAATTATCTTTTCTATTACGATAAAGTTTGCCGACTTTTTTCTTCTTCTTCGTTTACAAATATATAAAATTTTGAATAGATCGAACGATGTCATTATTTTCTTACGTCGATGATTGAATTAGCAAAAAAGAAAGAACCAAAAGATGGTCGACTAGTGCAATATCTTTTACACGAATTACTTATTGATGGAGGTAAGGCAATCTTTGATTTGAAAATATTTTCAAAACTAAAGAAATCTTCTGTAAAGGCCAATGGGATATGCTTGTTAATCTGATAAATAAATATGGTGTTGTACCAAAAAATGCGTTCCCTGAAAGTTCATCATCTGAAGCAGCTGTGTTTATGAATAAATTTCTTCGTGCTAAAGTATATTCATTTAAGCATGAAAATAATGATCAACAATGATTCATTCGTTTTTTGTTTTTGTTAATGGTAGTTACGTGCATTTGCTCAAGAAATCTTCGACTTAGTTGAACAAGGAAATGTCAACGACGATGATTTGTTGAAAAGAGAAGCTGCAATGATGAAAGAAGTAATTTGAAAATTTGAATATAAAATTTAGTAAGTTACTCTCGTTTAGCTTCATCAAATTGTCACCACGTGTTTGGGATCACCACCAGAGCAAATAACATTTGAATATTATGATGTTAATAAACAGAGTAAAAAAATTGGACCAATTAGTCCAATTGAATTCTATCAACAAATTGTGAAACCCGTGTTTGATATTGATAATAAAGTAATTGATTCATTTCTATAATGATTAGCTTGGAATAAACGTTTAGAATACACTTCCAAAATCTTCAATAATTACCAGTTCAATATCTTAATGAGTAATCAAAGATGAAAAATAGTCATGCGTTAGAATCCTTATGAGAATAGTTAAATAGTAATTATATTCGAATTTATGCTTAAATAGAGAATCCAAAGGCGTAGTTAAATTAATATATGCAAATGGAAAAAAAAATTCTCTATCGGTCGAGTGCTTTTGAATCGGAGCAAAGAGAGTATATTGATGAGTCTAAGATGCAAGCAATTATTTCAAAAGAATTCGGTTTCTTATGTTTTTACGAACAGACTACTGTATATTTTCGAACCTTGAAAATCTAATTTGTGAGAAAAAAAAGGATTGCTTATAGTGCATTCAAACATCTTCTCAAAAACAAATATTCGTTAGAATTTAAGTAATTATAAAATAATATCATGTTACTTTATTTTTTATCAGGTATGTCTTGTGAACGATCCTCGAGCTTCTAATGCCTATGGGCGTTTATATACAGTTGAATATCTTGGAAATATTGTTGGTGGCCGAAAAACTCGATACAATAATCAACCTATTCGAGTGCTTAAGCAAGCCGTATACGATTCGATTGTCGCCGATGAAGTATGAATGTTTTCGCAAACTTCTCTAGGAATCGTTTTTTCGTCTCACTAAATAGGCTGTTTGGTTTGGTGTTGATTTTGGTAAACATATGCACGCGAAATACGGAATACTTGATTTGAAAATTTTTGATACACAACTTTATTTTAATTCAAAATTTCCGTGTCAAACTAAAGCATCACGATTAGAATACGGTGAATCGTTAATGACACATGCTATGGTATTTACAGGTGTTCATGTTGAAAAAGGGCCACCAAATGATGTAAATGACAATAATCAAGCCACTGATTTACAATTTATTCGATATCGTGTCGAAAATTCTCACGGAGAGGATAAAGCGGATAAAGGTTATGTTGTTATGACAGATGATTGGTTCAATGAATATTTATACGAAGTTGTAGTTGACAAGAAACATTTGTCAAATGAAGCTCTTGCTGTTCTTGAACAAGAACCAATTGCTTTAAAAGCTTGGGATCCTATGGGGGCTTTAGCAGATTAGGTGAGTTGCATTCTTTTGTTGAGTGACATTAGTTCAATTACAATCGATAGATAACAAAAAATATGTTTGGCGATTAGAACAGAAATGTTCATTCTGATAGATCAATGCGTAGCTTGAATCGAATTTAGAGTTACCTTTTTGTTAGCTACTGTACAAGCATTTCCAACAGAAAACGATAGTCTCGTGGAAAATAATATAAACCGTACCGATAGATTATTAGAATCTAAATGGTTATGCAAGGAAGTTTCAATTTATTAATTGACGAACTTCTGTCGGCAACATTAATATATTTTCCTACTAATACTATAATAATAAATCGTTATTATATTCGTTTATATCTACTTTTAGTTATAAAGTTTCCAACAAACTGCAAATTTCAACAGCTATCATTGAAAAATTGAAAAAACATTGATATTTTATTGCTTTTCTTTAATTACTTCGCATTTTTTTTTCTAAATAAAGTATCTATTGTTTTTTTTATTCTACCGCACTCATAACTCATCGGTATATAGTTTTCAAATAGACCACCTCGATTTGTTATTCAATAGAGAAGTGATTGATTGTTTACATCTTATCTATTTATCCTGTCGAGGTGGTCATTGTGTAAACATGTTATCAATCAATTGATTTTCGTTCATACGGGGTGGTCTGATTTTAAAGGCCTATAAATATTCAAGGAAATTCATGAAGAAAATGAGAAAACAAAAATTATGCATTTCATATTCAGTTTTATTTTTCTTTTGTTATCCGAAGAATTCGTAAAGTCATCTTCGACTCAAACAGAATCAATTATTGATTTGTATAAAAGGATTAGTGAAAAAGGTACGTTAGCTGATGGCTTAGCTCTTAATGAGCAAGCACAAATAAAACTCAAAGCAATCAATACAATTCGATTATTGCCGTTAAATGCTATGCCAATTAATAAATTCATCGTCCTTTTTAATATTAGTTTAAATAATATTAAAAGTGATGAAGAAATAAAATTAATTGAACTTCGTTTGAAATCAAAAAATGTTAATAGCTATCGAAAAAAATTACGATTAGTTATTCGTGAAAGTATGTACAAACGACGGCGATTTAATCCAATGATAATTTCAAAAGAAGAAAGTGAATATCTATCTTATGATTTAACGAATTTTTTATTTCATAACTCATCACAACAAATATTAGTTATTCGACGACAATTGTGGATAAGAAATTATCTGGACCATGCATCGCTCATTATTTATTCTCGTGCGCCTGGTATTTTCCGTCTTCCGTCATCATCAAACATTCGAACGAAACGATCCATTCAACCAAAACAAGTCAATGGTCCTTGTGCAAGGTATGATCTCTTCGTCAACTTTGACCAGTTATCGTTCGGTGCATGGGTTGTTGAACCAAAACGATTTAATGCTGGCGTCTGCCAAGGAGATTGTCCAAATCCGTTATCAAGATTATTCTATCCAACTAATCATGCTATGCTATTAAGCCTACTACATGAACGAGGTAATTCTATTCAACAACCATCGTGTGTACCTGTTCGTCTTCGACCGCTTGATTTACTTTATTATGACCGTCGAGAGTTAGTTATTAAACGTCATCAAGGAATGCAAGTTGAAGAATGTGGTTGCCGATAAAAGCATATTGAAATTGATTGTATTCAACTTTGATATTACTATATAATTTAATAAAAGATTGAAAAATGATTTTTTTTTCTTCAGAAGTATTTTCGAGATTCAAAGATCTGCCTATTAATTTGATGTTAATTTTGAAAAATTTAGTTATAAACAATATGCACTTGAGAATCAAGATTTTTCTCGACGTGATTTATCGTAGTGAAGCTATAGAGATCTTTATCTAGAAAATAGCAATGATTTAAAGTAATTATCCAAAATGATTTCATAAAGTACACATCATTTGCACTTATCTTGTTCTTATAGTTGCTTTTCTTTTAACTTCGACTTAATCAAACATTCACATTTCAGTTTCTTTTTGGTCAATCACTACTATCTTACGAAGATCTCTTTGTACGATAGCAAGACACTAATATGATGATGAATATCTTGAGCTATCTTTATAAACAGCTACTCAAAAGCAATAAAAGAAAATGAGTATTTTCAAGAATGTGGCTATCTGAACTTATCAACTAATCAAGGTAAAAAATTATCTAAAGATATGCCGTTTCCTTTTTTTCTCTAACCACTAAGTACTACTAATTATTGTGTCAAATAACAGTAGTTAATCAATCATTTCAGGGTTATCAGTTGCTTTCGTGCTTCTTGAAATTCATCGGCAGGATAATAATGATTGATTGTCCTGTCAATTTTGTACTCTTTCATATAACTGGATATACAAATAGAAATTCTAGATTTGTTCGCCTCGACTTTGTTTTGGATTGATATTATCTGAGGAGCATACGTAGCTATTCTATTCCTAATATGTTTCAAAAAAGAAAAGAAAAGCTTTCATTGATTTTCTTATTTCTGAAAATGAATGAATGTGCAACGTTTCTGTCAGTCATGTCTTTTAATAATTGGTTTTAAAGCCTCAAGTAATAAGCCCAAAAACAATAACATTTGTCAAAACAATAAACTCTTTTTTAAGCTACAAGGTTATTACTCGGAGATATTCGCCAAGAAAAAATAAGCCACAATTGTCTCCTTGTTGTCATCGACTAGCTCGTGGCCAATAGCTAACAATTAAAGACAATCGCTTCCAAATGAGTTGAAATTGTCTCTTGTCGTTTCGTGCTTGGAAATCAATTGCTTAGTTACATTGTAAAAGTTGCTTACTATAATCTTATTTATTCAACCATCGGAAAATTTCCACGTTATTTAACTGGATGAAATTGATCGAAATTCCATAATATTATTTTAATATAACATAAATGCATTGATTGTATTAAAGTAAACAAAGTGAATATTGTGGAAAAATAATTAGAACAAAAACAAAGCAGCTTTCAGAGTTTTTTTTTGATCTAATTCTTTTATCAATTAGTCTGGTAAAATTATTTCCAAGAGAATAAATCTATATATTTTGGAAGGATGCCAAACAAAGGTCAAGTTTGTTACTATTTTTAGACAACATGTTGAGAATCCATTTGTCCTTTATTGATAGATATTTTCTCGGTATAACAATGGATTTATCTGCAATTATTCAGTAGCAATATCGAATCATTAAACGTTTGTCTTTTTTTTTAAGCGTAAATTTCATGATACGATATCTTTATAAAATGCTCACTGAACTTTGGCATCGACACCAGAAAGATGTCGATGAACGTGATGAACGTATTATTGATTTAGAAATAATTATTAATAACTAAGAGCATGAAATAAACGAGTTAAAATCTCAATTAGACAAATATCAATCAGTCAACGAATATCAACGTAGTGATAATGAATATTATCGATTGGGTGTTTCAGCATCTCCATCAACGCTACTACGTGGTTTAATTATCTGGGGAAAAGTCACTTCGTAAGTACATATTTATACTATTGTAAAAAAAAAAGAGCAAGTGAATAAAAAAAAAGCCGGTATCCAACTATCTCTTTTCGTACATAACTATCAATGAGAAAGTGATTCCTAATATATATATATAAGAAAATAGAAACAGGCACGGCCGTCAAACGATTGCATGCATGCATACAAACATATATAGATATAGAGAAAGAGCTTATTGGCGAATGGATATTCTCGTGAAATCTATTGACAATATATAAGCGGTTCTCCGCCTCTTCGAATTGTCTCTATCCATCTACTATTTCTTCTTCTTGTCCGCTTCTTAATATGTTCGTCTTCAATTAGTCTCACTGCAATGCAACTCGCTCTTCATGTCATGATAGTCTTTCATTCATCTTCTACACATCAGATATTTTCACATGAGATGTGACTAGACTCTATGAAAACGAATGCTTCAAACAAAACAACTCATCGCTCAAAAAAAGAAAAAAAGAAAAAACTAAAACTAGTCTCTCTGTCTGGTCTCTTATCGATGGTTGCGTGCATCCACTTGGGCAGATACAATTAGAATTAAATAGAAAAGAATGATTGTTGTGATCTTAATTGATAGTACGGATGTATTTATACTTAGGCAGAATCTAAGTTTAGAATAACAATAGAATTAAATAAGAAATTGATAGCTATAAAAATATACAAAACAAGACGAGAAAGATAGAAAGAAAGAAAGAAACTGTGATATAGACAAAGCATATATATATCTTGATGCTACTGGTTAATAGAGGTTTCTAATTTCGACAATTCCTTCATGCGACAAGAAAGATTGACTTGATGGATATTTGAAAGGGCGCACAATCATGTAAGTAGATGTCAAAAGGAAACCGACAAAACAATGCTAAAAGAAACGAGTTTTGCTCTGTTTGCCCTCAAGCATCAATAGCAATATTCATATAAATATATCTCGAGCATCGTCGTTTTGCTTCTTGTTCTTTCTTTTTTTGTCCATACGTATTGAGACCAAGCGCGCGCGCGGGACAGAGAGAGACAGGCAGGCAGGCAAGATTTCCGACAAACAGGATACCAAGAATTAAGGAAATACGAGTATTTTTCATCTATCTAACATAAGCTTATGCATATAAATGAAGACACAGAAGTAAAGAATAGAAAAGAGAAAAAAAATATGTGGAAGCATAAATTAGTTAATGTACGATAATGATGATGATGTCCCAATAGCGTCAATGCCGCGCCTTGTACATAGACAGAAGAGTATAAGACTTCTTTCCTTTTTTCCTCCTCCTTTTTCTCCTTCTTTTCTTGTCTCTGATCGTCACCATTCGTTCGTTTTGATGACGTAAGTCAATGTGTTAATATGAAGAAGCAAGACGACGCGGCGACAACAACAACAACAGCAGCAGCAGCAGTAATAACAGTAGCATCACAACGATTTGACGATCTCATCAAGGCAAATAAAATCGAGTAGAACGATACTTTTTTTTCACGTATTTGATCTTTTGCACATGACAACTAAGATTGCAGATCGATGATGACCCAATCGATGCATGACTTGCGGCTGGCGCTGCGCGAGAGCACCAAACAACTTGAAGATGCGGAAAATGCTTCCAATAAATTACGTACTGATTATGAAAATCAACTACACAAAAAAGATGAAGTTATTTCAATGAAAGAATCTATTATTAAAGAAAAAGATGCTTATATAACAAAACTTGAAGAAGAAATATCTAAATATGATCCTACATTTGTTGTATCAACTGGCTTAAATAATGGTATGTCTCTAAATTTATCGCCACGCTCATCCCTTCTTGATGTGCCATCGCCAACCAAACAACACCGTACAAAACGCACAGCTATCAGTGCTGAACCAGCTCAACATAAAAAATCCAAAGATTTACGTGTTGTTCTTCAAGCATTCGATAAATCTGATCGGTAAGATATAGTTAGGATAGAAGATAAGCAACCTTGATTTTGACAAATCTACGCCATTGAGGTTGATCATCAGCAAAGCAGAAGAAAAAAGATGATAAAGGACAAAGGTCCTCATCTGGAAATATTGATCGACACTAAAAATACATATTACTACAGTTATATAGCAAGGACACTAATAGTGCATTTATTTTTATGAGTGCATTTAATAATTAAAATAGTCATGAGAAATTATCTGTTATATTAGATAATACAAGTGAAAATATCATTTTATTGAATGTCAAAAGAATAATCTGACATAGCTAATTTTTTCCATCAGGAACATATCGACGAATGAGGAGGTTGTTATAAGAAAAGAAGTTAGCAATGTTTGTTGTTGTTGTTATTATTGAAGAACTGCAATCGTTCGATGCTATTCAATAGTCATATATATTTATGACCGGCAGAATAATCAATGTTTTGTTTTTCGAAAGCAAAACAACTGTAAACACCCTCTAAATATTTCACCCATTCGTTACTAAAAATTATATATATACATACTCAAACACAACCAAACTATTTCCAAATGTTTTCCTAGACATTTAAGAATGTAACCTACTTATGATTTTTGATGATACTGTGGAAAAAGGTGAAACATATTGAATAAAAAAATCTCTCCATGCTCAGATACGCATCATATGGGTTTCTTCTTCTTGTTTCTCTCTCTCTCATGAAATGTAATATGCTACTATCTAGAGTAATAATAGTAATGAATATTATATAAATCGATTTAAAACAATTCAAGATGTGGTCTGCAAGAAACATCTAGCACTATAGTCGTTTAGCATGATATTTAGCAATGACATTCGGCGACATTTCTTATAAACAGAAAAACAAAACTTCGATGTATAAATGACCTTCAAGGCCAATCTTTCATCAACAATATTTTCTTAGATATAATGAACATGACAAATCTCGTCCGTTACAATTATATTAACTGATACGTGAGGTTGATTCGCGTGTCTCATTGCGTTAAATTAAAATTTCAATAAATAATCAAAACAGAACTTTATATTGGAGTAATCGATATAAACATAGTAAAAACTTGATCCATTCTTTTTTTGTAGAGAAATTTCTGATGGACAGAATTTTTTGTATAGAAAGCTATGTTGTCATCGCACTCTAACGATTCAAGAAGCTTTCTACAAGCTGAAAAATACGATATCCTATTTCTGTGTAATATGATCGGATATTATGACTAAAAATGTTCTGACAACAATTTGTATAGAATTTCGTTTTTAACCTAAATTAAATAAAAAGTCTTATTAGATCCTCGATAGTAGTGTTTATCTAGTCATTTTTAAAATAGCTTTCTTGTTATTCAAAACCCAAGCATATATTTGCTAGCTTGTATTATCTTTGTCTGACTTCTATCATATTTTGAACTAATCGATGCAGCTGCTCAGGACAAAGACGATCAATTCTGTAGCTTTTCTGAGAACATACATGCCATCAAGCTTCGTAAGTACATCAATTGATTACCCTCTTAACTGATTTACGTCATAGTCAAATCGGTCAATCAATGCTTAGAAAAAGGTCAAGTAATCGAAACTCGAGAATACAAGCCTATGATTTGTTGTAACACTCTTGTTTATTGTGATTAAAGTACTCTCGTCTTCTTTTGAGAATTAAACATTTCACATATCTTGAAATTTCTCAACGAACCATATACATTGAATGGTAGAACTTGATTAAGTTAATTTTTATTCCTAGAAAGTATTGACTGAGAAAATATGTATCTCGCAAACCAAGACAACTTTTCTTTCTCTAGATCTCGAATACTTCAACTTTTTTTGTAAGAGATCTGCAGACCGACTCGACTGTAACCTAGTTCACTTAAGAGAACAATAAATCAATGTACCTATAGAACTCGGCGACGTACGTACTCTGCAAAAGAAGCAGACCAGATCGTTTTATTTTAACAAGTCGCATCGAAGAATTCAAAGTATTGCTAAAAACTCGGAAATAATAAAAACTAACATTTGTGCGAATTATTTTTGTATACAGAATATTCAACATCCAATAATACTCGATTGAGTTCACTCTACTCCATAGATTGCTTTAATGACATATTCAACGGTAATTTCACTACAATCAAAATAAAAAACTTTATGTATACGTATCATTCGATACAATAGAAATTGCTCTGAATGAACATTTTAAATGACATAGAGTGGTCATCTTATCCGGCATACTCTCATATATCTAAATATATATATATATTGACGAAATATTTCTTTTATCGAATAGGACAAAAGAATTTCTTCGTGATGCAATATTAAATAATGATTTTATGAAAAATCTTGAAATGGATCAAATAATGTCCATCGTCGATTGTATGTATCCACTTGAACATAAAAATGATAGTTTAATTATAAAAGAAGGCGACGTTGGAAATCTTGTCTATATTATGGAAGGTAAAAACGATAGTGAAATTGGATTAGTTTTTGCACGGCAAATTCTTTCTTTTGTTTTACAGAAGGAACAGTTGAAGTAAGTAAATATAATAAAGTATTAACGATCATGGGACCTGGTCGAGTATTTGGTGAATTAGCTATTTTATATAATTGCACTCGTACTGCATCTATCAAAGGTAAGAAAAGCAAAGAAATAATCATGAATCCGATCTGAATTGTTTAGCTTTATCGAATTGTAAATTATGGGCTGTTGATCGCCAAACATTTCAAGCAATTATGATGCGTGCTGGCATGCAAAAACAAACTGATCATTTAGAATTATTGAAAAAGTAAAATTATCGCTGTTGAGAGATTACGTTTTTATTCTAATAATTTTCTTTTCTCATAGTATCAAAACCTTTGAGAGTTTGCGTGAAGATATTCTTAGTAAAATCTCCGATGCAGTTGACCAAGTTAGCTATGCCGATGGTGAATGTATTGTACGACAAGGCGCCAAAGGTGATACGTTTTACGTCGTTGGTAAAGGTTCGTTGAGTTCTATTTTTTTATTTTTCTTATCCATGAATCAAAAGTTTTCTTCGCTAGGACGTGCTCAAATAACTCAGGCGAAATCCAAATGGGATCCTGCAATTTATGTTCGACATCTTGAACGTGGTGATTCATTTGGTGAAGCTGCACTTCAAAAGTAAATATTTCGAAAACACAACATTTCTACGATCGTGTATAAACCAATATCCAGTACAGCTGCGTAATAGAGAAAACGTTCCTACATCAGATAGAATTTTCATCGAAACACTAGAAAAATAAATTGTTTTGCTTTCCACAAAATAACCATTGTTTACAATAGATAGTTCTCGGAAAACTCGTCGATATCTTATTTTATTGAGAAATTTTTTCTTTTCGAAAAGACTATTAACCCAAATTCAATAGTAAGAATATAACAAATATCTCTCACGAATGCTGAATCGTTGCGTCTATTACTTGAATTGATTACAGCTGTTGCCGTTAAGAGACACAATTTGAAAATATTTCGTGTTCTCGTCTTCCGCCCACAACTTATAATTGAATACGCGTGCGTATTTAGGGAGGAAACTCGCCCATTCAACGTTATAGCTGATGATCCAAATGGTGTCACATGTCTCGTGCTCGATAGACAGAGTTATCGGGAAATGATAGCCGATGAATTATCACGGTTGAAACGTGATGAATCCATTCGATATGCACGTAAACAGTATGTTGATTGACCTATTCTTTTTTTTTATCTAAATTGAAAAAAAATCTATTCTTGTGCAGAACAACATTTATCACCGGTGAAGATGACAGAGACTTGAAGAATCTTCGATTGGGCGATATTGAAATTGTTTGCACATTAGGTGTTGGCGGCTTTGGACGTGTTGAATTGGTAGCACGCAAAAAAAAAACGCTTTTTTTCCTATTAATGATTTGAAATAAATTTCTATCGTAGGTACAAGATAGCAGAAATTCGAAGAAATATAGTCTTAAACAAATGAAAAAACAACATATTGTTGCGATGAAACAGCAAGAACACGTTATGAATGAAAGAAATATTATGATGGACACCCGATCGGACTTTGTTGTCAGGTGAAAACTTTTTCCTAGAAAAACTTAGAGCCTTATTTTCTTTTTGTTTGATCATTATCTAGATTGTACAAGACGTTTAAAGATAGAAAATATTTATATATGTTATTGGAATGTTGTTTAGGCGGAGAATTATGGACATTATTGCGTAATCGAGGACTTTTTGAAGAGGCTGAAGTTCGCTTTTATAGCGCTTGTGTTATTGAAGCATTTAGCTATTTGCATAGCAAAGGCGTTGTTTATCGAGATTTGAAAGTAAGTCTAGCACATAGTGATAATCATTTATTGAACTGTTCAATTTATATTTTAGCCTGAAAATCTTTTGCTAGATAACAAAGGCTATTGTAAATTGGTAAGCTGTTAATATTAAAAATTTATTTATTAAAATTTATTTTGAATAAAAATATTAACCGGAGTTTTTAATTTTAGTTAGAAATCGCCGATAAATGAAAGGTTTTAATATAAATAGTATTAGACTAATTTCTAGAAATAGAAATAGAAAAATAAACCAATTTTTTTCTTCTTTGGTGATGTGATCGTTTTTCCATTGCAGTTGATAAGGTCAAGACGTTGAGTGATGATCGATAGACATAGACAGTACATTCATCATAATTATACGTTTGATAATTTGTGCATATGACTCTATTCAAAATTTCGATTAGATTTTGTTTTTATGGTAGAAAATAAATTACATCGGGTTCATAATTTTAAAAAACAAATCAAAGAACTTTTTTTTCTCTCCATACAAACAGGATCTCCGGATTCAGTTATCTATGAAATCAGGATAGACCTGAGATCTGTGCAAGACTTAAATGAGTGATGCTTTAAAGCTGATTATAGTCGTTCAATAAGAAAAAAAAACAATTCATTATATAAGATCAACGAAGAATAATTTCGATATTTTCCTGCAAGTTCTATAGTTTAGATCCTTCGTTAGTACTATCAAAAGAAGAAGAAAAAAAGAATCATAGAAACCTTGCTTATGATTTTATATATATTTTTTTCTCGGTTATGACCAGAAAGTATCTATATGTGTTGTTCTTCAGGTTGATTTTGGTTTCGCGAAGAAAGTTGGTCTTGGACGAAAAACATGGACATTTTGCGGTACACCAGGTACAATATGCAATTAGAGTCGTACGTAAAAATGAATCACATCACTTTTTTCCATTTAGAATACGTGGCACCAGAAATCATCCTTAATAAAGGTCATGATATGGCCGCTGATTGTTGGTCTCTTGGTATTTTAATATTCGAACTTATCAATGGAAAGTATGTGTAATATTTTAATTTTGTTTATATTAGTGTTTTTGTTTAGTCCTCCATTCTCTGGTTCTGATCCAATGAAAACCTACAATATTATTTTAAAAGGTATTGATGCAATCGAATTTCCTCGGCGAGTATCAAAAATGGCAGCATTATTAATCAAACGATTATGCCGGTATAAAGCCTTAGAACTGTTTTTTCTCTCTCTTTATGAATGGTTTCTTTTCTTGTTATAGTGAAAACCCTGTCGAACGTATCGGTTATCAAAAAGGTGGAATAGCAGATATTCAAAAGCATAAGTAAACTTATCATTTTTGCTCTCATACGATTTCCTATAATTTCTTTTTAAATCTAATTATAGATGGTTTGAAGGTTTTAGTTGGGAATTTTTAAAAAAAGGGACCTTAACTGCTCCATTTATTCCAAAAGTAAATTGTTCTTGCCGTTTCGGTTCTTGTTTTATTCGATTGTGACTATTTTCAGATTGAAAACGATGCTGATACATCAAATTTTGATTTTTTTCCCGAAGATGATGTACCTGAACCTGAAGATGATTTAAGCGGTTGGGATAAAGATTTTTAAAATTTCTACGCTTCACCATCTGACATTATCTGCTCACATATACCGTTGAAATACGGTGTGTAAATTAGAAATTTATTTAAGAATAAAACAAAAAACAAAGAAAAAAGAAATTGATTTTTTTGATTGTTTGTTTGGCTTTTCTCTCTTTATGCTATTTTACTTGTGTTGTATAGAAAGTTTTCTCTTCTCGTTAGTTTCTCTATTTTTCTTTCTTTCATGCTTTTCATTGTTAACTGTCGTTCTTTTTTAGTCAAAGCTATACTGTATAATTTCTCGTATAAATATTTTAGATGTGTATAAAATAATTAGCTAATTCTTTATTTTCGCATCAAATTGATCTTAAGAGATAAAATATAGCATAAAGTAAACTATTTTTATTTTTATTATTCTAATTGAATTTATGATTATCAGCTCATTAGCTAAAACCAGCATGCAACTTTTTATTCACGTAATCTTTCTCTTCTAATGCCATAGCGTTCTGTATTTTTGCATTCATCGTTCTCATTATCGAATGATAGACAACTTCCGGAAGTTATTGTTTATATCTTCGTTCAAAACAAACTTAATCGATCGTAGAACATAACAAAAACAGGCATATCGTTTACGCAGAGATTATCTATATATAAACACATACATCCGCCAAATAGAGTCATTATCAACTGTCAATATTATTTTTTAAAAGCAACAGAGCAACAGTGAGGTCAAAAAGTCTATGATCGAATGAATCTATACACGACATGTAATCAAGTCATTGAGAACAATGTAAATTTGTTCGAATATGTGTATACACTGCTGACTTTTATAATGAAATCATAATTTTGTACGAAAATTTAAAATCTTGAGAGTGACATTATGCATGGATGACTTCTCTGAATACAAAAAAAAAGTAATTCCCTTGATGATTTGCATGTCGTTATTTTTTCTTTACCGATGAACAAAAAAAAAGCCATTTAACACATTTGACTATATATGTCTCGTCCGTTAATCGAGATTTGAGTATGTTGTTCGGTGTCATATTCAACTCACTTGACGAGTCATTCATTTGATGACAAACTTAAATGTACGTCTGGCTAATATAAAAACGAAAGAGTGATGAAAGAACCATTATCTATTAGAAATAAGATAATGGATCATCGTATGTTCAATGTCTGACTTGCGACGCGAGACAGTCAGTAATATGCATATAGAATAAGGTTTCGTTTAACGATAAGATGCGATATCGTTAGTGAGGACATTCTTTTATACATATGAGGGAGCGGCTTAGATCATAAAAAGAAATGTCCAAACAAAACGCTGACCTTTCGCTTCGGTCAACATCCGCGCCTTCTCTTTAGTTATCATTAGACACTTCTTTTGTTGAAAATAAAAAAAAAGAAAAGCGCGTACAGTTATACAGACAAGTTATGTCACCTAACTTTAGTGCGTATATGAAGCCGACCATAATGATGATGATCGATTCCGGAAGGCGTTTGCGTTTTTTTTCTCTTTCTCTAGTGTTTATAAAATATACATATAAAATGTGTATATAGCTAGTATAATATGTGATGTAATTGTTAGACGCAAAAAAAGAAAGAAAAACGAAACAATTTTCTATGAAATAATATTGTACTGTTGTTTCAATCTCTACTTTTCATACTATATGTAGGACCGATATGAAGAATTTGGCGTAGTTAAGTAAAAAAGATGAGTGTTTGTATTTATAGTCAAGTATATAATTAGAATAAGAAAAGAAAGCGCCTATACACGCGTCAACCGTTTCGTATTCAATCGAAAAAGAGATCGTTTGTGACATATTTGCATTCATTCGATGCTTGAATGGTTCAAATCGGAAGAAGAAAGAAACTAAGAGTAGGCACACAAAAAGAAATGTCCAAATATTACTTTTGATTCGCATTTCTTGAGCATCTTGATATCTCTTGTGTGTCTCTTGTTCTGTACAGAAACGTACGAGAAAGAATCCATTGATCTCTAGAGAGAAAAAGGCGATACTAATGATAAGAACGCGAAACGTTTTTTTTCTCCTTCTCTCCTTCTCTCTGTCTCTTCCTCCCTTGTTGATAGAAAAATGCCTGCTGCTCACACGTCCACACGTTTGTACATATGAAAAGCATACATACATGCATACATACTCGTTGTCCTGTCTCTTTCTCGCTTTGTAAATTAATGATAACCTTGTGCAACTTTCAACAGTAAGTAAATAGGATTTAATCATATCAACGCATCGATAAAACCTTGAACTTTTGACTCAAGAGTGAGAGATCTATCATAATCCAATCTCTTGATAAATCTACTTCTGTTCATTGTTTATTTTCCACTCTTATACTCATGTTCAATGTACAAATATTTGCTTGTCATGCTCACGTTTTTCGTCTTTTATAACCACTTTAGACACATGTAAAATGATATCAGTTGATGACTGTATTTCATTCTATTATCTATCAATACATATTGTTTTTTTATTTTCAATTAAAAAACAATGGACAGCTGTCGAATCGACTGCCGATATGAGAATTTTCATCAGCAGGTATTTCATAATTTGTTTTGTTTATCATTGAGGAGGACGAAGAAGGTTCATCTCTATTGGTACGCTAGAGTAGCTTTCCGGAGTGTCCTGATGTTATCCCTACGAAATTAAGATTCATCGCACTTGTTACGAGTTCTAATGAAAGAATAACAAAATTTTCCCAATCGTGTCTGGTCATTCTGACCTTGTAATAACAAATTACATTGTAGCCTTTTCTCGAACTTCGTATAGCTCCTTTCTAGAAAAGAGAAATTCTTCATTAACAAAATCCAATCGCTTTTCTCCTCGTCTCAAATTGAGTAAAAACTAAATAAGATTCATAACTGAATTAGTGCCGATCTGAAGTATCCGTTGTTTTGAAGTTGGACAAGCAATCATTTAAGGTACAAAAAAACAATCATATTCATCATTTTCTGCATGAATGAGAAGGCGTCTAATATGATTATCGCTTCTGCTTGTATTGATAGATTCATCATCGTCAAAAAAAGAAAGTCTCAAACCAGTCAGTCATTTATCTGCTTGTTACATTCGCTGTAAGCATAGACAAACAGTATACATGTATATTTTTTAGATGAATGAATGTTATTATTACCTACTCTTACTGAGTTTGTTCAGTAATTTTCAACATTCATTATCATACGAAAATTTCGCACAAGATTTTTCAATTCACTTACCTAACATAACTATACAACATGTATGCGAAAATGATCTACTTTTTATAAAATGTTCAAACACAAGTGAGACCATACAAATTATACGTTCAATGTATGGCCGAACATCACAAAGAATATGTAATAATAATTTAACGTATCGGTTTTTTGATAAAACATGTGCAAATATTGAACAATCAAAATATCAAACAAAACTTCGGTAGAGAAATTTACTTTGCGTTGGTTTTTGTTTGGTATTAATTTGATGTTTCTTTTTAGTTGTCACGAAAGATCTTCATGTCAAATCTTAATTGATAATAATTTATTTACTGATCCATGCGGATTAAATATTCCAAAGCATTTTGAAATTCATTACCGATGTATTGATAAAAGTAAAACAGTGAAAAAAAACTAGTAAAATACGAAATGGAAAAAAAATAATGTTTTTTTTAGAACAAATCTGTACAAAACTATTTCTTAATTGTTCGAAATCCAGCGATTTAAAATGTATTCAACAAGTTCAAGATGAATTCTCTTGTCAATGTCCAACAACAATTTGTCAATATAGTAGATCTATTTGATATAGGCAAATATTCAAATCTAATTCATGTCTTCTAGATAATAATAATCAAATAATCGGATTCGCTAAAAAACATTGTCCTGAAGAACAGCTTCAAGGTTTTCATTGGCCTAAAACCGCTATTAATAAAAGTCAATATCTTCCGTGTCCTTCACTATGCACTGGTATGTGTATAATTAATGTATTCGTTAGCACAATAGAAGTCTTTTTTTTCTAGGTCAAGTGTTTCGTTATTGTAATTTCAATAGTCAATGGTCGAAAGCGAATTATACTAATTGCGAATGTCTGATAAACCAGTCTGACCAAGTAATATGATCGGCCGATGTTTTTTTTTATCGATAAATTTTTATTGATTAGTTATCAACACTTCATTCGGCCAATAGCTATATTTTTCAATGCAATTTTTGGCTAATCAATAGAATCTTGCCTAAGGATAGTTCATGTATTCTTGTACGTTGTCTTCTTGATACATTGAACATGCTCGACTTTTTTTTGTCTTCTTAACATCTAGCCATTTACAAACTGGGCCGAAACGACTGACGATGGGTCATTGAGTTGTCTGTTAAATGCATTCGAAAAAATAAAAGCTAACTCGTGTTTCGTATCGCAATCGTTTGGAATTGATTTTCAAAATGTAGCTTTTGAAATTTATGTACCAATGAAAAACGAAAGTAAATTTCAATTGAATCAAATGATTGTTGATCGTACGAATGTAAATCAAGAAAGTTTTCTTGTCAATTCACCGATGATGTTTATCGACACGAAAATTTCTAATACAAAAAATAAATCATTTATTTTAATTGAACAAGAAAATTATCTAAGTCCAATACAAACAGCCAATGTTACAGTGATATTTAATCATCAAGTAAGTTTGTCAATTATTTCGAAAATGTAAATGATTTTTAAAGTTCAACAGATCGAAAAAAGAATGTGTTATTGAATTCTTAATCTAATTTAAAAGAAAATAGTAAATTTCTAGTCTTGTTGCATACTACAAAAGCGTTTATCGAATCTTCTGTTTTATCCTTGATCAGTGCATCGACATTCAGATGAGTGCCAACATCTCTTGTCTCTTTTGTGTTACCGACATGTATCATTAGTAAGATATGAGAAAAACCCTATTAGCAATGCATCGAGTCATCTCATGTGCAAAAATCTATTTCGAACACATATCAGTTGATTCACATAAGTAGTTTAGTATCTGCTATCTCGTGCGATGGAATATTATAGCATTTCCACTTCTTTTGTTTTCATCGAGATTTAATCAAGAATTCTCATCAATCATTCCTTTGACTTCAATAGATCTGAGTCGATAATCGAATAGGATCAAAGAAAAAATGTTTCTCTCCTTTTATTTGTATGTTGCAAAACTTTGACCTTAATTTAAAACATATTTTTTTATATTTTCAGTCATTTGATTTTCGCTATCAATGTCGCGCTTATCGTTCAGCGAATTTCTCATTATATGTCGAGTATAAAATAATATTCTTTTCGTTTTTAATCACTTATTTTTGTTTGATCTAGCAAAACAAATATGTTTTTTGCATGTCAACTATTATGTTCGAATGGTAGTCATGTTATATGTCAATGTCCATTTTTCAATCCATTCATGCATTATATTTTGCATATTGACGTAAAGAATCGCTTGATTTGTATTCATATATGATGGATCGTTCTCGGTGTTTTTGTTCTCTTCTTCTTTGTAGACATCAAGAACTGAAAGTGATTTTATGATTGATAATGATTTAAATGGAAAGTGTTTCGAAGAAAAGAACTCTTCAATTTATGAAAATTTCAATAAAATAGATCGATACTTGACACATATTTCATCGATAGGTTTCGCTAAGGTTTGCTTTTTTTTATTCCAAAGATAACAGTTTCATAGTATTTCGTTTTTCATTAGAAACTTTTTGCGCTGATTGATAAAACAGTTGAAAAACAAAAGGTATTTACAAATGGAAATATTATCGATCGATTTATTAAACAAATTGAATATCTTGGTTTTCAATTAATGCATCTATCAAATTCGTTTATTTCAATTTCGAATCATATTGGTACGCATAAAGAAAAAAAGCAAATTTCTCTTTGATCAATTGATTGAAAAAAAAATTATGTTTTAGAATTTTTTATTAAATCTAAACAATTACAATTTGAAAATCTTGATCGATCCGTATCTGTGTCGATTATGAATGAAATAAATCAAATTATGGATTATCAAATTATATTTTTTACAATTGCTAATGTTAAAACAAATCAATCATTAAACAGTCTAATAGCCTCTGTAAATTTATTACCGAAAACGATTTCAATAGATAATATTCATATTACATTTCGTCATTTAAATCAATCCAATCAAATACCCGTCTGTGTTCATTTAAAAACTGTTCAAAAGTAACCGAAAAAGAAATAATAAGATTAAAATATATTTCTTGAGTTTTCGTCTTAGGAATAATCTACAATGGAGTACAGACGGATGTCAATTGTTATCAACAAATTTAACACATTCGATATGCTCGTGCCATCAATTGGGTACTTTTGCTTTACTTCTCAATTATCAAAAGAAATCGGATGAAAATAATTTACTATTTTTTCCAAAAATTGGTTGTATTATATCGATTGTTTGTCTTCTATTGGCAATTTTCATATTGATCATCATACGGTAAGGATTTTCAATTCGAAAATTAAACTAAATGTATTTCCTTCGATGATATATGTAAGTCTTGTTAGATGTGATTTGCATGTTAACTGCGCCGGGTCCAAAATCATACCGAATCCATGATTAACTCGGTAGAGTCTAGGCACGACATCGATACTACTCATGTCCTGAAGCAAAGCTTTTACTTTCGAATGAATCGAGAGGATTCAATTTGATGAAATTTCATTCTGAGCATGTCTGCCAATAGGGAGGGATGGGATTTCATGTACACTCATCTGCAGCCACCTGGAAAAGTTCAGTTTTTTTCATCACAAAAATGTTTCTAGAAATTTTAACAATCAAAACTAGTGTTGATTCCGAGAACTCTTATGCGTAGATAAAAACCATTGAGAAGTGAGCAAATATTTCAAGAAACTCATCCGATGCCAGCAATTTCATGCTGATTAGTAATACGCAAACAGTTATTAGATTCATGCAAGAAAATAATTATTTAAGAGAAAACAAATAGAGCGAACTTTATATGATAGAATGAGGAGATTATCGGAATTAGTTCAGGAGAGAAGCAGCATTCACATGTTTCTGTAAGCGAGCTCAACCGATTTCCATGTAATTATTGATTATATTGCATTAGTTATCTTAGGATTTCTTTGGGCAAAGTAGTATCTGATCTCTCCGAACTAAAAATAACTTTGATAGACATATTGAAGAGATTATTTAAAAGATTGAGTTTTATTTTTTTGGAGAATAAAAATATTCGTCTCTAAACGTAGTTCGTCAGAAATACTAGGCTTCTTTTTTGTAAAGTGTTTCACTACAATTAGTTTATCATAGATATCTTTAATGTCCAACGTTATTTCATAATTTGCTTTACTTATAATTTCAGTTAAGGAGCAAGTTAATAATTTGAGGGTCGGTACCTGCCCATGAAAATCCTTATTTACATAAAATATTCTATGTTTCTGTAGAACAAAGTCAAATCAGCATCACAGCAATTTTACAAAAAACTTTCAGCATTTTACAGTTGCAGAAATAGAATTGTGCTCATCAATAGAGCTACTGTGATCAGAATACGCAGAAACATTTTTTTAAAAATTATCAACAATTACTGGCGTCACTTTCCCACCGAGTCAAAATGACAGTATCTCAGTAATGTTTGAATCCGGCTTTCCTAAAACCAAATGTTTCACATGATTTTAATAAATTAATATCTCAAGAGAGTTGGTAATCCAAGTTTCTAATACATGTGAAAATTTCATTTTTGCTATGTGGGCATTTAATTAAGAGGGAATAAAGATGGCCGCATCCCTGGATTTCCTATTCTTAAAAACTGAACAAACGCTTGTGATGATCGGAAGCGCTATTTCTAAAACATTGCAGAGTTTTTTTCTCAATCGGAAATGCCATTGTTGATACTGAACAAAAATGTTTGTCATCGTCGGAAATACTATTTACGGAAAGTTAATACTAACAGTTAGGTCAAACGAACACAGCTTATCTATGTCTAGTGATACTGAGCAAAAGTGATGACCGAAAGTCAAGTGTGTTTCCTACTATGTGAAAATTTAGCTTTTATAGATTTCATATGGATGTGGAAGATGATTTAACCATTGTTCGTAATGCTTTGCATATAAATATGTCGTTATGCTTAATTATTGTCCAAACATTATTTCTAGTGGGCATTGATCAAACAAAACATAAAGTAAAATGCTAAAATAAAAATGAATATTTTCTAATTTTTGAAATCGACATGTTTTCTTTTCTAGTTCGGCTGTCAGCTGATATCTATATTACTTGATTATTTTCTATTGGCAACATTTTCATGGATGTTTGTTGATGGCATTGAATTACTAATTGCATTAAAACACGTTTTTAAAATTGACCGAATACGTCTAATAGCTTATTCAATATATTCCTATGGATTTCCATTATTAGTCGTTTTTCTGTCAACAATTCTTTCAACAAAGACTAAACATGGTTTAAGCGCCTAGTATGTATTATAGAAAATCTTAATAACTATAAACGAGTCATATTTTTCAGGAATTTCAATTTTGTTTTATTTTGATATTCATATTTCACATGACACAAGAGTCTATCTAAACTAACAAAGTCGAAACGTTGTAGAGAGATGATGAGTCAGATCCTATGTCTTAGGCAACTTTCCTTTCGTGTTACCCGCGACCGATGGTGCAAATGTTTTGATATTTTTTGTGATCGCGAAGAAGAGCATTTTTTCGGAAAGAGAACAAGATACCGGACTGTGAAGTATTCTATTGAGTCTTTTGAAATTTCATATGATAAACATTTGTTCGTTTTCGTCTTAGCCAACCTAACATTTGAGATTTCTTCGTCGGGGTACTTGCTAGAAGAAACTCGACTATGTCAATAAAGAGAAATGAATCATTTTTTCAATAGAATTAGAATTTTCTAGAATGAAATCCGAATGAGCTTTTCCATTTATATTTAATGACAAACACACCTCGGAAGTGTATAAGTGATGATTCTCGAGGAGCGCTCGTCAAATGATGCGATGTCGAATGATTTTTGTGCACGATGAAGAAGTAAAACAAAATAAGTGTTCATTTATATAATTGAAATAATTTCTATGCAGAAAGTTTTTTGTATTTATACTTTATAACAAATACAAAATAGTTTTACTTATTCACCGAATATTATTTTTCTACTGACCGATCTGAGATCTGCACAGCGTAGCTTGCGATTTTCTTAGATTCTTCTTTCTTGTTAATTGTAGCAAACACCGATGATGCGTTCAATTAGTTTTACGCAAATTTTCTTTCGGAAAAAAACTAGTAAATGAGAATAATCAGCCAGAAAATTAAGAAAAGCATTATAGTATGGGTTTTAATTCAATCTGCATTTGATGTCAAGGATAGAAATTGACAGGCTTATTATGAACACTATGAACTGAAAAAACGCTTCTGTTTATTGTTCATTTAATCTACGCAGAATAAAAATAATTTGTTCGGTTTTATTTTAACATGTTGATTAGAAGCATACCATTTACTCTAATGCATCATTGATAAATTAGAGTGCTTATTCGTCATAAATAATCTTAAAACAGCTTTTATAAAACTGTCATTCTTCTACAAAGAGAAGATTAAACCGAACATTAAATTAGACAAGTGCTTAGTTATTCTTACTGCTAAGGAAATTAATTATTTTCTAACTTTTATCATGTTGCATGTTATCAGCAGTAGTGTACTTCAGGGATTCTGTTATTAATAGCTGATTGAAAAATTCTCCAAAATGATAAATACTTAGATTTGGATAAGATTGTCTTCGACGGAAATACAGCTGATTGTACCTGAAAATTATTTTTTCGAAAATGGCATCCATCGTTTCTCTTAGATTAGTTGTGAATTGGAATCCGATCTTATTAAAAAATACGTGGTCCGATTCAGTTTTTCATACTTATTTTGAATCTATTTAATTGAGTTTCAGCAATAATATACCTCGAACACAAGGTTATCGCATTACTATTAAGGAATAAAAATAGAAAATGCGCAATACAATAAGTCTTTTCTAGTTCTATATTTGGTGCAATATCATTGTAGTACCTAACTGAACAGGTTAATTAATGTACACATAAATATATATATATTGTCTCAGGTTATCCATTACGACGAGTAAACCTCCGACGCAAAGAATCATGTATCGAAGAAATTGTTTTAGGCTAGATGTGAATTAAGTACATTCACACACTTAGAAATAAATAATAAAGCACTTATCATAAAAAAGTATATGTGGTGAAACGCAATTCAACACGAGTGTTGAAAATGTCGAAGCAGAAATAAGGACTCTCTTTCGTAGACATTTTCGAGTATTTATCAATATGGCTTTGCTCCAATGAATAAACTGCTCTCTGGTGGCTTTTGAAGATGATAGAGTAAAAAATTGTTTCCTAAAACAGAAAGAATTACGCACAAACAGTTCGACCATGTTGCGTATTCTAATCTCACGAGAATTGCACTTAAAAATACTTCTTCAAGCACCTAAACTGGTTTATCTGCTAGTGAGAAAACAACCCCATTAAAATAAATATAATATAAATACGCCATGAATTTAATAAATGATATCGAATCATGCTTACAAAACTGCACATACAATTCCGTCGAAGTGTTTTTTTATTTCCGGACGTTAATAAATTTTCTATTTTAGTTGTTGGTTATCGCATGACAATGCGTTTATCTGGGCATTTGCTATACCTTTTATGTTGATAATTATTGTAAGTTGCTAAGATAAGAAGAAAATGTTTATAAGAAGTCATTATTTTTAGGCCAATTTTTGTTTTTTCATCGTATCGATTTATTACATTTGTCGAAAAATAAATTCTACCGATCATCGAAGTACAATAAGGTTTGTATAAAAAGATGAGAAAAATGGTGTTTTGAATGTTTTCTTTGAAGATTTTCTATACGTGATGTATCAGCCATATCGATTCTATTTGGTTTAACATGGATTATAGCTCTATTTTTTCTTTATGATCAAACCATTCTGTTTGCATTTATATTTACTATACTTAATTCTGTTCATGGTTTATTAATTTTAATATTTTATTGTTTATTACAAAAATATGTTCAGAATGCATTTGAAAAGTTCCAGTTTCATAAGAAACGCCGTAAATTGGTAAATGAAAATTAGAAAAAAAATGAACAAAACACTGCTTTCTTCTTTCTTTTAGTTATTTTATAATTGTGTTAAAGGAAATCAAAATGGAAATCCGACACGTAAGAAATGTTTTGCAATTAAAGTTTTGAATTTTATTTGAATTTGTTGTAGATGAAAAATCGATTGAACACTTTTCTTTACCTGACAATACAAGTAGTAGTGATTATAGTTCAGGACCTTCGTTAGATATGAGTAGTAAACAAATTATATGTAATCCAAGAGAAGATTCAAAAACGAACTATACAACATCAATTCGTAACCAATATGATCGACGATCTGGTTTAAATAATGAAACGTCCTATCTACCAAGTATACCCATTAGTTTATTAACAAACCGTCTGAGTACTTTTCGATATCCATTACCATCAAATGAAATAAATTTATCCTATGAACAAAATCAACAGCTACTTCAAAAAGCTCTAACACATGAAGACGATCATCAGTATTATGAAATAGGTTGAACTTTCTCTTTTCTTTTTTGTGTGAGTGTGTTTTTGTATCTTTTTGTCTCTCCGGTGTTATATATATAGAGAGAGAGAGAAACAAAGAAAAAAGTAAAAAATTAATTCATTTTTTTGGTTCAATTTTGAATAATATATATACATATTAATAAATAGATTTTTAGTCAAAACAACACGAACAACAACTTTAATTATCTTCCTTCATCAGCGGAGAATTACAGGCCTGGTAGTGGTCCACATCGACATAGAAGATTGACAAAATGAAGTCTTTTCTGACGAAATGTGAAAGTGCATATATTAACACAAGGGGGGGAAAGCGGATCCTAGGGTCCATCAGCGTCCAACAAGTCTGATCGGAAAAAGAAGGGATTGGTCATAGGATTTTCGAGTAAGAAGCATGAGTGAACAGATAAGATTGACATATTAGTCAATTACGATGAATTTTTCGATACTTAAAAATCAAGTAGGATGTAACATAGGAATGTACAGCTCACGCTCATGAGCGTGAGCGGTATATTCCTAATTACTATTATTATCTATTACGAGTAACGAGTTTTTAATGAGGGATTTATTGCAATTTTTATTTTATCTGTGTCTTATTACATATTAAAGTAAGCATCTCTTTTGGATGAATATTTTCATTGAGATAAATCAAAGTCTATCTCTTATTAATTTACTCCTACGACGTATAGTTCTCAATTGGAAGTCTAAGTATAATATGGCAAGAGTTTTTTCATTATGAATTACAAACGAATTGGGAACTTTATCGAAACAAAAGGAAGAAATCTATTACGGAATGTAACACAGAAGACTCATTGATATGTGAACACAAATTTTATCTGAACCAGCAACACGATAATGACGAGTCTATAATTTTATTAAGAGTTGCTGTAACAACAAAAACAAGTGTCTTTCTTTTCACGAAGTCACATGATGAACAAAAATTTATAAAAATAAATTCTAATTTTATTCTCCATTCCCTATTCATCTTTTATATAATTTAATTTAAAATCTGTTAACTACTCATTGTTTATAACAATCAAATACAAATTTTTGTCCTACGCGTCCTTCTCGTTGGAGGCAACCGGTTGTATAAACCACAAGGAAAAGATTCTACTATTGATCAGAAAATTGGTCGTACTTGATTATTAGGCAATACATATGATATATTATCAATAAATTCTCATAACTCCGGAGCAAAGAACATTAGTCGGTTTGAGAGTAACTTACTTAGTTCAAGATTTTGTTTGATGTTATTTTCTTCCTGTCTATTAGAAAGTAAAGGATCAATTGATTATCGTAGTAGTGAATCTTCAGTATTGATTAATATTGTTTCATGTAATCGAGTAAGATGGTTCGAGAACATAATTTGGCATAGACGAAACCTATAAATAATAATGTCACAAGAACATACAATAACTTGAAAGAACAGTTTCTTTTTGATTCCATTCAGAAGTGTAGTGAAAAAAAAATCTTTTTTACTAAATTGCTTCTAACGACAATTTTTAATCAGCAGTAGCCAATGAAAAACTTTTCAATGAGAAAGATTAAAATCTTTCATTTACATTTTTCAATCGTATATTAGACACAGTTTTAGCTCGAATCTTGAATGAGTCAATACTAATTCGTAATGTGTTTAATTTTAACATAGGCAAAACCAAAATTGGCTTTTTTATGTCGATTACTGTCTCAACTTAATTTAAGAATAAGATCAGTAGTTTATCATCAAAAATAATTTTTTGATGTATATGACGACGAAGTTTATTGATGACGAACGAAAGTACACAACTGATATAAAAATGAAGAAAAACAACAAAGAAAAGGTTATCTGAAAAGTTTCAATTGATACGAATGACTTGGGTATTTTTCTAAATGATAAACTTATCATTCATATCTATGTCAATTAATCGATGATAAGAAAAAGGTCAGATGGCAAATCTATAATATATTATTATTTTGAACTTGCATCGTCATAAAAGATCATTATCATCAATTTAGGAATAAATATGAAAAGAAAATTTCGATTTAAAAAAATCCTAAAGCTAAAGTAAAAAATGAAAAACTTTTAGAAATTGATTGAACCAGCAGCATTAAAATCGGTCTTCGTGGAAAATGTTTGTAACATTTGTATGAATTCATTGGCTGATGGTAAACGACCTGTTTCAATCTTGGACCATAGTGGAACATCATTAACTGATATTTCAAAGGCACCCGTTGAGATCAAATATGATTCAATTGAATTCGAAAAGAAGAACACCATTAAACATGCATACATTTTGTTTTGTAGTGCCCACGAATAAGCTGCTGGAGTTGGAATATTTAAAAGAACAAAAGGGTTCTGGCCAAACAGAAGACAAACAAGTAAAGCCATTTTAACCATAGATAAAATACGCGCCATTAAAGCTTTGGAAGGTGCTGGTGGATAATTCTCACCAACAACATCCATATGTGGGTAGTGTGTTCGAACAAGTTGAGCGAATTGTTCAAACACATTTCGGTACCTGAAAATAAAACGGGAAAACTACTTTATTTTCTAGATTATAAATGAAAAATATTTCTATACCCTCAGCTATGGCAAAATAAAAATTTAATTGTTGGTACGCCTTGTGTTTTAATTTTAGGTGGTGGTGGCATATGTAGATTATCGTTTGAATCACTATTAAATGATGATGATGAAACAGATTCACTGTTCTTGGTTTCAGCTGATGCTGAATTAAAATATGATCTTGTTAAATCATAGCATGTTGATAAAAGAACAAGACTCAGACCGAGAAGTAGCTTCCGGTCGATCATGTTCGACACTACGGAAAATAAAACTAATGCTCTATGACCCTAGCAATATAATAAATATCAATAAATAAATAAATGACATTGCAAAAAACAAAACATTCGATCATAAACCAATCAGTGTTTAAAAAGATTACATCAGAGAACGTTGCTAATCAACCAATGACATCTACAGGACGACGAGTATGACATAAGAAAACTTAAATATTGTTTGATTACTTGGAAACATGAGAGTTTTATTTTATTAAATAGGTTTCTGAAGAGTTTTCTTCTGAAGGGTCAGTGAATCAGAAATAATTAAGTTTTTAAATTCGAGAATTTTGATCTTAATGGCTGTGTGACATCAAAATTACATACATCGCGGCGTTTGTCAGGATTCCAGCGAAAAACTTATTTGCAACGGACGTCTATCTCGTGATTTATCAGGACACTGCGATGTATGAAATTCAATAGATGAGTGAAATCTGTACTAGAACGCTTGTGTTGAGTGGTTCATTTTTTTTGTTACCGAAAAATTGATAAGTTCAATTTGCTAAAATCCAATAGCAGTAATTGTTAATTATAATATTTTTTTAATTATGTTATTGTAAGTCTTGCTTAAACTAGAAAATCTGACTTTTGCCACTTGTTAATTTGAGAAAGTATGTCGTTCAATTAACTAATCAAACTATGCATTCAAAAATGAACTGTAACTATATTTTATTCTTGTTTTAAAGTATTATAAATTCTAGGACGCAATGCATTCGCGTAATTTCTATTGAGAGTTTATCTTGAAATTGCTGTTTTACAAGATCGAAAAGGTTCTAGTGTTGCTTTTGAAAACAGGAAAAAAGTGATCAAAAGCAATGATTAAATGTCGATAAAAAATAAAATCTCATTCAATCAATTCTATATTTACTTGAATATTCAACTTTGCAGATAGAAGAATTTTAACATAATTATATTGTTCATATAGAATAACACACTTTGATTATGTCAATATGAATAAATATTATTTCCTTTCTTCATATTAGTTTTTTTTTCTGTATGAAAGAATTTAGAAGTTTATTAACAACTTCTAGAATTTCTTTTTCAAACTCATTTGCTAAAGAACGCAAAAGAATATTTTTTTATAAAACTAACGATAACAAAAAAAAAAATGACATACTAATTATTCTTGAATGTGCTTGGCACCTAGTTGATTCCTTTTTTTTGCATTGATTGCTAGTGCTTCGGTCATCTCGAAATTTAATAAAATGACAGAAATAGGCATACGGTTTTCTATTACTGATGCGCCATTGCAAGTTGCAACAAAGACAAGTATACCTCGCAGAAGAAGAAGCCCAATAGGGGCTGCATCTTCTAATTTATTCAATCATCGTCAACGAAACCATCGCATGCAGTACACTGCTCTGTTGCCGATCATTTCTTTCACACCCTTCTCTGATTTGAAACAAGATTTTATTCGCATGGCAGCTAGTAAAAAATCTGCAAAACAAACTACGACGATACCGACGGTTACATCTCCGATGTTTACGGAATATCGTCTTAAAGTTCCACCATCTGATACGCCACATCACAAACCACGCATAATGTCATCGTATCGTACAAGTATTTCAAATATACCTAAATCATCGCTCAGTTATCCAACAACAATTCCTCGGCCAACAACGCCACCCTATCGTCCTAATTATTATTTGCATCAACAACAACAAGGTGAACATTTACTATATGTTCTTAAAACAGCAGCAATTTCTCGTCGAGCTGCATCAGCTCACATATCGAATAGTAGTAACAGTAATAATACTATGAATCCATTACCATTACATCAACAACCACATTTTTTAACATCACCACTTTTACCACGGCCACATCCACAATACGGTCATTTTCTTGCATATCTTAGACGACAATCATTAGCTCGTCTACGCCGTAAACAAGAACAAGAAGCAGGAAATACAGATACTATTGACACAATAGTAAAATTTAATTCAAATAAATCATCATTACAGTCATTGCAATCAACATCAAATGCATCTCTTGGAACATCAACACCAGAAATAACATCCGTGCCAATCATGTCTTTAGCATCAAAACGACGAACACGACCAACATCATCGTATCATCAACAACAACGACGTCCATCATCGTCAATGCCAACAAATTATCGTTTAACTTTAAATCAATCACCACCTCCCAGACGACCGCCACCATCCACGCCTTCAATACAAACTCCAAGAAACAATTCATCAGCTGATCAATCATTATTGATATCACCAAAATCAGTTGTTCTGACACCAACAAATTCAGTTATTGATGAAACAACAAAACTACCATCAATAAAAGCTCCGTATGAATTAGAATTAAGTGGTGATATGCTTAATTATTGTTACGTTAGCGATAGTGGAGTTAAATATCAAGGACAATTACTTTGTACATCTGTTTAAATAAGAATTTTTTTTTAAATGTTTGGTTACTATATTTTAAAAAAAGAAAAAGAATATTTATTTAAATATTTTCGAAAATACAGACGTTTTTGATGATGAACGTTTCGTAGTTGATGTTGCTGCTGAAGGAACAGTATTTGCTGTCGTTGGTGAACCTGCTTTAGTTGCAGGCGAAAGTAACGAATTCATTGATGTTTGTGAATCCGGTTTAATTAGTTTTGTTGTTTTTTGTATAAAACTTGTTGGCATCGGAGGTGGTGCAGGAATACTGATTGCCGATAATACAGATCTTTCTGTGTCGTTCGCGATTGTAAAATGAATCGATGAACTCGACGACGACGAGGATGATGGCGAAGGAAAAGTTGCAATCGAATTTATCGGTATTGTTGTTGGTGGTTCTTCGTCAATAGAATTCGAAGCAACAACACGTTCACGTTCTTTTCGTACTTCACGAACAGTGCGATGAAATAGCTGTTGAACATAATCATAATCATCAGCTGCTGTTGTTTCACAAAAAGCACAACTGTATTTGGCTGCTATTGCTTCACCATCACATTTTGGAATCACTCTAAATAGATGTATAAATATTTTGGCTTGTTCATCAAAGCAATAATGTTGAAATATTCTTTTTTTTTGTCATTATTTACCTTACTCGTTCTAAATCAAGTTTATTTCCAAGCAACATAAGAACAAGTTCATTTGTTGATACAGTTAAACTTTTCGAATAACTTGTTATTGCATCTAGATAAGCCAATGCCATTTCAAAGCTATCTTGTTGTGTGATACTATATGTTATTAGTACTGCATCAGCCCATTTTAAATAATATGGCAAACGTTTATGATCCTAAAATTGTAAAAAACAAATGAACTTTACAGTTTTCTTTCGCTGATTGTCTTTCATTACTTTTCCATAGGTATCCATGATCTTGACCAATACTTCTTGTTGATCAACAACATCCGGTTTCCAATAGGTGTCTTCTATAATAGCAAACAAAGTTCTATTCTGTTTTTGGTTTTTGAAAACATAAAAAAACTAACCAAGAAATGGATCGTATTCACAAATGAAGCGTTTTGTTAAATATTTAACAACTAACGCTGATTTGCCAACACTTTGTTTTCCAAGTAGAACAACATTAACTTCTTCTTTTGGTAGACTGGCAGTTGACTGATGAGTTTTAATTGAACTGTTAACTGGTTTATAGCGACTCATGTTTTACTAAAATACGTACATACATATATTAATAATTGATTCTACAATTCTGTTCTTTTGATCAGGATTTATTGATAAATAGATATCTACATATAATCACCTTCTGTATCAATAACATTAACGAAGAACAAAAGGGCGAAAGAATGTAGTAGTCTGGTACGTTCCTTTTTTCTAATAATACGATTATTATACACATAGCAAAAGTCAGACTGCAGAGAGAGAGATAGAGAGGAAAATAGTGCGCACACAACATACAGCAAAAACGATGTAGAGAAAAGGCGGTGTGGTTGTACACATAGTGGAAACATCTTCCTAATACAGATGTTTAGTATAGATTGACGAGCAGAAAAAAATCGATCATTAAGAACAGAAGAAAATCTATGGAACATTTTGCTTACATAGAAAAGCACGACACACACGGCATAATCGATTGTAGAAGAACCTTGCTCAATCAATCTTATTGATTTAGCTAATACTTTTATTCTAGCGTAATCTATCTAGACCAGAAACAAAAATGCATATCGTTGAGTTATTCCAAAAGAAAAATAGATACTACGTATATAATTACTTTTAGCAGATTTCTATTCTCTAAAGAACGATGAAATATATAATAGACATTTCTTTTTTGTACGATAGATCTTCGACAATTGTACATTAGTAATTAAAATAGCTTATCTTCAAGTATGTTTGTTTGTATTTCATCTCTTGGGAATATCATGACGTCAATACGGTGAATGAGTTTAACGAACTTGAATATTCATATCAATGGTAAAGGACATAGCGAAGGAACTTTTATTTTTCGAAATTTTCTACAATTGAAAGTTCTTCTAGATAAAATTATGATAGTGTGTTTGAAAATTAGTAAAGATTTTTTTCATCATTGATAAATATCAATATCCTATATTCATAGGTTAGCAAGGGAGTCATTTTTATCTCTCATATAAACCTCATGTTGACCTTCACATGTATTAAATTTGACGCTTAACTATTGTCTTTTGCTCTTAAAGAAGGCCACGATAATGTTCACAAATCAAAGCGTTAAAATTCAACGTTGTTTTAGAAATCTATTCGATGCAAGAATTGTTTTTGATAATTTGCATAGCACATCCTAGATGATTTTTCTTTTTCGAACATATAAAAAGAAAGAGATTAGCCAAATGGAATATCCTTAGAGAAAGAAAACAAGCAAATTTTCATCTGCGTACTGTCACATGAAATTCTTGTCTTAATGGTTTATCGAATTGATTTAACTAACTGACCTTACTGGCATCATCATATTCTCGGAAGACTGTATATCGTATCTAGTCAATCAACAAAAGATTATTCATGACCAAGAATAAATATGACGAAGAAATGTCGATTATATCTTTTGTCGTTCTTCTTTCGACGAAGAAACTTGACTGAAAGTAACGATTCATCTACTTTCCGTGAAACTTACAGTTTATTTCTAATTTCAATGCATTCACTTGCTGTACAAAAAAAAGCATCAATTGAACGAACACTGTGCATCTTGCTTTGCATGCAATATCTCGTAGAAAAAAAATGAAATATTTATTTATTAATTGTGCAATTCTTGGTAAAATCGTGGTCCCAGCATGGATAGCCATAGACTCTGTTATCCATTGGATAAACGTTTTTAAAATAATCATATTGAATCCATGCCGAACGACAATCGCATTTGAATAAAGTATTCGTTGGATTAATATCAAGTAATGACGATGGATTTGATTCCAGAAAAGGTTGAAAAATATCTTCATCTAAGTAGGTTATACTTGTATTGTAGAAACGAATAAATACAAAACGATTTCGAAAACGACTCAACGATGTTATTTCAAAACTAGTTGACTCTATCATTTCTCCACCCAGATATAATTCTAACATATTCGATACGCCATTGTTTAGTATCGATCGATTTCGTAGAGCAAATGCATATTTGCTTATTCTTGATAGTATCGGCGAAAATATGCGTAAAAATTGTAAATTTGGTAGATTGTAGAAGGCATAATTGCCAATGCTTTCAATTGGTTGATATTTGTCTGAATATTCAAGACCGAAAAATATATTAGTTAAATGTTTATGATTGAATGCATAATTTGGAATAAATTTTAAACGATCATTATGCATACTGAGGTGACTCAAATTCTGAAATTCTTTTATTATTGAAAATATTGTTTTCGCATCAGATAAATTTGTATTTAAAGTTTCAAATAATTCGACGTGATTTTTAAAATAAGAAAATGCATTTCTATCTATTGTTGTCAATTGAAAATTGTCTTGAAACATTAAACTTTTAAATGTTATATTAATGAAAACATTTTCAGGTAGTTCTTTCACTGTTGTATTATATAAATAGAAACTATCGAAATTAGACACATTAGCAGTTTGATTGGATATTAGATTATTAAATGAGCTAAGTGTTAAAAATACTAATTGTAAATCAAACGACGAATTATGTATATGTTCACATGCAATTGATTTTCGTTGTATAATATTTGTTTCAGGATTGGGATTCTTAAATAATATATTAGTATGAGATGGTATTGATGATTTACATGAACATGGGTTGAGCACAAAATCAGGCGGACATTGACTATTGACTAAATGAATAATTTCGTTGAAGAAGAAAACGATGATAAATAGATTAGCGACTTTGTCGAACATGATTTACTGATGAATAAAATGTTGAATGAAAGAAGATGATTATTAAAAGTAAAGGTCGAAATAAAGCCTTACGCAGTTCGTTTAGTTTGTCATAGTGAAAGAGAACCCAATAAACGGTCTTGACATTAGAATAGTTCGTGTGATTAATTTAGAAATGAAAATAATGCGTTTTTCTTTTTCTAAACGGACCAAATGTCAAGTATAGATTTTAATGTGAACTTTGCTTGTTTATGTAGATTTCTACATTGTACATTCATTATTAATTAATCGTAATCATTTTGAACTATATCAAAGATCCATTGCAATATGCATTTTTGTACGACTTCAAAATTGTTGAAGAGTATTATATATATTGAAACGTCCTTGATAATGTTATTCGTTCTAAGTAGTAATAAAATAATTGCTTTACATGACTCTCTATATGACTTTAGGGACCAATAAACTTCACTTGTTGCCGTTGTTCACAGATAACTCGATAGCAATAAAATAATTATTTGGTATCGTATCGTGGATACGTATAATTAATACAGACACAATCGTAGAAATGTTCGCGTATTTTCAACTGCCACTCTGGCTTGTTCGATAATAAGAAAATTTGAATACAAAAAATAAGTCAAATTTTCATTCAAATACTCTCAAGCTTTGCCAATGGGCGACATTTCGTTTTTCATAATCACATAACAAACAAATACAATTTATAAGAATGTGCACATGGGGTAAATCAACATTATGAAAAAATGAGATCATGACATTTTAAAATGAATCATCAATGAAACCAGAAATTTAATGTCTATTTCATTATTTAAATGTAACCTTTTAAATCTATGGAAACATACTAACTTCATTAAATGTGATATGTTAAAACATAAATAGACTTTGTTCACTTTTGTTTTAGATTACTAAGTTCGAAGCAATAGAACTAGTTTAAGAGCAAGGACTCTTAAAACAATAAGTTTCTCTATATGAAAGTCTTATCGACATAGGTATTTCTTTTTTGTATATTGACTTCTCATCTTTCTACATTCGGAAACGAAAACTATCAGGTGTTAACCAACTATCTAAAGGTTAAAACGAACCAGTACTCAGGTCATCAAGTATCATTTTAAAATCATACTTCAATATTCACATCGTTTTCGATTATTCTAAAACTGAGTAAAAATCAGTGAAGGCAACATTTACCTATGAAATCAATTTTTTTCTTCTTCGTAAATGTCTGAATTACTAACGTAATTAGTAAGCCGGTATGATTAAGTATCATGGCGATTGAAAAGTATATCATTGTTTTCGATGCTAGAAACAGATGGTCCATTTTCCACGTCTTTTTAATACTTCAATTCGAGTATATAAGCATTAGATACTATTCTCATTGTACTAGACGGAAGTTCTCAACGAGTAAAATCCATTAATAGAAACTTGCGTCCGATTAAGTTATTTGCGACTTAGTTTAGGTTTAAAATGATTACATCTTACATAGAACAGAATCGTGCGTATTATCAGTATATTTATTATAGGGTCCTTTTTCTCAACACAGTTACAAAATATTTCAAGTATCGTAAGAAAAGAAAATCATAAATCAATCGATATTTACTATGAGGAGAAGAAGAAGAAGCAGAAAAAAGAGTGAATCTTACTTATTAATCATCTAAACGAACATTTTTTTTTCTTCTTGAAATTCTAGCGGTAGTGAGTTTCCTATATAAGTTTTTTTACTACTTCCTCTGCGGTATTTATTTAATGAATAATATAAATTGAATGTAAAAATCAACATTTTTTCTTCTCATTTCTCTATTGATAACATTGTCAGAATCGCAAATTTTAGACAAATGATTTATTTAGACAGCACATATTCTCGTTAAGTATATACATATATAATAGAGAGCAACTTCTCAATAATTTATTATATCAACATTATCATCCAACTAAACGAACATAGTATCATTTATAATTTACTGATTTTTAAACAGTAACGGAAAATGAAACACTTCAAGTATCCGTTATTTATATAAAAGAGAAAAGGAAATCTAGTTTGTATAGAAGTAGTAACATTTCTTCTGGTTATGTATATTGGTGAGTAGAATGTTTTTCTTTTGCTGCGTTTATTTTATTTCGGATTTATAATCGACAGGGAAATTTTTGTTTGTCGATTGTTAAACGGTAGTTGTTATTTTTCTTGTCGTAGAAAAAACACATTGGACGTAATCGTGATATTATTCGGTTTGTTGAAGGTATTCTCATGTTATTCTATCACAACGAAAGTCATTCTTTAATAATAGTACATCAGTACAAGTGATCAGTTAGAATCGCGAGGTAAATAGATCGACAATTTCTATTCGGTGTATTCACACATGATTGTATAAGATTTGACTCTTTTCCTTATTTACGCTTTTCATAATAATAATTAGTTTTGTTTATCGATATCAATAGTAAGTATCTTACTTACCGCTTGACAAGGATGTATCATAACAAGTTTTCTGACAGTAAATGTCGATCGTTGACACTAAGTGATTTGATGCTTTTTCTTCTTCTTCTTCTTCTTCTTAACTATCCATAATCAAATGTTTTTCTAGATTTAAATTCTTTCCTTTACCAAACTGTAAGCACAATGTTCTACATCTATATTTATATAACGTGAGTGTTACCAATTTGTAGATATTTTGAAAGGTGAAATGCGTATAATATATGTTTGCTTATGTGTGCCACGGTAGTAACGGCTATAATCAAGTTGGTAAACGCATGGATTAGTGGGTTGTAAAATAGTTCTGTTTCTTTTTCGCTCATACATACTATCATCATCGTAGTTATTTTTAAAAATTATTTTCTTTATATAAAAATCACAGAAAGAGAAAACGAATCACGACGTCAACGGATTGTTGTCAATAGCGAATCAATATTTAAACGCATGATATAACTCTAATACAAATTACTTTAAAAAATTCATGTGTAATTATTCAAACAAAAAAAACAACACTCTAAACGTTAAGACGTCACTGTTAGCTATGCAAAAGTTTGCTTTTCTTTTTGTCTTGATGTGTATGATATACTTCATCGTTTAGCCATTATTTATCGATCAAGTAAATAATATTAGGAGTGAAATATGTATTTGATTTAATCAGATCCATATGAGCAGCTAAAAATATTTCATTATCTTATAGCTGAAAGCTTTATAACAAAAAACAAATGAAACAAGAAGATGATAGATCTGCATAAATCAATAGTTATGTGTGTGTATATATTTTTTTCTTCTATACAGATCGTAACTATAATTATCAATCCTATAGAAACTAACGTGAGTTACCTTGAAGATTCATTTGTAAAAGATTAGAATAGCTAAGCCAAATATCTGCCAAGAATCTACTTTACGATATGAACAAGAATCAAAATCAAATAATCATGAGAAAAAAAATAAAAGAAATCGATATTCATGAAAGCATATTTTTTGCTTTATTTAGTCGCGTTCTTTTCTCTATTTGTCTGATAGAGTGTATCGTACAGGTGGTCTTCTATGTTACAGCAAAAATTCATAATGCAGCAATAAATACAGGTAGCTTACCTTTGCGTCTTTTTTTCTTTCCTATTTTATTTTTGCCTCAAGAGAAATTCTTGCTAGCTTAACAAGAAAACCCAAGTTTGACCATTTACTGCAAAATAAATCTATTTCATGGGTTGGTGCATAAGCATACGTCTATATACACATGTGGTTTCATTGGCATAAGTTAGTTTGTTGTGACACGAAATTAAAATTTTTGTCTATCTCAACGATATCAGGGATAATTTCGTTTTGACAAGTTTCTATAATTGTTTATTATAGATGTTTATATAAAATTTAGTTACTTTCATGGCAACGACTATCACTGTTGATTTATCGAATGATGACGAACGAAAATCAATTATTCAAACTCCCGTTGAACATCAATCTGCATTGCATCCTCCAACGAAAATTTTCAAAGGATTTCCAATAAAAATAATACAAACAATTGAAGCTGATCGACGACAACGATGTTCGCCTATACCGCAATCACTATCAGATTTTATTATTATTACACCACCGTCCATTGAAATATCACCAGATGACGATTCTGCTTTAGGTGATGATAATAATAATCAAACAAAACTAACCACACCAATAGCAGATCAAGCTCGTTTGCGTCCGCTAAGACTATCGCGCCGACAACGATCACCATCTGAAACACGTCTTAATTTAGATTCGAATGAAACTTTAGATGATCGTGAACATTTAACTAATAGTCAATTGGAAGTATCGAAACCAAAATTTAAAAGCGAATTGCGAAGTTCGGATCCATTACTTCTTGATAGAAAACACTTAAAACCGAATCGTATAGATTTGTTTCGCAATGCTGTACTTGAACGTCGTTTTGCTCGTCGAATTCATTCAGCATATTCATCGTCAACAACGTTACGTGCGTTAACTCGACGTCGTTCAACACAAAATTTATTAGCACGTAATCGTCGAAATGTATTCCATCTACCACGAAATTCAAAGTGGCATATTGTTCGTAGTCGTTTGCACGATATTGCCATGATGAGTGAATCATATGCACGAATGCGATTAGTAGAACAAGATTTACGTTGGACAAAATTACGCGAAAGAATTCGTTCACAAGTATTAGACATGAGAGAAATGTCTCTATTACGACAACAAGACGATGGAGTTAAAACTAAAAAGAAAACCTATAAATCAAAATTCGATTTGAAAGCTATTCCACTGAATGAAGTTATACATGTAGAACGTGATGGTCGAGTCTATTCAATGAGTACGCGTGATCTTGTTTTAGGTCGATTGCTTTGTGATGAAGATATTCAATTAGATACATTTGCTCAATTAGATGCTCGACGGCAATTTCAAGTGCAACAACGTTTAGTAAAACAACAAGAGGGAAGGACGCGTTTGAAGAAACATATTGCCTTTTCATTTTGCCTGTGTAATTTATCTTTTATTATTCTTATGTTTGCTGCAATGTTGATTTTTGCTACGAAAACGATATTGGAACTGATATTATGAGAGTTTATTTCTTAGATTTTGTTTTATTGATATATATATATATATATATATATATTCATCAGTTTCCCGTTGTATTTCATAATTATCTGTGATGATTATCAGTGGAATTTTATTTTATTTTCTCTTTTTTTTATAAATAATTGGTAGATACTTTAAAAATATGTACAAGTACTAAAACGAAAGCACAGAGAAACTATTCTTAGATAGTATAGAATTACTATACCATTAATAACGCACGCCTTTATTACACGCTTATTTCTTCTTCTAATGTCGAGCAAAACCGGACAAGGTCATAAATGGTTAAAATATTCTAACAAAGCATTTTATTGTATAACAAGAAACCAATGTTACAGCATAAACTTATATTGAAGTTTTTTTTTGTATATATGTCAGAGGTTGAAAAGAGAAGTGTAAACTTATAAATATATAAGACGAATTCGAAGTACTCTTTCAGCCTTGGACTTGTATTAAAATCATAAAATAACATTTTCTCTCATAAGAGTTCAAGTTTTAATGTTCTTAAAAAATCATAACTGGGTGACAAAATAATAATAATAATATTGAAGAAAAAAAAACGCAATAGAAGTTCTGCTTTCAATTAAACATTTCATTATTGCATTGTTTTCATCGTTTGTGCGATGTTATCAAGAACTTACACCATGTATAGCACATGCTCTTTTCTTTTTTTTTTTATATTTATCGGTCTACTAATAACACGGATCCCTAAATCGCACAACAACAAGAACAATCTTTCTTTTTTCTTTGCTCTCCCCCTTCTCTTTCTCTCTCTCTCTCTCGCTTCTTCTTACTATTATATTGATTCCGTATTTTGCCGCTTTTTTTGTTCTCTCCTTTTTTTTTTATTCTCGCCATCATCACGATCGGCATCAGTACATAGAATAAATTATTCATTTCTTTGCGATTCTACACCTCCTGCCTCCTCGTTTTCATTTTTATCGAATCAAGTCGTTATTTCATATACGAACAGTGAGAAACACCTGTCTGCACTTTTTGACAATCGATCAGCATCAACTGACATATTTACTGGATCAATGGTCTGAATTAGGTTGTGCTTCATTTTGCGAATGTGCGCATGAAAATTGTGCTGATTCATCACAGGACAACACGAAAAAAAAACGAACGAAAATTTGATGTCAACGACAACTCAAAATCATAATCACAACTACTGCAGTTTATCTTTCACGCTTCTTTTTATCTACTGAAGATGCTCGTGTATACGCATACTTGAAACATGGTAGGTGTTCGAATCGTCGTAGAATTATTTTATTAACTAACATCAATAGACGATTTATTTTATTTAGCGTATACGCGATTTATTTCGTGGACCATCCAGTAATGAACGAAAATCGACTATTTCTTCGTCGATTTCATCGTTGATACCAACATTTGATGTAACTGCCTTTGTCAATGCCGCTCAAGATAAAGATACAGACATATTACACAAGTATTTGCTAGCAGGTTGGTAACAAACAATATATAACATTTTGCTCGATATAAACATAATAACTAGTTAAAGAGCAATGCGATCATATTTCAGGTTTCCCACCGGATCAACCGGATCCTACGTCAAAATCAACAGCATTACATGTAGCTGTTGAATCAGCTAATATACGTGCTATTCAAATGTTAATTCAAGCCGGTGCACAAGTCAATGCAACGGACGCTAGTTTTTCAACGCCACTTCATATAGCAGCTTACATGAGCAATGAAGAAGTGAGGTTAATTAAACAATAAATAAAGAACAGAATATTAGTATCATTCTAGTTAGATAAATAGATTGTACATATACTTTTGTTACACGGTGCTGATATCTATAAACGAGATAATACAGGTCGAAATCCTTTTCATCTAGCTGTTTCAACGGGAAATAATCGATTGGTTCAACAATTTATATCGATACCTGATGTAGGACAAAATATTATTCATACAGCTGATGCGTAAGCTTTTTCGAAGGATTTATTCAATTAGAAAATAAAATCCTATTCTTTTTCTTTCCTCTCTTTTTCTAGTCAAAATTGGACACCACTCATGTGTGCTTGTGCTAGTAATTATCCAGCCACATGTGCACTTCTTCTATCCCATAGTGTTGATCTCTGTGTAGTCAATGATGATGGTTTAACAGCAATTCATATAGCTGCTTTTCTCGGTTCTTTACCAGTTCTTCAAGAGCTTTTAAATTCATCATCAAATGATGAACAAATTTCTAAAGCCTTAAATCAAGGCGATAATCGAAATCAAACACCGTTATTTTATGCTTGCATTGAAGGTCATCTAGATGTAGCCTTAACTTTACTTCGTGCTGGTGCTAATGCTTATCATTTAGATAATAGTGATCAAACATGTTTACATGCAATGCTTTCATCAACGATTATTTTAAAACGACATATTCGTTTATTCTATCATTTCATTCAATTTGTTGATTATCGTTCGAATCAAGATTATCTTAAACGAACATTACTCGATCTTGCTTATATAAATCAATTAAATACAATCATATATTTATTAACACTACTCAACTATAAAACAAATACCACTACAGATTCTATTAATCCAAAAAATGAAACTCATACATCGTATAATCATAAACAAATGCTTTCTCTTCGTGATATATGTATACTTAATTTTAAACGTTCGATCAATCATCGTCGATATCCAACACAATCAACGCAACATGATTTACTTGTCGATGCTTTACAACGAACATTTCAAATCGTTTCACATAAAGATTTATTAAATGTGAAAACAAATAAATTAATAGAATATCCCATTGGTAAATCATTCGATGATATATCACTTTTACAACAACAACAGCAATCGACTAAATACCAGAAAAATGTCAAAGCAACAAAAACTCCTGATAAAAAAATGAGGAAAACGTCAAGTATTTTTTCGACAACATCAGTAGCAAATAAATGGTCATCACAAACTGATTTACAACATTCACATTCAACTTGGTCGACATTCACAAATAAAATTAAAGGTCAACGATTACCTCATGCACCAACGAATACACTACAAATACCCATAGACGAAGAAACAAATTCATCGCAATTATTATCAATAAATCCAATGAAAAATATAGTTTTCGAACTATTAATATCTCCAACAAAACTTGATAATTTACTCGATTTTCCGTCATTAAAAAATGATTATTTACTGAATGAAGATTTGAAAATGTCAATGAATAAATATAATTTGTTAGGTACTGATTTAATGAGTCAAACGTAATTTCTCTCTCTCTCTCTCTCTCTCTCTCTATTCCTTTGATTGTAAAACTATTTTTTTTCCTTGATTCTTTAAATAATAATAAAACAAGAAAAGTGATGAACATGAAGATGTTCTATAAAAATCAATAATTCGGTTAAATACATCATTTAATAATGACAAGAAAGAATAACAATAGTAATACAAAGAAGGTTAAGGTATATCAACTGGAAAAATAAAGATAATAATTAGATATCAAGTATTTCATGTATCAAAGGTCGAATGTTATCTAGCTTGAGTATGGAAATGAATAATTGGCATGCTGAAGGATATACACGTATAATCAAAGATTTCAAATTCGTTCCTAAATAAACCTAATAAGTAACATTGATCGTTCGATAACTTAAGTAAGTTCAACATAGTGATTAGATTGATATTAACTGGTAATTAACATTGCGCAGAGAATTCAAAAATTCAGACAACGCAAGGATTTTATTACAAAAAAATACGTCAACAATTATTCTATTGACTTTTCTAGAAAGAGCATAAAACTTGACACTCAAGATATTCATTATATTGAAATATGATATCAGATTTTTAATTAGTATCTCAATTTAAACTATGAACTATACAGTAAACGTATTGAATACGACGTTCATTTTCATTTGCTTATTGATTTCCTATGGAATAGTAATATTTGTATTATTATATCTACTTTGCGTTTGATTTATCGCATAAAATAAACAATCAATCAAATTTTTAATTAATAAAATTCATTAAAAATTCAATTTTAGGATAATCAAGAAATACTACTCGTATTGATATTACTCCTACTGCTCATGGAACAATCTAAAAAAAGATGAGAGAAACGTACGGTTTCAAGCAAGAACGCTCCCACGCAATCGAAACTAGGTAAAATATATAATTTAAACCTTATGCCGTAGTTAGAAATGTATACAAATATTGCCGACCTTGACTGACTTCCATATAAAAGTCATCTAGTAGGAAAAGTCCGCAAGTTTCAACCTAAAACGAGTAAACAATTTTCCATTATGTTGAAAAATTTTCGAGTCACTGGACACCTTTGACTAAACATGGCTTTCCAAGTTTGATTTCATTGTATTTCATAGAGATTTTCTCATTTAAAATCACGTTTCAATCTATTTTCATGCTTGAACTTCATTTAATGATGATGATAATTTATAACTGATACATTTTTCAATATAGTCTATGTAAAAAAAGACATCAATTGTTCATCTACATTTTATTTATTGTTTTAAGTATGCATGTACACTAGTCAATAGAAAAACTGCAACTTCTTTAAATGACGTTCAACTGAACCTAATATAATCTACTTAACTTCTACTATCATTGTTTCTGAATATTTTGTGTATTATTAAGTACTCTTATTAGCATGAAATACTGTCTTAAAAGCACATCAGTCAAAAATCAAAACTTCTCATGCTTATCAACCAATATTTTCATCGCCAAAATTTCCAAGTTTAATAATACACACAGTATCACAGAAAAATATATACTTTCAGGCTTTAAATTTCGATAAATCTATTCAAAATTAAATTAAAATAAATATTTCAAAAATAAGAAAAACACCTTACAATATATTTCGAATGAAGAAATTTAGGTGTAGTTATCATTTCATCATTATACAAAATAATTCGATCTTTGTTAATGGTAGTGGAACTTAAAATTCAACAACATTAAACAAAGTACATGTTATGTTTTCATTGCATTTTCAAGATTTATGTTACAGTTCGCACATATATCTTTACAGTTTTCTAAAAGACTACCCCCGGGAGAATGATTCCGATAGGAGGATCCTATCGGATTCGTGTCGAAATCTGCTCGGATACAATATGAATTTCATTGAACCGACGCAATTCTATGGGGATTCGGGCGTGGGGCCTACAATCGGAGCCCTAGTGTTCTGTTGGCACCAGATGCTTATTCATTGGTAATTAAGAAAATGTTTTTTTTCGTCGGATATTCAGTAGTAGGTCCTAGACCAGGAATTCGACTGGATTTTGTCGGCTAGTCGGATCCTATCAGAGTCGATAGGATTCACTGTCGGATTCATTCACCTGGGCTGTCGCATGTGACACAAGTGTTATTTTGAGCTACTTGATGATAATGAACTATAGTTGATCTTCTCTATACAGAATTTAGTTTATAAAAAATATACAAGAAAAAAACTGAAAAACAATTGTTTAAAGCTTCTGTTTTCAGAAAATTCTCAGCAAAAAACAACCATCGAAACAATCAATAATAATAATAATAATTAAAATAAATTCTTTCTGTCGAACTAAATGTTGTACTTACATTAGTTATATAGATTTTCAAATTTGCATGTTACAATAAATAAATAAACAGTTTTTCTTTTTTCTTCTACTCAGGTCGAACAGTCCGGCCTGGAAACGGCCGGTTCCGTTGATTTTGTGGAAGCAGTATTCCGGTTGGAAATTTTTCGGGGATTTCCGATCAATTTCTGTCGGAAAAGTTTGGCCGTATTTTTGACCGGAATACTGCTTCCATGTTCCCGCGATTTCCCGTGTTTTCCCTACAGGGTATGGTGACTTTTGTAACGAACAACTTGATTAGAGTAGCTTGTGCCACTCTCGGCAAAGATGCTTATTAGGCTACTTCAAGTTATCCAGAGTGTAACGACAAAACTAGAGAGTGTCGCCTATGCCCGTCGGCATGATGGTGTATTGTGTCATCTGACATCTCCAGAGTGTAACAACTTCATACATAACACACGTATATATAGGAGAGAGATATATTAGAACAATGGAAAGAGAACAGAAAGAGAAGGAAGGAGAATCATCGAAGCGTGCCATCAATATCGGCACAACTTTCCCGCATATTTCCTGGAGTATCCTACGGGATCCGGGGGCCGGAATGTTCGACATGGGAACATTGCAGAATTAACTAAACATCGCACACCCCTATGCACAAGACAAGTCTTTCATTAAGGATGTAGATCAAAATATGATCGACTCATTCTAATCGTAGAACAACTGTCGAAGTCAACTATTGATCCAGTAAAATACAATAAAAATTCACTTGAATTAAGCGTTCATATTTATTATCACTATGTCTGGTTGAAGAGAATAAAAACTTAACCTGCGTCACTTGGTACATTTCTAGATTATTTATAAAAAGGATAAGGCATATAATCAATCTATGTATATGAATTTAATGTTTACGCTGTAATAATAAAACTTCTTTATTAGCTCTAATTTCCACTATAATGACACCATCCTGCTTCGCATGCTTCACATTGGTTTACAAGATGATGCCGATCAGTTGTTTTTCCTTGGTAGCCCAAACGACGAAAAGGATACCCATAAAACTTGTGACCAATCCAGCGATGTAACCATTTTACAAAATTTCGACATCTTTGATCATCAAGTTCACCTGTGACATATTCGCCACAATTACTACACTGCTGAGCAAAGATTTTCATTTCAATCCATCCACCAATCCAGTCTTGTCCATATTCATCTGCATCTGGTTCATAGTAGGTTGCACATAGAACAGTCGTGTAAGCCGAAGACCAGGTAGCATCACTATCTGTGATACCACTCTTAATACATTTTAAGCAACGAAATCTTTGAAATAAATAAAAGACACATTTCAATTTATTCAATCAGAAAATTTACTTTCCCTTTGTATTGTAACTTCCATAGAGCCATCCTTCGAACATCTGATTCTTGTCTAATTTGATACGTTTGGTGTTAATTTTTTTTGGCATTCGTTCTAAGGTCCACTCAGGGAAAATTGGATGGATTGTGCGGAATTCTTGATTGAACATTGGTTCGATTTTTTCAAAATTGGTCGGGCATTGCTGAGGAGCTGGATTTTTCTTTAGCATGACTCTTATATTGAATTTTAATATCGATGAGAAGCTACTACAAAAAGAATAATCCCCCACTAATATGTTTAATCTTAATCTAAAATAAAACATTTTATACATTTTTGAACTGAGGGAGAAAAATTACAAATTTCACCTAGGATATTTGGAGAAAACTTCAATCTTAAGTAATGAAAATGCGAAGACATATTAGCAAAACGATCAGATCACAAAATGTTTCATCTAATTGGCATTATTGCTAGTTGAATGAGACTGTGGGAGATCGTTGATCAGGTGAACTTAAAAATTCTTTCGTTATCAACAGAAATCTTTTTCTTATTTTCTGTTTTTAAGCAAAGAGTTCCGTGCTTATATGGTTACTTGACCAATAATCATGTCTATTTGATTAGTGAAGTATCGTATTCACAACCATGTATTAATTCAGAGTTTTTATCTGATCAGATTATGATGAACCCTCGTTCCCCAATAAATTTCATAGAATCGAATATCAAATTTGCCAGCATTAGATGTTTAAAAAACCTATAATCATGTAATCAGAGTGACCCTGATTCTGATCGTGAAAAGTCATCAACACAACAGGAAAATAGTTGATTATGGATAGTTTGTAAATTCAGCACACAGGGGCAGATTGGTAACTGTATAGTAGTGCTGACACTCGTTTCCATTCTATCCTATGGGACGAGATGAAGGTTCTGAATAATAGTCGAACAATTATGCGCATGTCTATAAATGAAAAAATGTGACACAAATTCGGTTCCTCTTTTCACATGGGAGAAGTAAAAAATAGCAAATAGTCAGTTACAACAATATTTTTATTTATAAAAATTGTCGGACGCATCGGTTATTGGAAACATGTCGTAAGTAATATAAATCTTTTAGCTGATATATTTTCTGAACGGTAGTCAATTATTTTTATTATCAAAATGATAATCAAGTCACGAAAAAGCATTTGACTTCAAAGTTTCTGCATTAACACGAACTATATAACAGAAACTAAATAATGTTTCTTACCAAAAACTTGCCGCCGTGGTTATATTGCAGCTAACATGAAAAAAGCGTAGTATAAATAAATGAAGTAAATATTTTCGTGAAGCCTATCTTCCAAACAGCATACACGTTTTGAGTAGTAAAGGAATGGAAAAAGTGCGTATACATGAATCGGTTAGCTGTCTCGACTCGACTCGACTGTTTATTCAACCGTCATAATAGTAACTCTGTAAATATGTAACATAGAATGTGGTCATATTTTACGAGTGAAAACGCATTTCTGTCGTTCAATCTATCTGGAAATATTGGAAGTGAAATTTGAAAAATTCAAAAATATATCTTTAGAGTACGTAAATATTGAAGCTGCTAAAGTATCCGATATAATTCGATTTTGCTGAAATTCATCTCTATCCGGTGGAATAGTAGATATAAGTTTGTCAGATTTAAAAAACGAAGATCAGACCAAGGGGGAAAGCTGATTGCAATCAAAGCAATCATTGACAATCTTTGGCAATCAATAGCAAATATTACCAATGATTTAAGAATAAAATGCTTTTTATTCAAGACAATGAAATTTGTTGTCATTTAAATAATTAATAGTATAGAAAGTATTGTATCATCATAATAAATATCATCTTATATTGTCTACATATATCCCGGTCGATCGCGACGAACAGTAGACACTCGATATATAATCTAAGGCGATATTTTTCTTTTTTCGGGTGTTCATGTATTCATGTGCTCATTTGCTCATGTGATACAATAATTCAGAACGGAAAAGTATAAACATCTCTTTCTCTTTTTTTTTTCGTTTCATTTCCATCTTTTCAAAAAACTCACCAATATACTGTCCATTTTATTAATTCCGCTATTTTTAATATGTCTACCCCGAAATATTCACAAATCTACACAAAAACACTTCCTTCGAATATCATGGATCTTCGTGATGATGCGTTTTACGATTTAATTCGTTAAATTTCTAGAACGCGAGTCGCATAATTGCTTGCTTTTCAAGAATGCAATGGAGTTGATTCATTCCTTGAAGGTAAATATGTTACTGCCCCGTGAAAAATTGTCGAATTATATGAGATTCTTAGAGAGTATCATCGTCTTTTTGTGCTATAAAATCAAAATTATAATCGGTTAAAAAGATTATTTTTCATTAAAAATCAAATTATCTTTGATTTAGAAGATTTCAATCAATTATAATTTTGATTTTGTTGCGCAAAAATCCGATGGTAATCTCATAGAATCTCATATAATTAACAAATTTTCACTGTGCGCTATACTCCAACTTAAATCCGATCAAATAAATAATCTAAAAAAGCATTCGTGCATTACGTTAACCGATGAACGATTGCACTTTTACTAAGACTTGAATCATCGGTTCATATAATCTCATTAAACTACTCAAAAAGGAACGCGAAAAATTAGCAAGCAAGTTCAACGATTTCCATCAATCATTTATTCAGTTCTACCAGCTGTAATTACCATCTTGTCTATTCTACCAATAGCAAAGGTATCGAGGATGTTTGTGTGGATATGGATATGGGTATGGTTGTTGGTGTGATCTTCACTTGGTACACATTAAGATCTCGTCGACACCCACATATACACCCGTAGAAAATGTATCATTTCTAACTTCTATTAAATATCAAGCTGGTGATAACAACGCCAATGATTCCAATAATAAATTTTTATTTACACACCATCGCAAACAGTCTAGGACAGTCGATTCTAAACAAATATTATCTATAACATCGACTTCTATTGTACAACTAATAGTTAAAGCACTCGAAAATACTATTTCGCAAGCGTATTATTATGCAAGTCGTCTCGTATGTCACGTAAATATGTATCAACAACATCAAATATTATCACTAAGAAAAATGTCAAAACTGGCTAGTTTTCAACGTCAAAAATCACGAATAATCGATTATTCACATCTTAACCAACACGATCCAGACTTCGACTTAGATTCAGATGATAGTAGTGGTGAAGAAGATGAAGATACTGCTGGAAATTGCACAGATAATGAGTATTCAACTGAGAATGACGAGAATTATGTATCTAATCCTCTTTTCAAAGTTAGTTCGGTTATATTTCAAGGAATGCGAGTTTTTGATTCCATTAGTCCAACCTTGGCCTAGCCGTACTTTATCGTTAACATTAATGCTACAAAAATATATTTACATAAACAGACAGCTCCTTGGCTGCTTTCAAATGATAAGTCTACTTTGTCTTCAGATCCTTTAAAGCGCATTATGAACAAATGATAAAATCTACTTACATTCCAGTTCTTCATATTTGAATCTCATCTTTCCTTTTCGCTGCATTATACAGACTTTTGAAGGATAATCTTCTGTAACATCGGAAATTTTAATTTGCTTTTATATTTCCTGCTAAGAATGTGTCAGTAATTTATGTAGTTTTCATCATGTATATACTCTGTTTTCCCATGAAAAATGACGAGTATATTCGTCATGTTCTTATGACGTTTCAAGATACAAACTTATATTGACTAAAAACGACTCGAATCGATGATTTTTTGATATCAAAGAAGAAAAATAATCATCAGCAATCATTGACAATCATTGGCAATCATCGACAATCTTTGGGCAATCAGTGGCAATCAAACCAATTTGGGCAATCAAAAATTTAACTTTTTCCCCCTTGGATCAGACGGCATATTTTTCGAATTTACCATCATGAAAAACGAAAATAGCCTTATTTATGAGACATTGCCACATCATCATATAAAATACAATAGTCATGCAATTGTCTCTATATATATTGTCTTTAATCGTATATATGCTTGTCAAAACAATGGTACATATTCTAACAAAGCGGTCTTATATGAGTTAGAACGCTGTCTAGTCTGAAAAAGAATGATTTGAAATTTAGCCGTCAATTAATTTCATTTAAAAAACCGTGTAGCTCTTCTTGGCAACTGAATCTACTGGAGAGAGTATGGGCATGACCACGAATGTCTCCGTGAACTCACAACCCACAAACCTTAATCAAAATGCAAAAAAAAACGTTGGACACGATTGGATAAACTACTCCTAAGAATAGGTCAACTTGACAAGGCAGAAGAATTGTATATTGAATTACTCGAGCAGACATCCGACGACAGTGATAAAGCACATATATATATGGGCGTGCTTCGCCATAGGAGGCCCCAACTTCTTTTTTACTCATATAGCTTCATTCCAATATTATAAAAAGGTAATTTTTTTACCATTTATAGTGTATACGTTATGCTAAAAAACTATTGTCGTTTGGACTCTATAAAAAATTACTTTTTTATAATATTGGAATGAAGCTATATGAGCAAAAAAGAAGTTGGGGCCTCCTATGGCGGAGCACGCCCATATATATATATAACCAACTTGGGTGGCTGAAAGACGACCAACGACAAAGCATGAAACAGCTTCGTTGTGTAAAAAATAGCTCGCAATAAAACGAAAAAGTCGTCCGGAAAATCATTCATCATAGGCTTCTACCTTTGTCAATATTGGTCAAGTGTATAAGAATATGGGTGAATACAAGAAAGCACTTAAATTTTATGAAAAAGAACTGAAAATAAGAGAGAAAACGTTACCTTCGAACCATCCCTCATTGGCTACTTTCTACGGTAACATTGGTCAAGTATATAACAACATGGGTTACTATGCAAACGCACTTGATTTTTACAAAAGAGGTCTCGAAACCACGAAAAAATCTCTACTTCCGATTCAGAAGTTCCGAATCATTCCGATTTCACTATTTGTTACAGTAATATCGGTCTATTGTGTGACAGTATTGGTGACTATTCTAAAGCACTATCATATCTTGAAAAAGCGTCTCCTATTCGTCTAAAGTCGCTTCCTGCATCACATCCCGGAATCCAACGTACCAAAGATGATATTCAGAGAGTGAAAAGGCAGTTGTAAATTGTTTTTTGGTTTTCGTAATAAATAAGTTTTATTATAGTTGTTAGTCCCTGTTTATTCTATATACATTCACTTTCGCATGTCTAGGAAACTATCCGGATCATAAACAAATGCATGCAGAGCGAATTATACTGGCTTAATACACTCTAAAAAAAGGCTCTTTCCCGAACCAGCGGAAAACAGTTTTGTAAAAAATACGAAACATTTAAGGTTTCGTCTTAAATTCTAACTACTTTTTACTAAACACTAATGGTTTCGAACTAAACCAGTAGAATTTAATAGAAAACCTTTAAGTTTCGTATTTTTTTACAAAACCTTTTTCCTCTGTACGCAACTTAAAAAAGGTTTCGCATGAAAAAGGTTTCGTAGAACTGAAAAATCGTTTTTTGAGCATTTGAATGCATTTGCAAGCTTTTCCAAATCTACGGAACCTTTTTTTGGGGGTTCGGGAAAGAGCCTGTTTTTAGAGTGTAGGAGCATGCAAGTAAGTAAAATTTTCACATTATGACCGTTAGAATCAAACAATCATTGCAGACCTTGTGTAACACTATTCTACAATCAAGATGAAAGAACATAGGATGTATCTGGGTTAAGTTGCCAAACTCATGTGACAAGGGTTGTTTCCCATTTTGCGCTAATTGTGGTTGCCTAAATCGCTCTAAATAAAGTTCATCATCTAAATTGTAACTCAGGAACAGTTTGTTACTGCTACAATAAGCACATACAAAAACTGTCTTATTTCAAGATAAGTAATATTCATCGCTGTTTAGATTTAGCGAAGCAGGAAATACACCTGGTAATCAGTAGATATTTTCTGTTGTTCAGCAAGTGAGTATATTAGAAAAAAATGGTGTGAGGAAATTTAGTACTTATATATCTGATTGATCGCAAACATGTGTTGTGCTTTCGACTTTCTTTTTTTACTTTTCATGAAGTTTATCGACCTTTGCACACTATCAAGATTAACAGTTAACAAAACATACCTAAAGGTTTTAGTTTTACACAAAAATGTAACTGTAGTTTTGTGTTTTGATGCGGACTTGGAAGTCTAGTCACCAGAAATGATGAGAAAGTAAAATATAAGTATTTCAACTATGACGACTACCAGTACAAAATAACATCACACAATATAAATCTGAAGTAAGAAGTCTTTTTTTTTGGAAAAATGTATTTCAACGTAGCTTAGATGTAATGATGGGCGATATATGGAAAGAAATAATTTTTTCTTTTTCAACATTGAGCCTAATGTATATATCTTAACACAACAGAATTCAATGGGCACAACCAGTGCAAGTCTTGTGAAAAAAGAGAGTGGTTATCAAATTCCATAAGTTGTGGTACCCTGAATGAAGCCCTAAATTATATCCCCATTTATGAAATATCAAAAAATAAATGTCAGCTCTGGTGACTTCTTGATTCAGAAATTTTTTAACATAAGATACATTATACACATGTAGACGTGTGATAGTTGCTGGTTGAAAAACTAAAAATGGTGAAAAGTAAACAATTAGTTGCAAACGAATTTCATATTAAGGTCAGTTCTCTTCTTTAATCAGGAATCACCACACGTCTATGTGTATATAGTATATCTATATCTAACGTTTGAAAAATCCCTCAATCGAGAATTCCCTATATTATAAAAACCCCAATTCGTCACCAAAACTGACATTGTCTTATCATTACACATGGGAATGGCTTTGACACTGAATCCGACGTCTAAATCCTAGTTAATTAGTTGAACATTAATTACTGCATAATGCCAACATTAGAGGTCGATCAGAGCCTCTAGTAGTAGATTCTATAAAATCCGACAGTATACACCATCGAAGCTTTGTCGGATCTGATAATTTATATAATTTTCCTGGGTAGAAGATACTGCAACAAGTCGATGTGTTTTCGAATTGAATTATATACACCATCAAGATTTTTAAACAAAAGTTAATTTTTTTAGATAATACATGGCATTTCTATTACAAGTTTCCTTAATAAATTCGCATTATAAAATGATGTATCTATATATTCGTAACTTTAAAAATGAATTATTTCCAATATTCTATGTAATGATGAGCAGATGCACCAACCGACAGCCTCAATAAGGCTGCCTCGTTAAGCAATATCACTCAGTATTTAAGCGCCACGGCCGTTTCGGAATATCACTATGGTCTTTTCTGAGTTTGTTCCACGTTTTCAGTTTTCGAAGATACGAAAACAATTTGGTTCTCCTTCTGTACTTGGTAATATGAGATAAGACGATGAAACGATTTTATGAATTTCTCGTTTGTATTAACGCTTTTATGAGGAGAATATAAGTTAAGTTGAGATTTATGCACGATAAAAATGATAAGAACGTTAATGAGTCAAACATCGAGTTCTGACATCATATTTATATCGGAAAAATCCAAACTAAAAGGTTTATAAACTTTTAGTAATCCAAGATATTCAAGATTCAAAACATATGAAAACATGAAGAAACCGTGTGCTTCCACAAATAGTCTAATAATTGCAATGTTTGCTGGTAGTCTTCCCCTGCTTATGTTTCTTACGTGTATTATTTGGGGTCCAATCGCAGCTTCTACTTACGTAACTGACAGAAACATTCGAAATACCGTTACAAATACCACACGTCTTTTATTGAATTATACTGCACTCAAGCATATATGTACATACTCGGTTAACAGCTTTACAAGCTATGTGTACACTTGCTTTAAGGAAACATTCTATTTTTCATACCCCATCTTTAATCAAACACAGATTACAAGCATCTTTCACAGTATTCGCACGGCAGACATGCATCAAGCGGAAGTATAGTATTTTTCCTATGCATTCATAGTCCAATTAGATTGGCCAAAACTACACTTGTTACTATAAAATATCAGATGTTACTGTGCTCATTTTGGAACTGCCAAATGCGAAAACTCACTTCATTCAAATGTATATTGCCTTTTCTCTTCTTGGTCTATCCCTCCTAATATTAATTCTTGCTTCTTTGCGTCTATCGATGAATTAAATCGACTGCAATTGCTAATGTTGGCCAATTTTCAGGGTTTTATTAAAAAGGGTGGTAATAAGGTAAAAACAAAAACGATTGTGGAATCAGCAAACAATAACGACATGAATTAAATTGGATAAATTCAATTTTTGATACTCTTGTTTAAAAGTGACTTGATTTTGATGACACTACTGAACAAAAATAAATCTTATGCCAATATTGTTTTTCATGATTATTTTAACAATGATTATAGCGTATTCTTTGCCGGATACTTCAATCAAAGCGCAATAATTAGGAGTATGGGTGAAGCTATTGCTGTGGTTTTAGAATCGTAACCACTCTGTGCAGTAAAATAATCAACGATAAATTACTGATTTTTGGATATACTGTACTGATAGTCTCATATCCATTTCGCATCAGATGCTGGGGAAAATGAAACAGTAGAATAGACTTTCCTATCAGCTATTAATATGGAACTGAGTCGTAGTCATGAATACAGAAACAGAATTAGAAAAACCATAGTGGTGCCTTAAAAGCTACCGGAAAGGAAAGTCCTAATAGCTAAATTTCGACTTGTCTCTTGAAGATGCGATTAGCGTTGGACACATTTTGTTCTTGTTCTTAGGATAAAGATTAATAAATAAATAAACAAATTAAATACATATAAGAGTCCGTATTGCTCTTATAACCAGTTTAGCCCTCAAACAATCATATCGTATATATACTCGCTTATCTTTTATAGATGATTTCTTTTTTACTATCGTTTGGTAGCCATATGAACTGATAACTAACTCAGATGTGGTCGATCAATTGATTCAATAATAAGCTGATTAGTTGAACTAGAATTTTATATCTAGAAAGAATCAAATTTGATTCAGCACAGTTGAAATCGTTGAATACAATCGTCAGCAAACAATAAAATATTTGGTGAAAATGAAGTTTACCATGAAAGCAGCAACTGAATTACGCATTTTGTAAACATATAAAATTGTACTGAAGCGAAGTAAAACAAAGTGTATGAGTAAATCAAACTTTTGCGTTCTTTGTGAACGACTCAAATACTTCAACCGACAAGTATTATTCACGTGAAAAAACGAAAAGGAAATTAAGCTGTGTAAAAAATGAGTGTTGCCTTTTTATTTATTGACACCTTCGTATCAACAGTCAAGTTGGAAAAAAAATTATTTTATTTGTTCATGAATCAATCAATCAATCAATCCAAACAAGAACGTTCCAAAACGAACGAGCTCAAAGTACGTCCATTGAGTGCTGGTTCATACTTAAATGTAATTGTAAATCTCTCGCACGGATTTTCTTTCGTGGCTAATGTATGATGAATATGAGTTACACGAAAGAGAGTGTGTGGTAGTACCAGTACTTCTTCTTCATCGGGAAATTGTGCAACACATGGATCCTGGGTTAAATCAAGAGCTGTTGGACATTTGTTATCCATAAAATCAAATTTGATGATCATCAGATGTGCATTGAGCACCATTGCATCACTTCTATAAATTTCAGAAATAAACTCTGATTTTGAAGTCGACATCAAACTCTTCAATTCAATGATATGTTCATGTTCCATAGCGGATCGATAGTGTTCAAAATTAAGTGGAGATTCTTTCAAACCACGATAAGAAAGACCTTGAAATGCTCGATTTTGAAATTCGCGCAGGTTCAGATAAATCAACGTTGTATAGCTGACCGAATTACTTCTCAATATAGTAGACATTTGAGGTGTTGCCAGTGTAAAAATCTTGATAAGCGCATTAAAATTATGGTGTTTAAGAAATGAATCATATAATTTGTTCAGTTCTTTGCAAGTTTCATTTCCATGAGTGTGCCGTGTGCTTTCAATAATCAATGTTAAATTGTCGATGCACTTTCGTTTCACTGCAAGAGAAATGAAAGGCCGAACTAGCGGTGATGCATTCGCGATCCTCATGAAGAACTGAGATGATTGTGCATGATCGATTGATATGTGTTCACGTACATTTTGGAAGCTTGGCTGAAAACCGATGCAATCGTTGAGGTCACGTTCAATAAACCGACCATCCGGATCGAACAGTCGCTTGACGAGAAAACCGAAGAATTGTTGCTGCCGCTCTGATCTAGGGTCTATCAACGGTCCACGAAAGTAATCATAGTTGAGTAAATACTGAACTATATCCTGATGTCCATTAGCAACAGCTACATCCAACGCAGAATTCTCCCTATATTGAATCTGATTGATTTGTGTATGCGGGAAATACGGTAAGAGCTGCCTCACCGTATTTAAATCTCCAATTTCACAAGCCCGATACAACTGTTCGAGGAGTTTATTTCTATCATTGTTCTCATGTTTCTGCTGATTCAATGATTGTATGTTGGAATTTCGGTTTCCCATATGTTTAGTTCTTTTGTTTCTGTAACGCTTCTTACGCATAAGAATGACGCCTTTTTTTGCCGCCTTTCTTCTTTTTTTTCTTCCGTCGTTCGGCAATTCGTAAGTAGATGTGCTTCTTTGCATTGGCAAGAAAATAGATGAAAAATGTCTCAGCCAAGCAAGGCAAGTACTGTTAGCGCACCCTCACTATCGGTTGATAGTTTAGTCAATTCAATTGAGAATCTTTTCTTTTCCACCTTAATATATATTATTCTCTTTCTTGTATCACATCTACCTATCAGCAAATTATGCGTTGGTATTCTCTACTTGAATCAATGTCCCATACAACAACAAATTCCTAAATGGCTAATTGTGTCTGGATGTCGAGGTGTATTTTGTATTTTTCTACTATTGATCTATGTATGGAAATTTTTAATGAAAATCTGTTCTAATAATATTCACTGTTGAATTATAGGTGGTTCATGCCCTGGTAATCAATCGTTGTTGCAAAAAGGAATTTTCATTGATTTCGATCATTGCTACTGCGTTGATAACAACCATTTCTTTGATTTTTAACGTGGCCTGGTCTATTTTGGTGAGTATATGTCATTCAATAATACATTTTATCGGAAATAGTTGATTCAATTAAGTATTATTGTGAGTAGACAGCTGTAGTAGAAGTTACTTGAGCACTGGGACAATATGCTCCAGGGCAATGCGTCACGAACATTTCGGATTAAAAAATATACTGCAACATATTTTTGGATTAAAAATAACTCTTCCCAAGAGATCAATTTACAAAATACACTCTCCTCTCTGCAAAAATACGATTTTCATTCTTTTGTTGTAATAGATAATGATGTGTGTACGAATTCGCAGCAGGAGTTTCAGTCTAACTACAGAGCTGCAACCTATGTTATGTATCGATGCATATGGATTGAGATAGAGAAAAGTTGCGAACTTGAGCTGAAATCAGAAAGCTGATACTAAAATATAGTATCACACCATTATTAAATACTTACATATACGCTTAAACTCGCTAAACCCGCATCAATCCCCAAAAAGATGTTCACAGTTCACAAATGCATTGACTCTTGTGAGAACCACAAATGCAGTTTCCGTAAATTTGGTTGTCTCAGTATACAAATTAGTAATGGAAATTGAGTAAATACGCTAAAAGATGACAAATAGTATATCGTTTTTTAATAATTGGTGAAATCCTAATAAAACCGGAATAACTTCAATTTTTTAGACGCTGGACTACTCCGCACGCTCATACTTAATGAAACTGCCTTGTGGAGTAATTTTGTTTTGACAGCAGTAAAATTTATAATATTGAAAATAACGACGTTTTTACAGGCTGAAGCGATGCTTCGCATCTTTTGTAAGCTATAGTTAATTTTTGAAAAGTCAGTATTTTGTGAAAGGAAATTCTCCTAAACTAAAACTTTAAAGGCGCTCCATTTACATCTACATATATAAGTATTCGTGAGAAATATGTGAGGTTAATTCATAACGGTCTTCAGTGTGTTGATACATATACCGCGTCATCAACCAAAACGCCAGTAAAATGTTTACAGCTCTGGAGTTCTGAAATGATCAATCACTTAAAACGATCCCTTACTGAGATCAATACTGAAAATTTTGCAATGTTCACGTAGGGTATCTATTGGTCTTCATCTATCAAATCAATTGTTCAACATACTGATGTGACACAATCTACAACTTATTGCCATTCGACTCCGTATTTCTTTGAAACTGTTATGGCTATATTCCACTTGATTATCATTGGCTTTTTCTTCATCGTTATGTATACATTTAAATGCTTCAAAAAGCCAAGTACGTCCAATCAACTCGATACACTAGCGGAGAATAAGCCCTACAAACAGTATTTGCTTTTCGCTGTATTTTTCATGATATTCATGATTTTTTTAACATGACTAAACATGCTTTATTTGTACTGACTTGATTATTTGATGAAAGAAACACGTGTCAAATATCAGAGAATCAGTAGACAAAAATGCAATCAATATTAGTTCTTGTATTTCTTATGACTCACATTGAATAGGACTTTTCCAAAAATCAAATTCTTTGTATTTTATTTTTTTCTGCATATGCATTGCACAAACTTCGTTTGCTCAAAAAAAAACTTCGAAGTAAATTCAATTCCAAGATTGGCCAACACAGAACGCAAACTGGCGTATTGGTCTGATTCACTGTGATTTTCAGCATAGAAAAGGTCACCGTATACGATGTTATTCAATATCCATGTCATGTATTTACATACATAAATAACAAGACTTCCTTCACTACTTTGTATTCAATCTCTGGAATTCGTTTTTGAATATAAAACACAGTTAAAATATGTATTAGAGCCGTTCGCTACAAAACATAAATCGTAATTATTCTTATTTAGAGATTCCTATTTTTATTAGCTCTAACCTCAGTTTTAATCATGTGTGCAATTTGTTTTACGAAACACGATCTAAAAGGATTGTTTAAGTATTGAGTATCGATGTGAGGCGTAAGTTTTTGCTGGATTCACGCTCAAACCTTCAATTAATCTTTGTATATTGATTTAATATTTACTCTTTAATAAGAAATTTTTTATTTTGGCTCTTATTTCCATGAAAATGGCACCATCCTGCGTGGCATGCTTCACATCGGTTCGCAAGATGAGGACCATCACTTTTTTTTCCTCGGTAGCCAAAACTAGGAAGAGGATACCCATAAAACTTGTGAGCAATCCAGCGATGTAACCATGTTACAAAATTTTGGCATTTTTGATTATCAAGTTCAACAGTGACATATTCATCACATTTCGTACATTGCTGAGCAAATACTTTCATTTGAATCCATCCACCAATCCAGTCTTGCCCATATTCATCTGTATCTGGTCCATAATAAGCTCTACATAGAATAGTAGTGTAAGCTGAAGACCAGGTAGCATCATTATCTACGATACCACTCTTAATACATTTTAAGCAACGAAATCTTTGAAATAAATAAAAGACACATTTCAATTTATTCAATCAGAAACTTTACTTTCCCTTTGTATTGTAACTTCCATAGAGCCATCTACCTAACATCTGATTCTTGCCTAATTTGATACGCTTAATGTTAACATTTCTTGGCATTCGCTCTAAGGTCCACTCAGGGAAAATTGGATCGTTTGTGCCAAATTCTTGATTGAACAGTGGTTCGATGTTTTCAAAATTGGTCAGGCATTGCTGAGGAGCTGGATTTTTCTTTGGCATAACCCTTATATTGAATTTTAATATCGATGAGAAGCTACTATAGCAGAATAATCCCCAGCAGTATTTTTAATCTTAATCTAAAACAAAACATTTTATACACTTTTTTATAGCGTCAAAATGCATATGTTCGTCTTTATTATATAAACTCAAATCACCAAATCATAACAAAACAGGATTTTGTGTAATAGAAAAAAAATGAAAAACAAAACACTACTCTTATCTTATTCACTATGCAAAATAATGTATTTTTTTTATTTTCAAATAGGCAAGTGGCATCCCTAGCAGCGAAATTTGAGAAGTTAAAACGTCAGAACCACACATTCTTTTTCTCTCGTTCTATGCGTTTCAAACAGTCATAAATGGCCGAATTTTCACATTTTAACAATTTATAAACTTAAATATCTATATATATCTAACCGCAATATATTGCAAGAATAGTGAATAGTTTAAACACAGTTCTCATTTAACAACGTACTCAGAAAGAAAAAAGGTGCCATACTGAACCTTTTAGGGTTCTAGATTTGAGTATCATTTTCAGAACCATTTAAGGTTCAAGCAAAATCTGGTTCTAGCTGGAATTTTTTCCTATTTCTTCCAAAAATGGTTCTATAGTAGTAAAATGTAGTTCACCACACTCAATTAGTCTAGTAATTTAGACTAATGCTTTATCCAACCATTAATTTCATATTTAATTCCTTATTCCTAACATTAACCTTTACTTCTATCCTTAATCCTAATTTCTAACCTTAGCCCTAATTCCTATCCTTAGCCCTTAATTCTATCCTTAATCCTAATTTCAAACCTTAGCCCTAATTCCTATCCTTAGCCCTTAATTCTATCCTTAATCATAATTTCTAACCTTAGCTCTAATTCCTATCCTTAGCCCTTAATTATATCCTTAACCCAAATTTCAAACCTTAGCCCTAATTCCTATCCTTAGCCCTTAATTCTATCCTTAATCATAATTTCTAACCTTAGCCCTAATTCCTATCCTTAGCCCTTAATTATATCCTTAACCCAAATTCTATCCTTAACTACTATTTCTAGCCTTAACCATTAATCCTATCCTTTATCCTCATTTCTATGCTAAACCACTAAATCGTTTGTGTTGCATTTTCCGGAATTTGTTGTGAACAGAATACGAGCCAGCCCTTTCTCCTTTATTCGCACGAAAGGGGAATCGCGTTACTTGTTGTTGAGACGATCCTAAACAAAAAGCAAGAAGAGTGATTGATACTGTAAGATTGAACTTACCATGAGATCAACTATTCACATTTAGCTAAATACAAAAAAATCATTAATTCATTTTGTCATGTTGAACTTGCATTTCAATTGATTATAGCTACATACCTAAGTAAAGCACATATTGACTTCATTTTACCAGATTGACATTACTTTCTATTGATAATTGTGACATATGAAAATAGATAAAATAATAAGCGCATTTTATAAGTTATAACTTATCATAGAATTGATTGTTAAGACGCACCTACCCATATCCATCAATCCGACTCGGATCCTCAAGCTCGGTGTCGATGATGACGGATTTGGATTCCCAGGCCTCAATAACCTATTGCAAACGTCGATCAGAATCGAAATCGGAGTTGAAATGAAATGTTTAATTTTACAGCCCTCGATTTTTCGATGGACCTAATTTCTGTCCAATAGGAGCTCGGATCGAAAAAATAATAACGGATTCGAAATCCTGGACCTCACTAACCTATTTGAGATTGTATATATTACGTAAGTCACGTTCCGAAAATATTATATCTTGCTTCAAACCAGAGCCATCTTTGGAAAAATGGTTCAGCATCAAAATAAAGGGTGCAGGACGGAACGTTTTCAAATATCCGGCACTATTGAGGATCTGACATGGTTCTTTAAACCAGCTAGAACCCTCGGTGGTTTATTAATAAAGGATTGAAACCTTAAAAGGTTCAGTATCTTGGCTAGAACCATAAATGGTTTCATATGACGTCTTATTTTTTTTTCAGAGTAGAAACGCGAAAATTCTGACATTTTCGACTGTGTAGAATGCGTTGCAAAAAGTAGTGTAAAAGGTAATGGTCATTATTAATTAAACGCATTCTGCAGATGATCATATAAAAATTGATAGTTTTCAAATCATTTTAACTACGTAGCGTCCTTTTTAATACAAAGCATAAACTCTCTTGCATTACATTTAGCCTGCCAAGATAGTCCTAACAAAGAATTGAATTCTAGCCGTACAAGGAAAAATAGAAGTATAACACTTAGAAAATAAACTTTATTAACAATTAAAAATATTTCTGTCGCTGCGTTCATGCAAATCGAAAAACTGACTAGTCGAAAATAGCTACTCTCTATCGAAAATTCGTTTCGATTGGATTCGTGAAAATGAAAACTGGGTATAGATCTTTGATAATATAGGATATTATTGTCAATAAATATCATTCTCTCTCGCATGCATGCGGTAGCTATGATGACAGGAATTCGGTTCCATGTGGTGTTTTCTGTCATATTTATATATGGCTTTAATGCTAGGTTGATGCTGCCCTAGTGAAACATCTTATAAGATCTTGAAAATTTAGGTGCAAGATAATACGATTATCTTGTACCAAGATCTTATTACAGATCTTAAGTAAGAATTCATAAGATCTTGAGTGATGCATTCTGAAAGCATGTTTGATATTTTTTCAATTTATTTTAATATTAATTATTTCTGTCCCGAATAATTCAGATGTTGGGATCTGAATGACTTTAAGTTGGTCCAATATTCTTCAGACCAATTTAGAGTAGTCTTCTCTCGATCATCGATCGAGATCAGCATTCTCTCGAATAATCAATAGTCGAGAAATTCCCTTGACTGAAAGGCTAGGGTCTAGAAACGGAAATTCACCTGTGTCTGTCTGTTTGTCTGTCTGTCCGTAACGCTTCGTACAAATGACCATAGCCATAGTACAAAGCACCATGATCATCGTTCAAAGTACCAGTCATAGTGCAAACGACTATACGCATAGTGCAAACGACTATACGCATAGTGCAAAGTACCACAGTGATCGTACAAAATACCGCAGTCATAGTACAAATGGCAACAGTCATAGTACAAACGACTATACCCATAGTACAAAATACGGCAGTCATTGTCCAAATGACCATAGCCATGGTACAAAGTACCATGGTGATAGTACAAAGTACCACAGCCATGGTACAAATGACTATAGTCATAGGCCAATGTGTAACTGTCGTGGCGTACATGATGATAGCTATCGTAGTTTGAAACATGAAGGCGGTCATTTTGATACGGTAACTGTGATACATTGGACTACGAATAGGGCCGCTTGTGTCATGGCTACAGTGCTTTGTCTGATGAGTATGGGTTTTGTGGTACATGTCTTGTAAGAATATCTATATTAAAAGAAGAATACTTTAGATTGATGATCTAGGTGACTATTAATAGTTGAAACCGCCAAAGTCTTGATATAATTGGTAGTATTAGTCAGCATCTACTGAGATTTATCTTTATGGGATTAATTTGGAGTTTTCGATAAGTCCATAAGTATCGTGGGATAGATCTCATTTTCTTAAGGGTGTGGGTGTGGAAAAGAGTGAAAATTAGCATAGATTAATGATGATGGTGAGAGTGTTCATGTGGGTATGGATGTTTAAAAATAGCATCAGAATGAAGGAACACTGTTGAAATACGCAAGTCCTGTAGAAGAATGAATCCTGAAAAAATAAGTTCCGATAACCTGTGGTTTTCTACGTTCTAGAGTCAGAGAGTGGCTAGCAATCTTCCATTTCTACGGTCGTATATCAATCTAGGGTTAAGCTAATCGACACTCGATTAGCGTTACTTGTAGTTTAGAAAAAAATTATTTTGAAAAACTATGTTTTGCATGTTCAATCATGTTGCTTATATTCAGTTCTGTATGCATAAAAAAACGGTGAATGACTAGATATCCTATCTAAATAAACTAATGATGTCGCTTTCTGTTTTACTCAAGATTTATCTGATACAACCAAGATATGTACATATAAATTATCTTTTCAAGATCTTAGTAAGGTCTTACTTACCGATGCCTGGATTTCCAGATCTTGCTTACAGATGTTTCACTATAGAGTATCTGATTTCTATGTAACGCACCGACGTTACGATTTGTTAGATAGATTATTAAAAGTATCTTAAAAAAGTAAATAAAAAATATTTACTCCTGAAAGTGAAGAGCAAAGAACGGAACAAACCAATCAACAGCGATGAATACTAAGCAGTCGTGAAGTCGTGACATCTACTCCCAGGTTGATCGTTCCGGTCACCGTATACTGTAGGAACCGACCGAAAAGATGCGGAAGATCACTGCATTCCGGTCGGAAAATTTTCGGAGTTTTCCCCCGATGATTTACTGTTGGTTCCTGCTGGAAAGCACTGGAAGTTGGCCTGAATCCACCGGAAGAAATCCGGGAATTTACGACCGGAGTATTGCTTCCACTTTCCAACGAATTTTCGTGTTTTCCGGTCGTTTCCAGCCGTACCGCCACGACTTGGAGCTGAAGATATTCTAATTTTAATAAGAAAAAATAAAAAGTTTAATTGAAAACAAAACAATTCTTTTCGCATGAGTTGCTTTTCAAATATTTTGATCTAATGTTAATTGTACTGTCGGAACTTGAAATCAGCTAGTAATGTTTGCAGATAGAAATGTTCTTGCATACATAGACTATAGTGCATGGGAATATCATTTCTTTTCAAATTCGTCAGCAAGGCTACGAATATCTTTTGTTGTTACACAAAGCGCCCATGTACAGAAGAAACGCAAGATAGACGCTTGTAGCTGCATTTCTGAGTGAAAACGCAGTAGAACGCGGTGAAAAGTACAATATTAACCGCTTATACCTGCGTTTATATATAAAAATGCAGTGGAACGCGGTAAAAGTGCAATGATAAACGCTTGTACCTGCGTTTATATATAAGTGCGCAGTAAAGCGCGGTGAAAAATATAATAGTAAACGCTGTTACCCGTGTTTCTATATGAAAACGCAGTAGTACGCGTAGTAGAAAAAGCTTTTACTCGCGTTTCTATATGAAAACGCAGTAGCATGCGTAGTAGTAAACGCATTTACTCGCGTTTTGTAAACGAAAACTCAGTAAAACGCGGTGAAAAACATAATATTAGCCGCGTCTAACGACATCTTTTGAATAACACGCGATTGGACGCGATGAGATAGAAAAGCTTGAATGCATTGATAACGTAGTGAATTGCGAACTGCGTCTGGATGCATGAAAATGAGCTCGATTATTCACACATGTGGTCAAAGTTTATGGTTCTAATGACATAAATACGTGAATAAAGCAACTGAGCTCAGTTTAATGTCTCCCATTATGTTCACATTCTTCTATATACAATTAAATATTTATCAACAATTTTCAGTTTAATTACTTATGGATTGAATGAAATTTTAGTAAAATGAATATCCTATATTGATAAGACTGCTAGAATGGATGACTTTATTTCATGAATAGGGTGTTTCATAATATAGATAATATTATTTACTTATAATCTTCTCTGATTTTCAAAATTAATTGTTCACAATTCAAGTTCTAAAGAATTAGATATAAATTGCATTTAAAATATGTCACTTATCATTACAATTCACTTTTACATACGAAATGCTGTAAATAGTAAATATACATGCTTAGGTGCTGGTTGTACAAATTGAACAATAGCATCTCAAAGTAATTTCAATCATTTATTTCAAATCAATATCTTTTTTTTCTTAATCTTTAAGATGATTCTATCATATTTGGAAAACGAAATAAAATGAAAGCTTTTAAAGAATTATCAAACACGTATGAAAGTTTTTCTATCATGTCACTTGGTCGTACAAAGTACGAACTATTCGATTGTGTGGAACTTGAGAACATAATATTCGAGCATGTGATATTCGTACCATTAATATTAACACTTAGATATCGATTAATTGGTACATCACGAATTTCAATGATGCATTCTTGTTCATGTTTTAATTTTTTTATAATTGAAATAATAAATCCAATCCTTATTTTCGTACCGAGCTTGTACATTACACACGAATCATTTTTTGCTGAAATTGTTTGATACATGACAGTTGTATATCTAACACCTTTAAAAGTCATTGTTTTGTACAATGTAATGTCTTTACCGAAGAGAGATTGAATATTTGTTTTCTTAAGCTTATCATAATCAATATTCTTGACTTTGTCAGAATTTTGAAATTTTAAATTTCGATCATTCAACACTGCTGGTTGAATACGTTTAATAAATTCTTTAAGTCGAAGATTAAATGATGTTTCATTAATGCATAAACATGATGAACGAAGAATACCTATATTAGAATTAACTTCTAAAGCGTGTCGACGTGTTGAATGGACTGTTTCTCGTAATGTTCCTATAGATAATATAAACAAATAAATTGATCATTTTTTTCTAACTACTAATATAACGTGTTAATTCATATCATAAATGTAAAATATAAAAAAAAACATTCGACTGAGTTTCTCACTTAGTCTCAATATTTTATTTCAAAAGTCGCATCACATCTTAATTCAACTAAAACCACTAATCTGTTAAATTATTATTCAATGACTTAGAGTTGATTTATTCGTTGATTGATCTTCATTATTTAGAAAGACAAATAAATTTAAGCGTGATTATTTTTACTAAATATTTTCCTACAAGTTATTATTATAAATCATTTCATATGTATTCTTTTCGTATAACATACCTAGATAACTTTCGAAGTTAAAAGTTGAATAATTGTAAACGCCACCAAAATCTTTAATAGAATCAGCTAAATGCACAATAAGATGAATACACATAACATTTTGACGATCACCATACAGTAACGGAAATTGATAAACGAATTCGGTCGTTAATTGCCGTATATACGATAATTGATCAGGACTTATACTTCTTGACTCGCATAAATGTGCAGCAATAACAAGTAACACAAAATGACGATAGTACTTTCTCGGTAAGAATGAAAATGATGAAAATCCAAATAGAAGTACAGATCGTAATTCATTTGCTTTAAACTGATTGTATTTCAGAATCGATCTTGGAATACGACATGTTGTTGACGGGAATTTATGAGTTGATAAACGAATGTCGACATGTTTTATTTTGGAATATAATGACCAGGGTTCTTTACGATATGTTGATTCAAACCATAGATCCAACATTCTACTCTAAAATTTCGTAAGAAAAATAGAAAATCTTTTTTTTTCAAACTTTTTTTATATTTAAAATTTTCTATTCAATAAATGTTATAATTACCACTCGTGGATATTTTGGAAAAAAAGACTAATAAACTAAAATGCTGATATTCAACGTTTCAGAATGACTTTTAATATTCATCCTTATTGGTCTTAATGTTTATGCTATCGAACCAACTAAGTGATTCCGTAAGCACACAGATGTTTATTTTTATCTGTAACTCATTAACATATATGACGATAATTCTGATTAAAGTGTTCAATTAAAAATCAGAACATCGAGCTTGGTACACAAATTATAATTTAATTATAAGATTATTTCATATATTGGATATAGACAAAATAAGTATAAACATTAATTTTTCAATTGAAGATTAAGCATGGTTAGCTAAAGACAGTTTAACTACTCTCGCTAAAAATAATGAAAACAGTAGAAACATAAATAAGTTCATGCGAAAATAAAAAGAATGCTATCATGAAACAAGATGAGTTTTTAAATTGTTTAGAACAATTTTCACAATAAACATTTGATATTGATATACTTACGAATGTTCCTCTGTATAGATTGTGAAGAGTGTCGAACGCGAAGCCTCTACCAACATCAAAATAACGAAGTTCTCTTAGAGAACATTCACCGAGATATCCATGCATAAAATCTCGTCGAGTATATTTTTCTTTTGGTCGATAGTGTTCTGGTATTGCCATTTTTACATCATAAGTAAAATTCGATCGAAGTTTCGGGTGATTTTCATTTCTTCTGAGTGGAAAAACACGAATTTTTTTTGAACTATCATTATTGATAGGAACTGTTATACCTAAAATAGTAAGTTTCTTCTAATAATTATGCTTCAGGGAAAAAAAGTAAAAATTGTCTGTAATTCATTTAGATTCTAATATTATCTATTACAACAATTTCATATTTTATAAAAATACTGAAAATAGTCTTGGAGAACATTGAAATTATATAAAAGTTCGAGTATTTTTCATCGCAGATTATATTAGAAATTCATGTTAACAGTGTTCTCTGATTACCACCGTATGTTCATTACATTCTATTTTGTTTTTGTTTATAATACTAATCTAATTACACAGTACGCTAATGGAAAATTATTTACTTATAACTTCTTGAGGAATTTTCTTTCTCAAACGTTAAACGTACCCATAATACAGCATCTTCCGCAACCATATCCGCCATTAGCTTCACCAATGTTCTGTACAAGTGCCTGTGCAGGCTTATCAAATGAACCTGCGATTAAATATACTTTCAGAGTTAAATAAACACCATCACTTGTTCGAAACCGATGTTCTCGTTGTAAGCCCAATAATTCATTTACAATTGGTCTTAAGTATGACCCCATTTCTGCACGAGAAGGTTTTGATCGACCAGCACCAATACCTCCCACCAGAACGTTCTGAATTTGAAATCTTTCCTTCTTTTTAAGTTCATTAATGACAAATGAAATAACCCACAAAGAAGATTTCGAACTTGTGGCGATTTCGATTCCATCCACATTCATCAGAAGAGTTATAAAATTATTTTCTTTTTTCACAATTTCTTTATATACTTCCCCTTGTGAAATATCCGAAGGATAATCACGATTGAATTTTGGTACTTTTTCGAAATAACTCGATGGAAATCGGGATAATACATTCTGTATTTGAGATCGTAAAGGTATTCGAACAAAAGTATTTGGCTTTGCACTAAAGCCACTACTTTCTTTACACGTTGGATTACAACATTGCTTTTCGTTATCGGACATTGATTTACAGCTAGAACAAAAGAATTTTGTTGGTGTAAAATTGGTTGTTTCTTCTGATACGAGCATAGATTTGATACGAGCAAAATTGCTGGGCACATTTGGAGTTTTGAGTATCCGCATTAGTTGACATAAATGATCGATACAGCGATTGGATAACCGATGTCGAATCTTAAGCACGATCAGAACAGCAGCAATATCTTTCACAGTAGGTTCAGCAGATCTAACAAAAAAAGAAATAAAAAATATATAGACCATAAAACGCTAAAATGAATATAACAATTAATTCATTTAGTCATTAACAATTATTTATCTCTACATGTCAATAAGTATATTATATATATCTTCCGAGTAATTTTGCTTACTATCATAAATGACTACATGATAAAAAAAATGATCACATCAATTCTTATAGATACCATCAAGATTTTTATTTTAGTAGATAATTTAAATATATATATGGAAATGAATCATATGTTTTTCAATATAAAATTTCGTATGTCGTTCATGGAAATATATAAATTTACAAGAAAACATCATTCGCTTGTTTAATCAGAAACTATATGGATTGATTTTTAAAATTCGTTTTAATGAATATAGATAGGAAATTCAAAAACATATATGATATCGATATAGTGCAAAAACATTTCAAATCTGATTAAGTAATCATCAATCATAAATCATATTTATAAAATATCTATTATATTGCAGATAAAAGCGATAAAAAAAGAAAACAATTACAAATTAAATATTTCTTCATTATCAAGTTCATCAATTTCTGAGTTCGAATCGTATTCCAATTCGTTTGGTTCTTCTTGAATATGTTCGATTGATTTTGATTTATTATTATCATTGATTAAATCATTGATACATTGATCTACACCAGCATTATAATCATTTTGATTATTTGATTGTAGTTCACTTGTAGCTACATCTTCATCATGATCAATATTGTTTTCTCTAAATAATCATGAGAAATAAGTAAAAAAGAATACAAACATTCTAAATTTAGAAATACTCATCACGGAGATGATCTTCTAATGAGGCATCATTTAAAACATCATCATTAATAAACTTTTTAGCTCGTTGACGATGTCGCCATAGTGTCGTTCGAGACATCTGAAATAGCAAGAGAATATGTTTTCTTTTTTGAATAAATCATAAATGATAAAAATCACACATATAAAGATATGTTATAACAAAAAATGATAATGAAACAAAAAATGCAAAAATGAACATAAAAGGCTTGACCATTACAAGGAAACAATCAATAAAAGTCTGTTTAATTGAAATATTTATATTTCGTTATCTTCATTTGAACTTGAACATGGATCATCAAAAGTTTTCATAACTTTGCTTGTTACATTTAAAGCTAATTTCTTTTTTGGAAGCATATCACTAATTTTTCTTTGACTAACATTTGATGCTTTTGAAACGGCTTTTTTTTCCTTTGATTTTTTTGAGTAAGATTTTGCTTGACGAAAGACTCCATTGATGCTTTCATTAAATGGATGATCAGCAATGAGTCCATGATGGACTTCAACAAAATCTAAAAAATAATATAAATTCGATTAATGATCAATCTGTAATTAATGAAGTGAAATAATAATCTATGACTTTCATCATGAAAGCATAAACTAAGACTTGATGATATAGAAAAGATCAAGAATAATAATTTTGATTATCTTATTGAGCAAACAACATGGCTGAATATTTGACGTAGATTAGTTATATTAGTTTTCTCAAGAGAGATATATTCCAAAGATAAGAACAACTTATTTGATAGCAATAGCTGTGTTCCATCAAAATAAATATTAGTATATGACTATACTACTTGCCTCGAATAGCTTTACGTCTTTCTTTTGATACAGCTTCGTTTCCAACTTTGGTCAATAATACTTCTTTTGAATACATGTTTCGAATGATTTTTCGTGTTGTCTCGGTGCCATTGTCACCAATACAACCAAGAAGTAGATTAGGATTGGAAAACCCAATTCGTTTAGAATGTTCAAGAATATCATTGGCTGATAAATTTCTATTCAATACTTTTGCCACACGGCTAAACCATGCACGAGCTCTTGCATCAGGCATCGCTAAAGAAAAGAATAATAAATAAAGCATAGTCTTGAAACTATGTATAGATAAAAATGAACAGTTTATAATCCATGAAACTAATGAAAGCTAACGTACGAACGTAATTCTTTTTATAATAATCGACTTTAGCTCGCAGTATCGTTGTGTTGTGCTTTTCTTGTTGATATTTTTTATAGGTTTTTATATATTTTTTCAACAAGATAGTTTTCACTTGATCTGAATCCACATCTTCCAAATCAGCACTAATATCACTTAAACTTGAACCTACAAAAATATTGATTTAGCCAATGCATCTATAATCAAACAATATCATACTTGTGTTTTTATCATCTTCAGGTGAATTAAAAATTTCTTCAGCATCTGATTGAATCGATGAAGCAATGTTAGCAGGTGTTTTCGGATCAGATTGATAATGATTATCATTAGTTGATTTCGAATAAGATTCATCACCGACAGTATCATTTGGTGGCTGATTTTCCTTCCCAATATCATGAATTTCATGAATATCTTCTAAAAAGTTACCAAAGACTAATCCAAATACATGTAATATACATTTTAAAAATAAGCCAGCAAGTCTGCCGGAAATATAAGATCAAATTAGAGGTTTTCAACAACATTAAATGTAGTTGTGAGGCAATAATGATCATTAGTAGAGAATAAGCACTTATAATAAGTATTTTCAATTATACCTTCGCCATGGGAATCATCATGGACTGAGCACCTGTTCGAATCCGTAAATAATTTTCGTTTAACTTGATCTTTTGTTTTTCTACTCGTTTTTGTTACAACAGGAGTTACATTAATACTGATTGATGATCGGGAATCGAATCGACGATCTGCTTCTAAATTACAAAAACGAGCTATTTTACGATTGCGTTAACAAACTTTTTAGCATTATTGAACACAGTAAAAAAATATTTGAGGATTTTTTAAATACTGTAAGTTCTTGAATACTATTTAAAACTAGAAGATATTAGAAAGTGCTTACTACTTGATTGAGATTTATTTTTGGATGTTAATAATTGATTTGACATCCCACTCTGATTATTCACTTTCTTTTTCTTGTTACCTAAAAGATAATTGGTGTTTTTTCAGTTTAGTTGAATGATTGCATATAGAAGTACTTACATGATTCGTTCGTCATATTTAAAAATCGCTTTTTATTACTCGTGTCCTTTGCAGTGGTTGATGACGATGATGAAATTGCATTAGCTAAAAGTAATATTATATAGAGAATCAAGGAGCAATGAACTTAGTGAACAGAGAGCATAAAATTTCGAAAAATAGCTCTTTAAAAATTCAGGTGATGAATGTTCCATATCACTATTCAAAAGCAGATTCTGTATCAGTCATTGCCTGCAATCTAGAAAATCGTCGTAGCTCATAATAAAAAAAAATTTGTCATAAAAGGGATAGCAAAACAAATGAAAGCCGTTAATGTAATCAAGATCAGGTTCACTTAATTATAATTTTTTTATCAAAATTTTTAAGCATGAGAATATATCATGTCATTTTTGATATTCTTCAGCATGCATATAAAGTATAAAGTCATTCAGATAATTGATTTTGAAGCGCATGAAAATGTAAAAATATCAATGAACAAGTCATTTTTTAATGTACTTTTAATGTGCAAAGTTTCCATGTTAATCATTCGCTTTTTTCTAAGTAAAAACTCTGAAGATATATCTACCAGATATTGTTGATGGTTCTTCGTTCTCATTACCGATTTCTTCCATTAAAACTTGAAGCTGCTCGACGCATAATTCTTCAGTTCCTTAAAAAGAGGAATAATTGTATTATAAATATATAAATATAAAGAAAATTGCATATTTACCAAAAATTAAAACTTTGCCTCGATCGGCTTTTCGAGAATCTTCCTTTTCCTTATAAGTAGCAATCTCGTTCACTTTGACTGTCTTGCCAAAGTTGACGAAACGTTCTAATGGTATGAGAACGACTTTGTTGTCTTTCTGTCTTTGAACAATAGCATGTGTATGCTCGGCTGAACATTGAACATTCGCAATAGATGAATCTGATTGTGAATGAATACTTGAAGCAGAATTTCGTCGATGACGTAGTGGTTCCATCTAAAAGGTATAATATTTTGATATTAAAAGATATGAAAAATACGATTGAAATCTTATGGTTTATAGATATTATTGTTAATAATAAACTTGTCCGACGTGCCGAAATCTAATACGTTATTGCTAAATATTTGAAAAATGATCTTGCATTTAAATAAACACAACAACGACGTGTATAATCGTTAGATTTTAAATTGAATATAAATAAACCAATACTTTTATCAGACTTTTATATGATGAGTACTTTCACTTAATGTTTTACTTCGTAAGGGAAAGAAAAATCTTTCACATGTTAAAATCCTTTCGCTTGAAAAACTTCAGAACTCCTCCCTAGATGGCGCCTTGTCTTTCTGACTTCTTCTATTTCAACGGTTCTACATTTTACATGCAGTTCAGTTTGAACACAAACAAAGAAAACAATTAACTTATTTCATAAAAACTGTTCATCGTGCACTTTTTTGTTAATATATTCGATTGCATAACAAAAGTGGTGTTGAAAATCTATCATGTAGTTAGTGTATGTTCATCATTAAAATTTAAGGTCCATTCTTTAAAACTTTTGTTTAAACTTTAGATATTCTTCATTAGTTCTCGTGCTGAAAAAAACCTATGATCTGATTTTAAAAATCGGCAATTGTTTTAATTATAGTGATAAAATAAACTTAATGTCCTACAACAAAAACCACTTAGAAAAAATATCTATGATGTTGATGTTCAAAAGAAATAGGGATATCATTCTTTTGATTTATTCTTGTAAAGAATAGCGATATTGTTGATGATTGTTATTATGGCTACTGGTATAATTAATATTAGTAATATATTCAAGAGTCTTATGTAGTCTTTATTTCAAACATAGATATGTTGAATAGATGGAAAAATATAGGATTAAAAGTATATATATACTTTTAATCTTATTCTCAATTTGAATGCATATTTTTTCGATTAGAAATTAATTACCAAAGAGAATAGTGAATAGCATGTGAAGTCATTTGATTTCTGTGCTACTTCTAAACGATTAAAGTAAATTCAATGAAATCCTGTGACAGAATAATGGCTGTTATTTCTGCAATATTTTCTACTAAAAAAGAATTTACCAACGAAAGGTTTTCGAAATTATTTTAACATTGTCTCAAACTGATTTATAATTTCAATCGATTTGAAAGACTGCATATACCTATATATTTCGAATATATACTTATAAAACTATTTTTGCGTGGATATACCAGTATGCATTACTTCAAACAAATGAAGAACTTTACTTTATTTATAATCTTTTATGTAAAATGAATGCTTTTGCAATATTTTCTTTTGTATCAACCGTTGCTCGAAGTTATTCATAATTGTTACTAAATTCTTTCGGTGAATCCTTTTTTACTTTAAAAATAAGACCAAATAAATACATTTATAGTGTCAGCATTTAATAATATATGATTTTAAAAGCAGAATTCTGATAGCAGCACATATTGATGAATGGTGCGAGGAATCTTTAAACATATCTTTAAGAAATTATTTTTTATAATAAAATACATTCTTTAATTGAAATTTTTGCAAAAAAGGTATGCATATTTTTATTTCTATCAAAAGATTTACGTAATATACGTAACTAAAAATTTCATCCAGAGTTTATTTCGAATTCATCTATAGTCTGTTCTCTATTTGATCGTAATCGTGGTCACATGTGGCTTAACGGTATGTATAATAGTTTCTTAATCTATAGTTCACTTGTTCTAATCTCGTTTAGATCACGTCACGTCAAGTCACATTAAACTAAATTAAAGTCTTCCGTTGACCTATATGGAGGTGAAGGCCATCGTTAGGATCTTGATGGCGGCTCAGATCAAAACTGAAACGGAGTGCAAATCTTTTTTCGAATTTTCGATTGTTCGCATTTAGACGCGATTTTTGTTCAGAACGCGTCTAATAGCGATTTAGATGTAAAATGCGTCTAATAGCGATCTGGATGACAAACGCGTTTAATAGCGATCTAGGTCGTAAACGAGTCTAATAGCGATCTGGATGACAAACGCGTCTAATAGTGGTCCAGATGGAAATGCGTCTGTTTTGAAACGTTTCACTGATTTTTACGCGTTTATCACTGTTAACGCGTTCAATCACAGCTAGTATAGTTTTCAACTGCGTCTGAGCATAGTTCAACATTTTGTGGATGCCTCTAGATGCGAGTCTATTATTAATCGCGTCTCACCGCGATTAACAAAAAGGCCGCGTCTGATCAGGCTGAAATTGATCGCGTCTCAACGAGATGAATGTTTCATCTACGATGCGTCTAGATGCGTATCGTTGCTGCAAGTTAGACGCAAAATAGATGCGTTTTAGACGCGTATTTGCTTAAAAAAAATGTACATGGGTACTTAGCACAAAATGAAAATGTGCTAAAAAACATCATCGTGATCCGCTCTACAAAATGCATCAGTTGCAAAAAAATAGAATAATCCAAAGGCTTATTTTTTATGTATTTCTCTTCGAGACTCTGCTTTTTCTGGTGCCATAAAACAACACTATTCGACTGATTCAACCGTATTGGTGCTTCTTTTATTGATTACAATGAAAGTTCGACACTCGATTCGTATTCACTGGGTGCCTTGACTGTACAAAGTAAAAGAATTTCACTGGTACCCCCATAAACTGTGACCTCGAAAAATCAGAAGTGTCATTATGTATAGCATTTCTTAAACGACAAAAGAAATCATTTGTTTATCCCAGTAAAATCGGATTCTCTTTTGAAAATAAGCGATTCCTGATTGAAGCATTATTTTCATGTTGTGACTGACGAATAATTTTTTATTGTAGTCGATGGCATTGTTTTCAAACACAGTACAGAAAAAATATTCTTATGTTTTGATATGTTATTACTTTTGAGATAATTTCGATTTTGTTTTGACAAGAAATACTCTGACACCTAATTGGTGAAAGAAATGATCATGTGTATAGGAGAATGAATATGGAAATTGTTTCAATGATGCATATTTTTCATCATTGGAGAATTTTTCATTATTGATTTGATCAAAAATAATTGTTAATGCTGCTTCGATAATTGCTGGAGATAAGGAAGTTTCTTTCATTTGTGCATGTTTAAATTCAATTGCAATAAAATTGAATTCTTCGGATTCTGATGATGGGCTTTTAGTAAGAAAAGTTTTTAATTTGAGAATAACATCATTGAGAATTTGGTCATTGACTAGTGATTCGGTTTCTTTGAGAGGTAATCGTGTAAATTCGAATTTATCAAAAGGAAATGTTCCATGTTCAGCATTGAATTCGATTATTTCAGCCATTGCTCGACGTCGACATTGATCTTCAGTTTCGCCTGGCTTTTGTTCCACTTTGGTCAAAGTCATTGTTGAAAATATTTCGTCAACGACTTGTTCTCTACACAAAAGAAACAAACCATTACAAAAGCAGTTTTTCACTGACGAACTTACTTGATCAAATCCAAATTTTTTTGAAGTAGCTGAATATATTGATGATCTGGTTGATCGATTTTTTGTGCTGTATTTATTGCTTCTTTCAAACAGTAATTCGCGTTTACCCAATCTTTTTGTACTTGATAAATCACGGCTAAATTAGCATATTGTGTACTGATTGCTGCTTGATCCATTGGTGTATGTTTTAACAATAGAGCCATAGCAGATCGACTTAATTGAGTAGCTGTTGGAATAGCATTGTGTTTCATCAAACATTTTGACATGACATTATAAATATCAATATAGATAAAATGGTCTTCATCATTACCCATTAAAACTTCTAATTCCTTCGCTACTCGATATTCATGTGCTATAGCACATACAAAGTTTTCTTGCCCAATATAATATTTGGCTAAAAAATGACGTTGGTAAATATTCAGTAATTGCCGTGAAGGAAAATTAGCAATAGTTTGACGGCAATGCTGAGGAATTGCGGAAAGAATTTTTTCTACTTCAATTTGTTCTACGATTGTGAGTGATGATGATGATGATGATGATGGAAAGTTCTGATCAACAATATTTGAATTTGATAAGAGTAAATTACCATCATTTGTAGAACTATGAATGCAACCCATTTTGGAATAAAAGAAAATCGTAATTATTCTTTAACTAATTGAACAAATGCCAATAATAGAACTATTCTTCGTTATCTAAAAAAGAACAATCATATTCGTCGTTACCTTTTTCTCATACTATTTATCGTCAACTCTCGCCTGTTTCTTGCTCATCAAATAGTCAATTTACGAAAACGTTTTTCTGGTAAGTTTTCGTTCGGAATATCAAGAATTATTGAGAAATAAGTAAAATGTTCTGTTCTAATAACTCCAAATCTTTATTTATCTGAGTTTCGTTCGCACGAGATCATTTTATAGACATGATTCGATGCAACACACTATCTTAATGTCAGTGTGTCATCACTTTCGAAAAGCAATGGAGAACTATGAAAAAAACGGAACAGATAAAGGGTTTGATACGATGTAATATGAATCGGAAATGAAACAGTGCCATTTTTAAACTTTCCAACATTTGTAATCTGAATGGTAATTTTTCCTTTGTTGAAAGGAGGGTGTGGGTGTGTAATAGCTACCAAGACGCGTTTCGTCTCTGCAAAAGGACTCTTGAGGGTGTGGGTGTGAATAGGCTGTCATGATCTAGATTTCGACCTTGCTAAAGGGTCTCATCAGATGGCTTAAATTATTCTGAATTATTCTTAAACGAAAATTCGAAAAAAATTCAAAATCTTCAAGAATTTGCAAAATCGTTAAATTATATTAAATAAAAAGACAATAATGTAATAGAAGAATCAATTCATAAATCACTATTCTGCTGGTGATCGTTGTTGAATGAAGGATGTTGCTGTTGTTTGATTCGGTTTGTTTGAATTGCTTTTTTTCCGTTGATTAGGTAATGCTGTTGTTCCAGTTGATATAAGCAGTAACATTGTTCTATTCCAAATGAAGCTAGCTGAAAGAGGACTGATGTTTCGCTACTGTCGTTCGTTTTTTGCTGTGTCATTATTGAGTCTTGAGAAATATGGTGTTGTCTTATTTATAGTATCTGAAACAGAAAAGAAATCAATTTTGAAATAGTGATTTATATTCGGTTGTTTGTTTTAGATCTTTTTTTAAATTTTTTTTTGTAAACTATTGAAGCTGAAATTTATCTCATAAGTTTTTTTAAAAAAGTTTAGTTTGATAGGAGCATCAAAATCAGTTGTTTTTAAGTTGTTTATGTTTTGTGGTGACTTGAAGACTGGTGTATTGTGTTTCCGATGTTGTTGATTATTTTTTCGTTGGGTCAGATGCATTTTTTTTTCGTGATTGTTGTCTTTTTCTTTGTCGTTCTAGGAAAATAGAATAAAATGAAATATTGTGTGTCGATTAATCTCTACACTGCAAAAAAAATTCGTAGAATACTAAACCCTTAAGGGTTGATGAAAGTGCAACGTATAATAAACCCTTTTCCCGTTTTTGAAAATTTTCATAAACCCTTTAAGGGTTTATGATTATGTGGAAAATACCATTTAGGGTTTATGAAAATTTTCAAAAACGGAAAAAGGGTTTATTATACGTTGCACTTTCATCAACCCTTTTTGGGTTTAGCATTCTACGGATTTTTTTACAGTGTAGTTACAAATTGAGTTTCATTATCAATAAACGGTCAAAATGATGACGAATTTATATATTCAGAAAAAAAGTTTCGAAATTGTTTCTCAACGAATGATGATGGATATCTAAATAGTGTTTTCTATATATAGGAAGAAAATCTAATGAAAAAAAATATTTACCCGTTGTACAATAGACTTAACTTAATATAGATTCGTTCGTTGTTGAATATTTCAAATGTTGATGAATTTCTTAGAGCACGTGTAAGACTTGTTTTTATAACATTGACGAATGTATGTCTTGGATGATCAGATATAAATGGTACAACATAAGGTTCTGCTGCTGGTTTATGATATACAGATGTTGAAAGCGTACCATTGTTATTTGTAAGAGCAACATCAAGAAATGGAAGACTTATGCTAATTTTATATTCTAATTTTATATTTGAGTGCCAAGTATTTGCATCGTTTAATAAATTCTTCAAGTCATTTTCGGATCTATTCCATGTCATAAAAATATCGTCGATGTATCTATCAAAATGATTCGAAATAAATTTTTATTGATTGTAATTCATTCTATTTTACTCATCGGCCATAAAATTCACCTGTCATATCTTGTCGACGAACAAGTTCTTTTTGCCATTTCCACATAAATATATTGGCTAATGTTAATGTAAATGATGATCCCATCGCACCACCAAGCACTTGTCGATAAATCTT